CTTCCTGCTGAGAGAGAAAATTATTCGACAATTTATAACTATTAAAGCGCGATTTGTGGTCGAATGTTGGTGATACAAATTGGTGTAAATTCGAAGACTTCTTTGAGACTTTTCTTTTGAAAATACGACGAGAAGGAAAAAAATGAAGATATCTGTAAAGGGAACGACAGCAGCAGAATGGAAGTTAAAAAGAGAATCGAAGAAATGAGTTAAACCTGATATATTCCGGTGGATTGTGTAATCAAAGATGAAAATCGTTGAAGACAACATTTTTTATTGGAATTTAATTCGATTATTAAAACCAATAACTGCTCTGACAAGGAATTTTAATTGCGACAAAACGATGAGTGCCGATGATCGTAAAGAAGCTTCATCTTCTCACTGGAAGCTTTTGAATTGAAATGTTGCACTTCATTGAACTGGGTATTAATCATTGTGTCATCCACTTCAACGGGTCATTGATAAATTGTCTAAATTTGATGGTTGAATGTTGAGGCAACATTACAAAGTTGTTTTGGGCGTGTCCACCGTTATAATGGCCTTCAACTCAGAAGTGAAATTATAAATTACTTTATGTCAAATCATAGTTTATCATTACGATTGCGTACAAGCATTCAGTCATTCAAAAACAGATCGTTATGTCAAAAGATTGAAAATTGATGCAACTTTTATTTTTTTATGTCACATTTTTTCATTTGAAACTAGAAATTTGCGAGGAAAAGTTTCATCTCATTTGACTTTTTGATAGCTGAATAGAAAAGAAATTAAATTCAATTCATTTGTCGACTTCTTTCATGTTGCACAATTTGACATTTGATCATAATTTAAGTTAGATCCAGTTTCTTAAATTTTGACATTTTATATCAAAAGAAATGTTGGTCGAGAATCTGACAATATAATGCAATTCACTGTTGTATGGAAGAAATTGCTGAATAACTTTAATCCAAGAATGATCTGATCATTAGTTAGTTCTATTTCTTCTCCATCAATTTCATCTGAATTGGACAAGAATGTGAGATGAAAGACAAATCAAAATGAAGATAGAAAGAAAAGTTAAATTCATTGCATTTAATAAACAACTGTCGTACAGTTAATGATAGTTGTCGGTTTAGTCAACTCCGATTTCAGGCTCCATGTCGAGTAAATCACCATCAATTTCATCCAATGCAAGTTAATTCATTGAAAAAATTATTGAGTAGGTTCAAAGATAATCTCGGCAAATCGTAAAATGATAAACACCAGTTACTTAGATTGGCATCTTCAGCTATGTGCTATTAACCATCTGGTTTTGTGAATATCATCGTTTTAAGAAATTGGAAATTGTTGTGAGAGAAGAAAGAAGAAACGAACTTTTCATCTGTAAGATGATGGAGCTTGATCAATAACCTTTCAAGGAGTTCATCAGATACTTAATAGAAAATCCGAGACATAAAAATTGTTTAAGTAAACAAACAGCTAATTGCTTGGATTACATTGCTTGTTATTATACATTTATAGAGTCTTAAATCAATGGCCAATTAAATTCTGCTTCCAGCACTCTAAATAACCTTTTTTTCCTTTTAAAATCTTCAACAGTAAAATTCTAAAGCCATAAAGCATGTAGATATGTTGAAAATGAAAGTCACCTGTCCCGCATTCATTCTCACCATCGCCCTTTGAGAAAACAAAAACTGACAGTCTGATGCTTCCCGCTTTTATTATTTCGCATTTATCATAAAAAACAAAAAGTTTCGCGCTGGTGATAATTGTCGTTTCAATAAATAATCTCCCCCTGCGTATTACTTGCTTCAGTAAGCTTTAAACAACTCTGCGGGATAGCAAACATAATATGAACACACACAATAATTATTTAAACTTTTTATTGTGATGGCGTTTTGCGACGCTCCAGGGATATTACTTTAAAGAAAAGAAGCTTCTGGCCTTTACAAGCAGCTCATCAGTCACTGGCTTAATCGAAGCTCAACAAGATCACAAATTATAACTTTTTTGTAATCATTTTATAAAATTTAATTGAAAATAATTGAAACCCATCAATTTTTCTCGACGTCAGATACTTCGACAAGTCGCAATAAGAATATGAAATAAAAATATAAATTCATGAATTTCTGACACGAATCGCAACAAAATTTTAGCTGTGACTCATTTCCTGCTTTACTTGGTCTATTAAATTGCCTCTCGGCCATTGTTATCATCACTTGGATGTTTGTTTATTGCCACATCATAGACAGACACATCGCTTTGATCGTTACATGGTCGAATGGAAAATTATATTTGATGATAATTTCATGATGTTTTTATAGACTTCTCGCTTATTTTCTGAAATTGCCACAGCTGGCAAGTAATGAGTTATTTTCCATCATTGGACTACTGTGGGTGACGTCAGGTAATTTAAGATGTGTAAATTGAAATTGAAATGAGAAATTGAAAGTTTCACCTTTTACAATATGTGGGGTCCGTGACACTAAGTCTGACCCAATAATCACTTCAGAGAAAAATCTCTAACAACTTACCAACCAATGTGATGTTTCTATTTATGGCATACGTCAAACTTTGTTAAGATTTTCATAAATTTTTGGATCTCATTTATCATCTTTTTTTTACTTTTCTTTCTCCATCGTATCTTTTAGTCGAGAAAGCGTTTCGAGATGATTTTATGTGATGATGGTTGATGGTTCTGCGTTCCAATCCCACAAATCAACACGAGAGTAAGCATCGTGACCAAGCCATTACATCATTCTAGAGCAAAGCAACCTGCAAGAATCGAAATGAGAAGAAGAATTCTTCATTAATTTGAGTCTCAAGAAGGCAGGCAATATGAAACAATCAAGATTACAAACACGTGGAACGTTAAGAACTTTTCAAAAGTCTTTTATTTGTTTTAGGATGGATTTTCTTTCTTTTTTTTTTCATTTTCTTTAATTTCAAATGTAAACATTCACGGAGGAGATGAGAAGACTACGGCGCTGAAGCGAAACCAGTGTTTTATGACTCAATCTTTGCTCAGCATATTACAGTGACTTTTGTTTGTTTGTTGAGTGGAGAGTAATTTTGAGACGATTGAAGATTATTGGAATGTGATTCTTTATGGAGGTCAACAATCGGTATATGATTGAACACCTACAAACGAGTTTTATTCTTGTTTAACTCTATCGCCTATAATTTCTGTTGATAATCTTAAATATGGGCTGCTTGCTCCATCGGCCAATGATCTTCGTTCATTCTTCAGCTTTATGGAAACTTTTTTTATATCAATAATCAAAGTTTATGACATTTAAAGCTATTGTTTCATTTACAAAAGTCGAATGAGTGCCAAAAGGTCATTTCCTTCATTGATTTAACAAAATGAAATAAAAGTAAAACCACAGAAAGTGTCAACTGCATTACGATGAATAAAAAGCGAGTTGTAAATGTGAACGGAGAAATTTATTAGGTCACAGTCGTTCGGAGCACGATTTTGTCTTTTTTATGACTGTCAGAAAGTCGTTTTTGAAACGATCAGAAGTAAAATAAAATAAATTGCAGCAATTTCTATAACGATTGACATGATGATTTGATTTTTCCTTCGAGTCCTAATATCCCAGCCTCATTCGCAGTGATATTCAGAAATTGAACTTTAACGAATTCCATGCTTGCCTTCGAGTGAACGAAGCCGAAATGCTTCGAAGCGAAATTACGAAAAATGCCACAATTTGTAATTTGATCTGCTTCGCGAAAGTAATTTTTCAATTGTAAATGAGATTTCTTACTTCAGCTTTTCTTTCATTTCAACACCAATTACAGATATCAACTTTGAATCAAATTAAAACAATATAAAGCGAATGAAAAGTTTCGAAGCGCATAAATTAGTCGAGAGTTCAAATGTCATGAACATTCACGGTTATTTGGATTTGAATGAAGCTAGAAAAGTAAAATTGTTTATATCAAAACGCTAAAGTGCCAACGAGACATTAATGGATTTCTCCCTTTTATGGACAACTCACGGTTTCAGACTGCTTTCAAATTGCTATTTTGAATATTCACACCTAAGATTTTGAGCCACGACATAAATGAAAAAGAAATAAGAAATATTCACGGGAAGAGATCATTGTACGCTTTATAACTTTATTTCTTTTTTTTTTGAGAGTATAAAAGTAACAAATGAATTTTCATGTTAAATGTTTACAAATTGATCGAAGATTAGACGAACAAAATCGAATCTCTTTGCACCTTACGTATTCATTAGAATCAAATTTATATAAGAGGAAAACAAAGTTTAACAAATTAGCAACATTTCATAATTAAACATTCGTTTGATAACTTCTAAAAATATAATCAGAAGTCGAATAGTTAAGCTGAGTCAGAATGTTAGAAGAAGAATGTTTCATGTGCAACCACCTGCAAAACAAACAAAGATTGTTTTCTTTTGATTCTCTTTCTGAAATTCTTGTTGAATAAAGAAACCGAAGACAATGGAATCAGCCTGTTAACATTTCAACATTTCATAAAGTAAAAGGTTTAAATGCTTCAAGTCTTGCTTGAAGTTCATTATTAAAATCTAAAATGATATTTGTTGAAATTGTGAAACTTACTTTTATTCTACTGAGCTCAATGTTTGCTTATGAAATGTCAGGAGATTTCAAACACATTCTAACTCCTACATTTATTTTAAATTTCAGTTGTTGATTCTTTGCCAAATCTAATCATCACTGAATATGAATTCAGCTGAATTTAATAGCTTTAGACTTAAACGATCACTGATCACTCATCGAATGTTATATTTATGCAAATAGCTTTTACTGTAAGTTTACTGACGACTGAGTTTATATTACATTACATTTGACAGATGAAAAATTTGAATAGTTATTGGCTTTTTATTTAAAAACACTTCGAATCCAACCGCAGACTATGAAAAATTATCTGAGCTCAATAACTTTTACTATTGATTTGGATGTTGCTGGTGATGACGAGGATTATCTCAATGTATTTGTGTAGATTTAAAGAATGAAAAATCGTTTAAATATTTAAATATGAACATCCAAATCAATTAGATTTGCTGGCATATCACTGAAGCATTTAATTGTTATTAACGTTTCCACTTCCAATTGTGCTTGACTTGAAAAAGAGTTTTAAATTGTAACAGAAAAAAAAAGATTACACTCGTCGTGTCGATGAACTGTCCAAACATTTTGGTGTATGGAATGCCAAACATGGGCAGTTTTATTAAAGTCAACTAATTTGTTTTCACACGGCAACGCAAAATGAACTCGTAAATATTTTGCGTTACATTTTTTCCGCTGACTGGTGCAATGTTAATGACTTCATAATGATACATCAATGAATAAAAACTGTATTGGCAACCCAAAGTAAAATCGATTTCCAACCGCGAACCTCACATGACTTTCATAACTTCTCTTGTACCGTAAAAATGTCAGCTAAAGAATCGTGCAACGTTTGTTCTTTCTACATTGCGATAAGACAAAAATAATTCTTGTTTGGCTTTCACATGTAAATTTCATGGAGCGTCTTTGTGAATGTCTGAAAGTGGAATGAAATTTTCCTGGACATGTTATCAAGTTCATTTAAATAAATTTATTCCTTACAAGTGATTCACTGAGAATCTTTCTTTTTTATTTGAAAATATGTGAAATCTTGTAACATTATCCAAAGTTATTCTACGATGAAACATTCTCGAATATTTCAATGGTTCTTTTGACTTGAACATTAACAAGTCGATGTGAAATTTCTCACAATTCTTTTAAACTCCTTGATTTCCTTTCATCAGCTGGTTTCGAACAATTTCGATTAGAAGATCTCGTGTTCTTCTTCTCTTAATTCCTTTTTTATGAAACAAAGAAATTATACCTAAATCCGTATCTCGACATCGACAAAGTGTTTAGAGTGAAACTAATTAAATAAAATATTTATTTTTTGTTTTTGGTGTTTGTTTGATCGCAAGCGTCAATCGTGATATGTCGAATCAAACAGCGAGAGATAAAAATAATTTGTAATTATAATAATTATCCAAGCGATGAAACAATCATAACGAAGTTTCTTTAATATCTAAATGGATTCAAATTTCGTTAATTTTATTCCACACCGGTAATTGAAGTTTAATGAGTCTGAAGTTTGATATTCGTTCAAACATTTATATGTATATATGCATTAAAATTCCTAAAATGCTGATGAAATCCTTAAGATTTGTTCCAATTAACCTTCTTAATGGACGCGAAATGGTATTGAACGTTTAAGATAAGCAAAACACAACCGCGAGGTAAAAGTTTCTTGCTGAGAAATATTTTTCTGAGCTGATCAAAGAATAAAAATAGAACTGAACAAAGTTTGAAGAAAAAACGTGAAATTTGTAATCAAAATATCAATTTACAATTACAGACACACCGTAACAATTCAATTTTTTTAATATTCAACACAAATCAAAGATCGACATCACGCAGAGCGTTGAAAAATTCTCGTATTTGATATTTTGATATGAAACAAGAAATAGGAAGTTGTTGTTGTGGTTGTTTCATGGATGCAACTGGCGAAGATAGAAGACTTAAGAGGATAAATTGGACAATTTGTAGATCAACGATTTGCGATCTTATAATTAATGAAATCTTGCAAAATATTCATTCGTCAACAACAAATACGAAATGAATAAATCTTCAATACTTTTTTTTTGTAAATATGAAACGAAAGATAAAACCAACTAAACAGCGATTCGGTACAGTGGAGTTAATCGCAAGCCGGATGAAGCAATAAATCATGAAATTTAATGACGATCTAAAGTAAATGAAAGGCAACTGTAGCAAAACGTGAAACAAAGAAATAAGTTTGAACTTCATTGGAAAAAGCAGCATCATCATTGAACTCGAGAGCGAATGGCATAGTAGAATGATGAACCGAAATTCTTTAAATTAAAATCAGCTCGTAAATTGATGCGTCACGTTTAAGATTTCTTCTCATCTTTTCCTCTCTTTTCAATAGAACTTTAGCTTATTTCGTGTTTAGAGAAACGTGGCGTTTTGTTGTTGAAAAATATCGTCGTCGTCGTCGTCGTGTAGCTAATTGCGGAAATTGTAAACAAACTGGACCGAAATTATTTCGATTTGCCTCGACAAACGCTTAAAAATTCATCTTTGAAGGTAGAATAGGAATGATATCGAGATTTAAAGTTTCATCCGGTTTTAAATTTGACACGACAAAATAAAGGAAAAAGTTTTACGACTTGATTATAATCCATCCATCCATCTTCCATCTATAAAAGTAGCTTCTTGGGCTCATTGAACGATGCGTCATGATAAAAGAAGGAGTTATTTATGAGAACTCATTTCTTTCTTAATTAGAACTACAAAGCCTTGGATCGTTAAATCTAAGAAAACTAATTTCCATTTCTCACTACATGCTTCAATTTCCATTAAAGTCACCCGCTAATGTCATTTAAAGCGCGCTCATTCTATAAATTTATCGTGAGAACTTTCACGTCATCATGATCTGTGCAGAGTCGACAACAATGGACGTATTAAAAAAATTGAATAAAAATATTCTCATCCACAAATGTTCCCTCACGCCGAACTTTTATTCCCACTCGCAATTAATGACTCTCCAGGAAATTTCTTATCTGTTTTTTTCTTCACAATTTTCAAGTCTTTTGTCTTAAGTAAAAAATCAAATCATTGAAGTATTTGCAGCAACGCGTAGGCACATAATCAGGAGAGAAAATTAAAGAAAATCTGTAATTAAAATTAGCATTTTTAAAGCAAGGTTAATGAATATTCAAGTCTCGTAGTAAGTACATGTAGTTGAACAAAATGACTGTGTAAGTAGAAGCATTTAATTTGTCTCCATATTTTTCATCCATTTAATGACTGAGCGAGAATTAAAAAGTGATTAAGGCCCATAATGTCCGTGCTTGAATTTCAGTTGAACTCAATGACTTCAGGTATATTTAGAAGGAAATAACGAGAAGACTTATCTTGTAGATGATCTCTTAACTCAAGGACTAAATATTGTTGAACTTTTAATTGGAAACACGAGATGATTCGCGAATCCTTTGAAGCGTAAATCAACTTAACTTAGTTTGCAAATGATTTCATAAAAAATAAAATAAAAACTTTCCCATGTCGATTCTGAAACTTTGCTTTAATTGACGGTCACAATGGAATGTTCACGTGAGTGAGACAGAATGAAATTTGGCCTCGACTTTATACAGAGTCGAACATGAAGAAAGGAAATGGACATGAGAAAATTGACGAAATTGGTAATCATCAGAAGGCATACGGCGCGGGAATGGAAACATCAATCGCCTCGCGAGTTCAACTGGTCGCTCAGTCATGAATGAAAGAGATGGAGAGAGAGCAATGAAATTAACTTTAATTTTTGAGAAATGTGGTTTTTTGTTTTTTCGGACTCTGATCGCGAGGTTTTTTTTCTCTCTCCTGTAATTCGGTGTATAGAATTCTTTTTGCTTGTGGTTAAAGCAATGGGTCGATAATTTAGACCAAGCTGTGATGAAGCATCGAAAGAAGGATGATTTTTAATTTTAAGTTAAGAAACTTGATATTTGTTTAACAAAAACTTTTCCCATGATGTCATTAAAGCGAAGAAAATATTCTTGCTCCAGTTTTCAGATGCTTTGTCTGATATGTCATTTATTTAAACATTAAACACAAGCCGATGAAAATGTTATAAATATACTTAAATATGAACTGAACAAAGGCATGACTTTTTCTCTATTTTAAAAATCGGAATTTTGTTTATTAATAAAATTAATTGAAATTTTTCCACTTCAAATCAAACAATTCACCCATGTTCAAAAGCGATCAAGATATAAATTGAAAATAAAATTCGTTTGTCGTTGATTCTTTTTTTGGCTTTGTATAATTGAAGGGTTCAAGTAAAAATTGAAATGACTTTTAAGTTAAAAGATAAATTTTTCTATTTTTTTAAAGAGTCAAATGGTTTTTTGTTTTAAGTTAAAACTTTTAACCAGGAAACTGGAATTAGCCATCGTCGTGTGCTCGAAGATAATCAAAGGAAGAGAGAAGGAAAGTTTTATAATCAACATGCGATACATTTTAAACGACATTAATACTCAAGTCGTCTCCATCTCATTACAGATCCGATCTTATGATCGACAGATGACGAAATAAAACGCATTTTTTTATAGTTTAATTCAAGAGAACTTATTTTTTTATAAAGAGTGATGACGCAAGGTGAAGTATGTGAAAAAAAGTCGAAACCAGACCAAACAGGTGGTTTTCGATGGCTTATTGTGTGTAGAAAGAATTGAGCCCCATTTCCCGCTAATTATAACATCCGAAAGGTGTTCAGTTCTTCATATTTCAAGTCGAGACAATTTAGAAAAATACGAGGTTGCCAAGTTCATTAAATATAAACGACGAATATAAGTTCAAACCATCTAAATATGTCACATTTATCAAGTTATGTGCAAACATAGTGAATGAGGAGAAGAATTTCATTTGAATCAATAAACTCACCTTAAAATTCCGCACGACCATCGATGGCGATGCTTCAAACCCCAGCGTTCATTTACAAGATCAACAAGCACAATATAACTGATGTAAAGAGCAAGATTTAATTTCTGCACTTTTACGGATACGCGCATCACAAGTGAAGGAGTTTTTTTTCTACTTATATTTTATAAATGGTTAATTAGTCGTACAGCTTGACGAGTGAACAAACACAATTCTTTTTCTTTAGTTCGTCTTCTCGTAACAGGTACTTAAAAATGCCCATTGAAAGTAATTAAAATTGTTCTGCAAATATTTGACTATTAAGCGGGTGTAGTAAAAAAAACCACTTTTTGTCGGTTGTTGACAACTTCAAACTTTGAAAAAAAAAATGTAGGAAAAAAAACTTTATCGGTGGAAAACTTTAAAAGTTAAAACTTTTTTTTGTAATTTCTTGAGAGCTCAGTTTGAATCGCGTCTGATCCAAGTGACGAGCAAAACACAACTGATTCAACTTTCCGATCGGTTTAGAGAATATTCCGACTATGGATCGAAATAAAAAAGGGAAGGAAAGAAAGAAAACAGAAATTACAGTATTCGATACTTCGCTGTATGAATTTAACAGCAGGTGGAGAAAAGAGGGGAAGTTAAAGCTGGCAAAAGTCACTAAGTAACAACCGATGTTAGTGTTAAGGTAACGAACAACATTTCCATTCTCAACAAGAATTTTCAGTAAAATATTAATATTAATGAAATTTAAACAGCATTCTTAACTCCTGATTAAACCTTTTTGATATTTCATCAATTAATTAATATTAAATTTCTATGTTGAATCTACTAAATTTCGAATAGAGTTCTTGCATTTTTTAATGACTTTTGACTCGTTCTTTAGTGTCATTAAAGCACTTGTGCATGACGTTGAACCAACACAGAAGCATGATCAAGGCATCCATAAGGGGAAGTTGATACCGACACACAGGTGAACTAATGGAAACACTGTAAGTTTCTCTCGAACCAAACAAATTTTTGTTACGCGAGACTTTGAGGAAATAATTGATAAACGTTTTCTTGTTTTGAGATATTTTTCTTTTTCCAATTTATTTCAAGCAGATGGTTCAATGATCTAAATTCCATTAAATGCATGTTTTTCTTCTTATTCCTAAAGGAAACTTTTATTAGAAGATTAAATTTCATTTTTTTTTGGGATTAGCTGATTTCAATTTGACTCTTAACTCGTGTCTTGATGGCACATGTTCTACAGGTGGATAATTTTTCCTTTCAGAAAGATAGTTTTGCATTTATATCAAAGATTCAGGAGAAATTTTTAACTTCACGTGATCAGAAGAAGCTTCGTTGCTAATAATGAATGAACCCACACAAGCTAAACAAGAAATCGCATGATATGTTAAATAATTAAATTGACTCGTTGATTGAACAAATTTCACATGCTAAAATCCGAGACTAACTGTTGTGGACCACCAACATCCGGACATTCGATCACATCTAGTTAAAAGAAGTGAAAGAGAGAAAAGATATCAAAAGATTCATGCGATGGTACAGGAAGGATGAGATTTTTACAGCATTTTTGTGTATGAGTCATCGATATTGTCTACAATACAAAAGAATGAAATCTGTTTCAATTAATTTTAAATAGAAAAGCGTGTGAACTATACGGAAAGTTTAATGAACCTCCTTTATCCAATACAAGATCTAGAATAGCATGATGGCAATCAAAATCCATAAATATCGAGTTGATTAAATCAGATTACAATGGACAGTAAGAGAAAAAATCCCAACAGCTACTGTATGGATCATTTGCCCAACTTGCTACGTTTTGCTACAATTAGAGGCTCAAATTATTTCAGGCACCAGTTAGATTCTCTCCATCTCTCTTCTATGCTTTTAAAAATGTAAAGAAAAAATTAAAGAAAACGAGGAATTGTTGGAATTATAAAGTAATATCAAATCATCGAACCATAAGCTTTAATTTGTTTTCTTCTTGCGTATTTTGGAATTTTATGGTTCTCTTAGCATTTGGTTAGATGTTGAGTTTTTAATTCGTAATTATACAATTTTTAAAAGTTTAACATTTTTATAGGGGTTGGTACGGCGTGTTAGTCAAGTAGTTTAAAAATGAATTATTTAAACTTTAAAGTTCTTCAATGCTTTCTAAATCTTGCAATTATAATAAAAAAAGATTGAAATTATTAAAAAAAAGCGTACAATCCCATTTTCCAGCGAATTATCTAGCGTGGCTGTGTTTTGGAATAAATGAATTTCCTTTACCATAAATATTTTATGCAGATGTTTATTTCTTCTTTTCGTTCCGCGGATTTTACTTGGAAATATGTTTTTATTTGTGCTCGCATTATCATGAAAAGTTTGGTTTAATTTATAAAAATAAGTTTGATGCTTATTGACCGGTAAGACATTCTTCAAGTGAACAGAAGAAAAAATTTGTGTCTACAGTCTAGCCGACGACGGGTCAATTAAAATTCTTAAAGTAAATCCAAAATTTCTATAAGAACGACTGAAAGGAGCCTTTGATGTTCAAACATTACCTTTCTTTTTTTCACTATCTTTAAACATCGAAAAGCAGTGAATTATGAATAAAAATCAGCAATCTGGAACCTTATGATTATAGTTGCGGTAGATGAAATGATATGCTATGCTTTTTCTTATTCATTCGCAATGAGAAAGATTCATGGAAAAGCATCGTTGATAAGTGTGAAAATGATTTTTTTCCCTGCTCGACAACCGCAACTTGAATGATCTTAATTATCATGTTATTCGGTCCGAAAGTCATCAAAGCCGAACCAATAAAAGTTAAGACTGGAAAATTCTTTCGAGAAAAGCCTCATACATGATTCCCATAATGAACAACTTGTTTTATAATGAAGATCACCGGTCGCATGTAAAGTAAACAAAAAGAATCGAAGCAAAAATCAAGGCACCGTGAAGAAGTTCAGGTGGAAATATTTCAGGAGATTCAGCAGAGGGAAACAATCATGATTTATGGAAAGCTCTCCAATAAGTCTGTTCCACTCTCTTGAACTTTATTTTCTTCCATAGAAATTAGAAAATTATGTTAAAATCATCTTCACTATGATAGAACTTTATGGATCTTGTGCTTCGATACGCTCCGATGAATAATGGGAAGTGACGTGCTGAGTGATATTCTTTTATTCTTCCCATAAATCACCTGCTTCTTCACACAGCAAGCTTCTTAAAATCTTACAAATTCCTGAAATTAAGAATAAACTTTGTAATTGAACTTTTCAATGATCTTTGTAGATTATTTACAAAGTTTGATGATCAAAGATGTTTCTAATGTTTTGAAATGATTCGCTAAAATTTTGTAAGATTTGCCATTGAAATTTAACATTGTCAAATCCTTTTAGATATTCTTTTTCCCAGGCGTTTTGTGAATGAAATTTAGGTAGAACATTTTAGTGCTCGGAATTTTATTACAACTGTAAGTAGATATAAGAAATCGGACAAGAGGGAACATTAAAGGAAAAGTTATAAAACTTCTAACAAAATCTTTCCGAATTAGATTGAAAAACAATTTTTTATTGTGAATTATAATAAAAAATCTTCAATTCTTTACAAGTTTAATGTTCAATTATAAGCCGGTGGGTCGAAACAATGCTTGAAATCATGTGAAACAATAAAAGCAGTAAAGAATTCTTATTTTTTCGGGAATATTTCAATGATCTAAATCGACCGAAAAGAAAACCGATAATGTTCCATGTGAAGATTCTAGCCGATGGTCAATGATGAAGCACATTATTGTTAATTAAAATGGTTTAGAATTGTTTTTAATTGAAACAATACGGGAATTCTCGGCGATTTGGTTTTTTATGGATTTTAATTGAAAGTTTCTTTTTTACGTTCACCTTTTGTTCCAGAAGAAATCAAAAATTTTCCAACAAATGAATGAAATTCATTCAGTGTTTTTTACTCTTTCTTTTCACGCATTGATTGGATGATCTGGATTAATTAGCTTTATAAGCGGAAGTCTTCAGTTTTTTAATATTTCAATGAAACTGTGGACAAAAAATGAATTTGAGTTTTGTAGATTATTTGAATGTTTGAATGTTTATCAAAATATCCTTATCATTACAAAGTTCATTTATGGGATTTCATTTTATATAGGTATTTAATATTTATTTATTAATTTTTTCTGATGTTAACTAATTTTAAGACAATTAATTAAAGATTTTGAGTAATGAATTTAAGATGTTAATGAACTCAGAGAACGCAATATCAAAATGAAAATTATTAGGGTTTAATGGATACAAAATTCCATAATATTTTTGAGTTTCTTAGCTTAATTCAGTTGAATAAAAAAACCAAAATAAAGGTGGAAAGTTCTTCGAGCCTTGTGAACGATGGAGCGGATTTCTGCTTCGCTGATTTTTCCACCAAACTCATAAGAAAAAGAATGATTTTATAACATTTTATGTGTATGTTGTTACTATCATTGGTTTTCTTTATTCTTCTTAAACAGAAGACATTAGCTTAGTGAGAGTATAATAATGAACAAAACTGCCGCAAGAAATAGACAGAGCGCCATCTTTTGCCGAGATTTAAAAACCTATAGGATTACACTGATTCCTTTTCAGGTTTTTGGATTAAGATGATCCGTGAACCAAAATTTAAGTAAATTTTAAAATTTATGCAGAAACTTTTCAATTTAAAAACAAACTTTTACAATTTATAATAATCAATGTTTAAATTTTTCTGTCTAAATATGAATATTTTATGCAAAAGTGTCATCATACACTACAAGTTCACGTTTATCCTTATGATTTCCCTTCTGAGATTGACTTGTAGCCAAAGTACTCCAAACTGCCGAAGAGCTTGCGTCATTGATTGGTTCAATTTGAGGTTGTTTCCTTGCTAATGAGACTGTCAATTGAATCCCGTTGATCATTTTGCCATGCATCTTTATACAGAATGATAAGTAATTAAACATTTTGAAAATTAGTTACAACACTTACTTCAACAATTGCACGATCTGTTGCTTCTGTTTTGGAAAAAGTAACAAATCCTTTGCCTTTTTCAATTTCCATCGAAACATTAACAATCGTTCCATATTCGCTGAAATGTTTCTTTAAGAAATCCTCCGTGATTGTTTTTCCGGAAACATAAATGGTGTATCCAGTTTTCGGTTTATCCTTATGTGCTGCATTGGATTTTTTGTCGCCTTCCTTTTCTTTTTCAAATTGTTGATAGAGGAATGAAATTGATCGATTTCTAAAAAATGAGAAAGAAAAAATAAAGTAAAGTTAATTCAAATCAAAACTCATTTCAATTATTCTTACCCGTCTGGTTTATCAGGAGTTGGCAATGGTGATTTTGAAGATGTACTTTCTTCATCCTCTGTTGAAGTTGATGTTGCAAATGGATGATATGAAGCAGGTTCTAGCTGAGTTTTCTTTCGTTCTTGTCCTTTAGGTCTTTTAAACTGTACCTGTTGTGCATCCGGTTTTGAGATATTGATGTTTCCTGATTTAATTAGTTTACGAGCAACTTCTCTAGCATCACGTGCATCTTTCGGTCGTTTTGGAATTGGTTTTTCAGGTTCTGGTTTAGTTTTCAGAGCTTGTAGTTGTTTTTTCTAAAATTAAAAGTTATAAATAAAACTTCACTTTATTTTTTCCATTAAATTACTTTTTTCTTCAGTTTTGCATATTTTGCCATAAGCATTTGCTCTTCTTCAGTAAGAGCTTCTGGAATATGAATGTATACCATATTTTTTTACTTGAAAAAGTATTGAAAGAGATCAAAGCTTTTATTTATGTTTAGTTTTCGTTTTCAAATGATATCCAAAATAAACTTCAATTTGTACAAAACTTGACTTTTTATGCCAAGAAATTAAAGTTTGTTTTCGCTTGTTGAAAATTTGTCCCTTCGAAACTATGCAATAAGCTGGTTGATCCAAAGTCAATAATGAAGGTTTTTCCTAATGTTTTATGAAAATAAAGACATTTTTATTAAAGTAACAAAAACATGAATATTCACTGATAAAACATGAGATGAAAATACTACGTTTTGTGTGCTTATCAAGTGATGACAACTCATATTTATTAAAATTGCTGTTTTATGTTTTCACAATTTTCGGGGTATCAGCTCAAGGGTGCCAAGCTACTGCACAAAAATTCTCAGTGGAAATAATAAAGTCGCAGAAGAAAAACGATGCGATAGTGAAAATTATGTTTAAGAATTGAACGGAAGTGAAATCGAGTGTAGAGTGATACATTGTCTAATAAATCAAAATATGTCTACAACATTTCTTGCTGTTTTTGCAATCATATTCATAATATTATTCAGATTATTAAATGTGAATTCATCTCCCCGTAAGCCACGGATTTTTTGTTGTGATACTTCGTTTAAAGAATGTATAGAAAAGATCTGCAATACGGAGCTTGCCGAATAGTAAGTGCATAGATATTAGTGTTTTCTTTTTCTTAAACTTATTTGGTGATACATTAACCACTTTGTGAATTATAATTCAAATCGAGTAACAAAATTTGCAAAGGTGAATTTGTAGAAAACTCTAGAAAAAAGTGAAACGCCCAATATTTTTGAGCAAAATAGCTAATAGCATTGAATTTTAATTATTTAAATCTCAGTTTCGAATTCGCGAACTTATAAATCTGTTCAAAATTCTTGATATTATTACTAAATTTGTATTTTAATTGCGAAATCATATGATTATGTTTACTTCCTGAATGATTAAAAAATATGCAAGTGATTTAAGCAATTTCATATTTGACCCGGCTTCAAACTTTTTATGTTTATTGAAAAGCGTTACAATGCGAAATTACGATATCGCACTGACTTAATTCAGTGAAAGTTGAACGAAATAAAAATGATTAAAATTGTATAACAATAAAATATCTTAAAAGCAGTTAAAATTAAAACAGATGGTTACGGTTGTGAAATTATGAAGAGGCTAGAAAGACGGCCTCGACTGAAGGTCAGAACAATTGAACAATTTTTTATTAATCAAGCCATATGAAGAAAAAAAGGGGATTCCTAATACTATAATTATAGACTAGACGCAAAACTCATAAACTGTAACCGTGCGCAAAAGAATTTTCTTAATATTATAATTTTCTTAGACTTGAAGATGTTTCGTTACAGTTGTAAACAAAGTTTTTTCTTGGTTGTTTTATAAAACTTGTTCCACAATATGATCATCGTTTCAAAAACAAAACACAATGTGTGTTTATAAATAATTTTTACGTTGAATTTCAATCATGCATCATGCAATGATTATAACAATCAGGTATGATGATGTAGGTGTAGGTTGTCAGAAATGCAGGAAAAGTGCGAGAAAATATTTACGTAATGATCTCATTGAAATGTCATGATTAGCACTCCAAAATTGCACATTGGAACGAAGATTTTTTTAATGAATGATTATGTTTTACTATCGTCTGTGTCATTAACTGAACGAGATCTTCAATTCAATTCAATTTTGTGAAATCATCATCTATTTTGAAAGTATGCTGATAAAAATATAACACAAAGCAATTTTGTGTCTGACATTTGTAGACATTGATAACAAACATTTTGGTTAGTTTTTGCTCAGAAAAATCTAACTGCGCAAAGGTTTCTTCTTGACTCATTTTTGTTTGTTTGTTTGACACCTAAATATCTAAATCAAAAGATAACAAGTAGGTATGTTGGAAAGCTTGAGTAAAATGTGTCATGCCGTGACTTTTCCTTTTACTTCTTATTGCGTGACCGAATGCTATCAAAAATGCATTTATGGACAAATAGAAACAAACAATTTTAACTTTTAAAGCTCCCTTTATGTCAATTAAGAGTACTTTCACATTTGTATCATATGTACATGTTCGTCCTTAAATAGTTCTGCTTTTGTTTTTTAGTTTACTTTGACGTCGTTTCACTCAATAATAGAAAAAAACGTAAATTTCTTCAAACTTGAATTAGGTAATATTTGATCGAATTAAAGCTATCAACAGTTGCATTTGTTTACACCTCATTTTGAATTGATTTTGATTTTTCTATGTCAATATTTGTCTGATATTGAATTATCTACCTAATTGATGATAAAAGAAAGAATCACAAACATTTACGAACTTTAATAAATATTTGATTTTAATCAAACTCTATAAATAAAGTTTGTAAATAAATCATCAAAAGCGAAATTTTTAAAACAATTGATTTTGCAAAATAATAATATGTGAACTTTTTTCTTTTTGAAAGTCAAGTGAGGATAATAAGTTAGAATTTCTTTTCTTTGGGTTGAACAAAGAGTATCTGCGATAAGAAAAAGAAGTTGATGTCTATCGTAATTTAATATCAAAGATACGAGTCAAGAAAGTTACAAAACTACGTGACCTACGATAAATTATTTGTTCGTGAGCTTTTCACTTCTACAAAGCATGTTCAGCATTCATTGACCATAATTGATTCAGTAAATGTACATTTTTAATCGACCTTTTATCAAATTAAACTGAAAGTTCTTTTTGATCATGTTGATAAATAAAGAAACTTATCGTAAATTGTAGTTTCGTGCCGAATTATTAAGCTTACTTTATGTATAAAATAATTTTATCGAAATTTGTTGGTTTGTTGATAAATTAATCATTTGAAATTTTCATCAACTCGTGAAATAGCTGACATTGTCAACATAAACAAATAAATCTTGCTTTTTATCTTGATACTCATGATTTTACGCTAATTATTATTATTTTGTTTGTCACTTTTGTTAGCAACATGGTTTTGATTAATTATTGCTTTCCATTCAATAAAGAACGTGTTGAGCTTTCAAAGGAAACGAATATTTGTGACACAAATTGTGCTCGGATTATAAAAGAACAGCGTCGCTAAGTGCCAGTGAACCTCAATTATCTCCCTTATCAACAGTAATAATTAAAGTAAGCTTGACATAACATGGAGTTCATTTTGTAATCACCAGATGGTAAGAATGAAATGCGATTACTGAGTGGCTTTAAAATGAAATGTTTTTCGCTTGAAATCAATTAAAATGAATTTCCATTGTGGAAACCAAAACCAAAATTAAAAGATGTTCAACCAAACCTTGAACTTTCTTACTTTATGGCTGATCTTCACTTTTATTCATATCAAGACAGATTTCGAGATTCCACCAAGGATTAAGCAATAAAATATTACTTTTCTCTTTGTTCTCCTTTATATGATAATCCTCTTAAGGGTTGAAAATAAGTTTAACGATTACAAATAAATTCGCCCGAGAACCTAAATGAGACGATTAGTTGTAATGCTTTTAAACCCAACATATGCCAAATCCTTAAGAGAATTTACTTTGGTGTGAAATGAGCTCAACGTCGATCCGAAAGGAAAGCAAGGAAATAAATAGAAGGGTGTAAAAAGGTGTTCAAAGTATCCATGATATGATAATTTAATTGCTTCAGATATCGTCTTGAATTTTAAAAGATTTCAAAGTATTTCCTCTTAAAGATTTTATGGGTGTTGAACATTTTAATTCATTCAATTTCATTGTAAAATCCATTAGAGAATGAAATCATTCTTAAAAGCTTACAAAATTATTTATCATGTTATGGAAAAACCTTAATTTAGTTTTCTGACCTCCTCGTGTCATGAACAAAGAAAAGCAGTTTAACAAACTGTCAAAGGCACATTTAAGCTTTGTTCTAGAACTTCTCCCTGGCGTTCTAATGCTCGCTTGTGTCAATTTTTTATGAAGAAGCTATTAAGGTTCGTTATGAATTTTCCATAAACGCTTTTGTTGCTCACAAACATAACAAGAATTAAATTATTTTCGACATCATCTAATTTTGAAAGCTCATCATGTTCTATCCTAAAGCTACACGAATTTATAAAAAAAATCATTAAGCTTTGAATTGCTCGTGAAATGTTTTTCTCCTTATCGGATTAATGAAGAAAATCCTTCAATTTCAGAGGAATGGAAAAGATTCATAAAACCTCTTAAGGGGTTTCACCTAAATCGGCTTTTACACGTTAAGATAACAAAGCTTTTGTTAACATTTAGTAATTTCTTTGTTGAAGAGCTGAGATGAACTGTGGAAAACTTGATTTAAAATAATTATATTGCGGCATGTTAGGAGGAAATTCTAGAAAAAACTTATCAAACTATTCAAACACACAAAATTCTATCCCGGCTTCATGATATGGAAAAAACCTAATCGATATTGATGGAATATTTCATTCACTATTATCATGTAAATTTAATAGAAACAGAAAATTGGAATGATAAACAATTCATGAAGGTACTTGTCACGACGTTTGTAAATATATAAAATGAATTCAGCTGCTAACAACATTTATTCAATTCCGAATCAATCATGGAAATTTACAGAAGATTTCATTGAGTGATAATCGATATTCTAATTCAAATATTTCTAAAGAATATTGTAGAGATTATGTTGATATCTTTTAAGATAATTGATAATGCAAATGATTACGAAACCTTCGTTGGTTTATGTGCACTTGAAAGGTCTATTGAAGGATTTCTAAATTACAATTGTTGAGTTTTTTCTTACTTTTTTCATGAAATTCCATGTTAGGTAAACTGAGTCATAGAAAATTTGTCATATGGAATTGAATTGAACATTTGTGTCATTTATATTCAATGACTTTGAAAGCAGCAAGGAGTATGATTCAGGAAATTATTTATGAGTGATCTAAATTATTTAGACTCTAATGGTCGTCAATCACTTTTGCTTTCTCATGATGAATTTTTTTTCAAAAGTTTTATTCTTATTTGTTATTGATTCATTCTCATGTTATGTAATATTTGGCATAAAAATATTTTATAGAAATGTTTCATCTTAGATAAAAGCATGAGAGTCGTACACAGACAATGAAATATCCTTGAGAATTTTACATTTTGTAAGCCATGACGATTATACAACAAAAGCTGAACATGAAACACCATTTAAAGGAATAATAAAAATAACTCTCCTTATTGATTGAAGAAGAGCTAAAGCGCAATTACTTATGCAAATGATACTCAATTTAAATTAAAACGTCTGTCTAAATTTTCCTAAGGTTGAAGTTGATTGAAAACCCAAATACACGAACGGTTAGAAATTTTAATTTCCCTCCCGTCTTTGTTTTCGCGTAACGAATTCATAAAATAATTAAAAACATTTTCTCTCATCGTTAATAAATAAAATCGTTAACCCTTCAAAATTTTAACTAACGCTAATGACATGATCTGAATCTCTGTTTTCTTTGTCTTCCGTTATCTCATTAGTCAATATTTTCCTTAAATCGATAAAACGGTCATTCACATTATGCGAAACAGTTTCAGACAGTTATTCATTAAGCAAAAGGGAAAATCTTTTTATAAATCCAAGTAAGATTTTTCTGGCACCAAGTGTATGAAAGGAATGAAAATCTCTTGAACTTTGACCCGATAATGACCGATTTCCAACTGCTAATCATCATTTATTGACAACTTGTTTCAGATTTTTTTTTGCTGATTAGAACAAAGAATAAAGAAACTTCACTGACAATCGCATGACAAGAAATATTAATTAGAAATAAAAACTGACTGATTTTTGATTGATTTTCATTTCAGTTACATACCGACTAGACTTTGGGGCTTTTCTGGTCATGTACAGACGATTCTACAATCGTTGATAGGTCGGGTCAAATGTCCATGGCCCTTAGGCGAAAGAGTGTACATTTCACTTCACGATGGCTCTACTTTGACTTATGATCTTTATCAACCTTTAAATCAAAATCACGATGATGACATCACTGTTGCAGTTTGTCCAGGTGTTGGAAACTCATCGGAGAGTGTCTACATTCGGACATTTGTGCATTACGCTCAATGCCATGGCTACAGAATTGCAGTGTTGAATCACATTGGCGTCATCGATACTATTAAAGTTACATCAGCAAGAATATTCACTTATGGTGAGTGAACTTACATGACAAAACTTGTGACTTTTTAGGAAATTTATTACATTTCGCAATTGAATAAAAAATGCGACGTTGTCAGTTTTCTTTAGGATTTTATTTCGCGCTTATTATCTGCAATGAAAAGTGTTTACTTTATAATGTCGTTTGTTGATAAAAACTTTGATATTTTTAAAACTTGATTATTGTTGATTGTGACAAAAAACAAGATAAAACTTACTTCATAGAATTTATTTTTAAATTGTAAATCAAGATTTTATTGTGCTTCAATGTTTTCTTATTTTGAAGATAAAAGATATGTTAGAAGTCTTAAGCTTCGACATTTCCGTATTTAATGTTATTCTTTCAAAATTAAGTTTCTCATCAAAGTTGTAAAGGATTGATTTTTGATCAATGATCATTGACTAAACATTCCTTAACTCAAAAAATATGTCTGAGGAATTCGATACTGCAAATATTTCTGTTGATCAGAATGTTTACTAAGATTGAACCTGAAACATGATCAGTCAACTCTATACAATGATATGTTATTGTCGAGCCTTTTGAATCTTGTGTGGAGAGATTGGAATGCTTTAAAATATTTAACGTAAACACTTGATTCTTAAATAAAGATTGCATTTTACCATGGGGCTTACAAAAGCCCCTATGGCGCAGAGGAAAGCGCGTTGGACTCCTAATCCAAATGTCGCGGGTTCGAATCCCGCTAGGGGTGAATTAGCAATCAATGTTAATTGCATTTTTTTCACCTTACAGGTCATACCGATGATTATCAAGCAATGATTGGCAGCTTGGTAAAGAAATATCCATCAACTCATATCATCTCGGTAGGATTTAGTTTGGGCGGAAATTTAATTACAAAATATCTCGGAGAGAAAAATGTTCTAAAGCCATCAAATATTATTGGTGGAATTTCAATTTGTCAAGGATATGATGCAAATATGTAAGTAAAATTTCACGAAGACGTTTAACGATGACTAATAAAAATTCTTTCAGTGCAACACAATGTTTGTTAAAATGGCAAAATTTTCAACGTTTCTACTTGTACATTCTCACTGAGAATGTAAAGGGAATCATAATGAAGCATCGAAATGTTCTCTTATCTGATGACGTTAAGCGGAGGTTTGGTTTAAATGAAAGAGAAATAGCTGCAGCTGCTACACTTCCAGAACTTGACGATGCATACACGAGAAAGATTCATAATTTCCCTTCAACAAATGAGATGTATAAATGGAGCTCTTGTATTAATTATTTGCCGAATATCGAGAAGCCCGTTGTATTCATAAACTCTTTAGACGACCCATTGGTGCCTGAAGTTTTATTGCATCCGATTAGAAATTTTGTTGGTAAGTTTCCTCAAGAATGTCAATTGCTTGGATTTCTTATTATTTATATTTAAAAAAAATCATAGAAACGCATCCGAAGGCTTTGTACATCGAATGTCAACATGGTGGTCACTTAGGATTTTATGAAGGAGGTTTGATCAATCCAAATCCGCTAACATGGCTTGACCGTATACTTGTCTCACTGCTAGGCGGTCTCGCATTCGCTCACAATGATATTGCCATGAAGAAATCAACGAAAATGACAATGTAGAAAAAATTCCTAGCGATCCTTCCGAGAGGGTCGTGGAATTTGATGCTCATTTTTTTCAACTATATTAAAACGGGAATTTTCAGATTTCTAAGCAGAAAACATTAGATTTTTTAAACAAACTAAAAAGGAAATTTTTGAGCGAGATTTTTTACAATGAAGGATAAGGAAATGTTCGGCACAATTTTAATTAAAGATTTGTATTGAAGGAATGTAAAAGGAAAAACGTTTAAGAAAAAACCCTGGAACTGAGTCATGTCACAATTTTCTAAGAAAATGTTAGTTGAATACGAGTAAAGCTGATAAAAGCTCCGTCAAACGGAAATTAAATGTGAAGTTTAAAATAAAAATTAAATGAAAAAATATCTGAATGTGATATATTTAAAGGAACTTCACATATACACATAATATTGTCTCATGGAAACTTAAAAAATATTAATAAGCTTTTAGGCTGTAATTTAAACAAATTATGATTAAATTGTAGAACGTTGAGCTTACGGGAAAAGTGCTTTGCGGATTTAAAACAAAAAGAGGAATAATTGAGGTTTTATACGACATTTTTCTTGATGAGAGTGAATTAATTATTTCAAACAACTTTAATTTATAGTCAGCATTTAATCGTTTAGCGTTCTTTAGAGCCACAAAATTACATTCCTTAGATCAGTTGATTTCAAAGCATGAACCAGTTAGTATCGTAAATATTTAAAATTCAATTTTTGGCTTATAAAATTTCTAGCTGACAGCTTTTTTTTTACCTTAACTAAAGATTCTTAGATCATCATTGTCGTTTTTTCTTTTTTTTCAATGATTTCAATTTTATCTATTTGACAATATTTCAGATTTTGATGAGAACTTTAGAAAAATAGCTGAAAGAAATTAATGTTTTCACAAAATGATGTTCGAACATTTAATTGATGTAACACAATACCAAATATTAATAAAAATATATAATTTTATGTCTGAAAACAAATCTGAAACAAATTTTTATTCTTTAAAAATTCATCAAACTTTATCAAATTGAAATAAAATTTATTGCAGTGAAGTATTGCAAGTGATTTTTGCCTCTATGGCGCAGTGGAAAGCGCGTTGGACTTCTAATCCAAAGGTCGCGGGTTCGAGTCCCGCTAGAGGTAAACTTTTTTCAGGTAGATTACCTAATATTTCGAATTCATAAATTTTTTTAATTTCTGTTAAAAGCTTTTGATGTTCATGAACATATTTAACATAAGGTAAGAAAAACCAAATCATATAACAAATGAACACTGAAAATAAAGTTTGATAATTTCCATTCAACTTCAAAAACAAGAGAAAAACAAAGAAAAGAAGTTTTGTGAGAATCTACGAAAACTTAGTCAATGAAAATTCCACGATTTTCTAAATGAATTTATTTCACACATGTTCTCGATGCAAAATTAAATTTTCAACCAAATGAGTTCATTATTATTTAAATTTATTTATTATCTTCATTAACTGATTATTGCACCACAAGTTCATGATTTAAGAAACATTAAATTCAAATATTTTTAATATCTTTAAAAGTGACTTAAAAGCTTCTTTAAGAATTTAATTGCTCACATTCTGCTGTAAGCACAGCAATTATAAAATATTCAACAGACTGATGCTATTTTTCCAAACCTACAATGATTGATCAACACAATTTTTTAATTAAAACTCTCGATGATTTAAAGAGAAGTTAAAAACCATTAAAAAAGGAAATGAAAGTTTGTATACAAAATTCATTGGATTAGTTTTTCAATTTCTTTTTTATTGCTTTCAATTTCAACTTTGTTTTTAATTGACAGGTAAAGAATATCTTAATTAAGTTAAGATGCAGTTCTTGTTCGATGATTACTTTCATAGGGTTTGTGAAGATTCCAACAAATATTTAATGGCAAAAATAAAATTTGCAAATTATTAATAAATCTTTGATGCGTCATCGGAACTTTAATACATAAAAATATTCGAAACTTTACAACGTCGGAGACAATCTTATTTTAACTTTCATAATTTTTACATCTTTTCGCGATACTCAATGATCACTAAATATAAAAATAAGAAATAAAATTGGGTGAAATTTCTTTCAAGACACACCTACAAATATGTTTTGTAATTTGACTTAAGAAATTTAACTAAATGAAAGATTAAAAAGTCGACAACAATCTCCAATAAAAATTTAAAATATCGTGGAAAAATAAGTTATTGATAGAACGATCGCGATTATAAGTATCTAAAAAAATAAATCATTTTGATGCCATTTTATAGCTTCTTGTATAACTAAAAATAGACAATTTTCGATGCTTAGAGAAGTTTCGTAAATAAATCTTAACAGATTTATGCGAAGGAAGTTATTGGAAGAGATTACCTGATTTATGATTATAACAAAAGTAATCTGGAGCAAACATCAAACCTGTAAAAATTTCTGCGATAAAAAAATGCAATTAATGTGCAATGAAAACATTTTTATTTATTTTTTCCTTTTTTGAAATAAAAACAACGTTGCACCTTACTAAAGAATAAATAAAAAGAAATAAGGAAATAACCACAAGAAATTTAATTTACATGTGCAAAAGTATTTTCATTGAATAATTTAAATTTTATGTTAAATCAAAAATTTGTGCTCAGTTTTTTTGTGAATTTTGTTTTCTGGGTCCATTTGTTCGCTTTAATAAAGAAGGTCTATAAAACATAAACAATAAAAATAACAAAACGCGTTCAGTGCTTTTCCTACTCATATGGCCGCGTAGTAAACAATTCTATTCTATTAGTTTAAAGTATCAAAAAGAATTTTCATTTCAATTTAAGATTTTACATCGAAATTTTTTTTATCCCAGTTTCAACCTCAACATTATTAACTTCTAAACTATAAAAAAACTGCTTAAGCTCATTAACAAGTCAAAATTGTTTCATTAATTACCACCTTCATTTGATGATGACGATCCAATCCTATAAGCTCCGTTTTTAAACACGATCACAATCGTGGAAATATTGTCCACAGAGCCTCTCGCATACGATTGTAATGTGATGCTTTTGGCACCAAAGTGCGGCTCTTCCAAATGCTCACGAATATAAGCTACGGCTTCTTCATTACTGAATGTATCCCACAACCCATCACTTGCAAGAATCAAGAACTGTGGCCTAGGATGAGCAGAAAATTATGATTAAATTTTATCAAATAACTTTCACTTACTTATGGTCTGCCAAATCAAATGTAAGGATATCGGGATCAGCAATGACAAGGTTTGGTTTCAGTGGATAATCTCCTAAAGCTCTTGACGTAGCAAGAATACCGGAAACTCTCCAAACACCTTTGAAAGCAATAAAACCTCCCGCTTCTTGAATTCTTTTATGTTCTCTTGCACTTTGTGGTTTGTGGTCGAATGAAAGTGGAATTGCCATTCCTTTCAAATCACACATAACACCACGAGAATCTCCAACGTTTGCGACAGTGAGTTTAGTGCCTTCAAGAATCGCTATAAGTGCCGTAGTTCCAGCAACATTTGTTTGTCTCTTTGCTTTCTCAACAAGTTTATAGTCCGCAAAAAGAATTTCGTCGGTTATCATTTTACCATATTCGATTTTATTTCCATTGTGAACGTAACATTTAGCGTCAAAAACCTTAGGTGGCGGTTGTGTATCACCGGATGCAGTCTGTTTATACATTGAGAATCCTTCTCTCGGTCTTAATTTGTTTAGTATGTCTGAGTCTATTTGATTGTTACTTCGTTTATTACTGTCATCTATTGTCTTTGCTCCACTTCTTCTTCCGCTTAATTTTCGTTGCAACATTGTTGTTGAACTTTCATCTTCTTTCTTTCTGTTATCACCAACTTTGAGATCATTTTCATCATCACCACAAACACCACCCGGAGACAAGTGTTGAGTGTTTTCTGTTTTAATCTTATTCCTCAAAATTTGACACGAATCTGTGATTTTATTATACAAATTCTGAACAAGGATGTCTTTGGCGAAATCAGCAGCAAATTCTCCTCCATGTCCATCGAAAATAGCAAACATTGATATGCCAGTCGTTCCATTAATATTTTCTTCTACCACGAAACTAAAATAAGATACAAAATTGTATTAAGGATAAGATGACAGACATTTAAAATGAGATAAAATCCCTGGCGTTACAGTTAAGCAATTGATTTCTGATGGCCAACATATGGACTGACTTTGATGTCATGTTTGAGCCAAGAAAGAATTATTGCGTGTCGGGTATTTCTTTCCCTTACACGAGGATACTATTAATAGCTTAATGCTTCTTTCTTGCGAAAATTGAGAGAAAATAAGCGCACGAATGTTTTCACTATCAATCAAAATTCTCCGTGAAAGAAAAAAATAATTCACATTTTATTTTGGGAAAGATCCAAAGCGCAAAACTAATTGATAATAAGTCACTTACCGATCTTCCATTCGTGGGCGACGTCCTTGAACAGCAAACACAGCTGATTGTTTTTTAATATCATCCCATGAATCCTTTTCAGCGATTGATGATGTAAATGAGATTTTACTCTTTGAACTATTGAACTTTATTGAATTCGATATTCGATTGAGAAAACCATTTGTGTTGAGTTCGATCGCTTGTATGTAGAAGCAAAACACGAAAACTACAATAGCTAAAAGAAAAATCTCTGGTCGAATAAGTAACTTGAAAAATTGTGTGAACATTGAATTATTCCCAGGTCGATTGAAAATTCCAAAGGCAAATCTTGATAGTAAACGCATTTGCGATGCACATGCTTGTTTTAGCACTTTCTCTTCTAAGTCATCTTCCATTCGAGAGTCTTTTCTACAATCTTTTGAAAACGAAACAACTAATGAATTGACTATTAATGAGGAATAAATGATAATCAGAATATTCTATTATTGTTTGAAACTAAAAGAATCCTATGAAGTCGTTAGCAAAATATTAAATGACTGTTTGTCACACATTTGAAAAATGCTAAAACGGACAAAAATTTATTTTATTCAGACTTAATTCATTTTATTCGCATTTAGATGAACGATATTCAACAGAAATGGATTATTGTACAGAAACAATTTATGTACTTCATCGAAATCGTTTTAGATATTCTCATTTTGATTTCGTTTCAATTTAATGTCACGAAGTTGAGCATTATAACGGCCAATTCCGGGGCCTTTGACGTTTGAAGAAGCCAGATACATACTAGCTGGGAGTTTTTCAGAGAGAAGAAATGCATAATCGAACCGAACAACAAATTGAGGAAAACGAATGTTGTGTTTGCTTCCATCAATTGAAGCTGCATGAATAAGGGCTAAAGAAGCCAAGTCTACCCAATTTCTTGCTTCTATGTGTGTAATTGTTGGATCAAAAAGTTTAGCAAACTTCCAATCTTCTCCATATGAATTTTTAAGCTTTCTTAATGACAAAGAATAAAATGCCATTTGCTCCATTATGATTGAATGCACATGTGCTGCAGTCTTAATAGGTTCCCTTATAAAATCATAAATCAAACAATATATGGTCATTTGAGCTCCCTCCAACAAAGATGTAATGTGATTAGCAAATGGTTGTAAAGGGTGGTCGAGGGTTTTTGAGATTTCATGAATATGGGTGAATATTCCGCTCATTAATTTAGGCATGAATGTAATCTTTCGATGTAAGGTCTTTAAATACTCTGTTGAGACTAATCCCGTAGGATCTTTGCTTGTTCTTCGGCCTGTGGTGAATTGGAGTGCTTGGTGGCGTGCTTCCATTGTTGCAGCAATTTTTTCAGAATTTTCCAAATCGGTGACGGAATAAATCATCAACATTAAAACAATATATTCTGCATCAGCCTGATTCAACACAGGGTGAGGATCCTCGCCTTTAAGCTTATCTAGAAGTTGTTTATCCTCAGCTGGAACTGGAATGAATCCATCATCAGGATTTTTTTCATAATCCAATAATACTTTTTTCAACGTTGGAAAGACTGCTAATAACATAGGAATATAATATTCCATACGTGGCTCATCATGAACTTCTGCTCCCTGAGCAAACACTCTTGGTATCATGAGGTTTGCTACAGCATAGCCGCAGAAAGTTTTTTTGCTTTTCTTCGCAAATTTGGCAGACACATGTTCACACTTTGCTTTTGGTAGTTTGATGTGTTTCAACTCATCTCTGGCATGCATCAATTGTAGTCCGATCGAAGTGAAAAAGATCTTTGTGGGAGATATAAAAGCTGGAACTAACTCATCTTTAACACGGAATAATAGGACTTTGGTTTTGCCCGTACTACCATCAAAAAGTGAAGCATGCTTTCCCCATTCAGATGACCATACAAAAGTTGTCTTAGAACTATTGAATAATTCCTCAATGGTAGGCTTATTCTCCATATTATCAAATATAAGCTGTTTGACTATTGATCTATTAATTAATTAACTAATGACTATCTATTATATTAATTGTTTTATAAAACATACCTTTCTCGTTGGATAATTGAAGAGTTTGCTAGAGTTGAATTCAAATTCAAGTTCGAATATTTTAGAACGCACTCGAATCATTCGCGAGAACCGAGCAGACCGAATTCAGTTTTTCATACATAATGCTAGCAACAACCTTTTAAAAAAAATTACTCGGTAGTCCAATTTCCAATACATCTGGCACAACCTTTCTTTTTAAACATAATCTAAATTTAGATGAAATATTTTCAAACACAATTTCTGTAAATAAATGAGTATATAGGTGAATTCAAAGTGAAAAGTGTTAAAACAATGACAATGAACGATAACGAGAATCCATTGAATTCTTTAGTTCTCCCAATTTTAATCCGGCCAATACTTTTGCAGGTGTGATGTGATGAGAAAAAAAATTAATTCACCTTTAAACTCAATTATATGGCTTAATTACAGTTGGAAAAACGTGATGTGGTAGCTTCACAAACATTACGAGCAGCTTTAACGAAGGCAGAACAAACAAACCCAGGATTAACATATGAACTTGTTAAAGGAATTATTCGTAAGTTTTCATATTTTTATATTGAAATATGTAATCATTGATCAAATATTCCATTTCAATAATTTTCCCCACAGATAAAGGAAACCTCAATGTTAATATGTACGAGAGTGTTCTGAGACTGCAAGGTGCTCAACAAGCTTTATCAGACACTTCCGACTGTGAGTATATTAAGTGAATGATTTCTTTAGTGAATCATCTTCATTACGAAGATGATTAAAAAGTTTCCAACTTAAATGTATTGTGTTGAGAAGTGTTAAGTAATTGACGAAGATTATTCGAAATTTAATAATCTATGCGATAGAAGAAAACTTTCCAGTAATTATTTACAACATTAGCTAAAACAAGTGAAGTTACAAGATTTTTAAAATATCTACTATCGTTAATTACACGCAGTAAAATTGTGGCAATGATGACTGAAAATAACTTCCTGTTTTCGGTTATTCACCATCAGCTTTATGCACTTACTTCGTCAATGTATCAAGTCATCGTTAATTAGTTTTGGTACATGAAGTCTGTTAGATGATATCGCAAAAGACTTTTCTTTCACGTTTTTCAACTTCTTTCTTGTCTCTTCTTTATTACCTCTCTCGCTCCCTTCATTCGCATGGTCTCGCAAACATTTCAACATGGATATGAAATTAAAAACCGGAAAATATGCAGTGATAGAATATCGATTGAATAGGAGTGAAGATGCTTTCCAAGAACTGAATAAGAAGTCAGCAGCTTTGAAGCGTATCCTCAGTCGTATTCCGGATGAGATCACTGATCGAAGGACTTTTCTTGAAACAATTAAGTAAGTAAACATTGTTTCTTCTTCCCTTTTTCTTTATTTTTCGAAAGCTAAACAATAATTTTCTTAAATAACATTAATCAGAGAAATCGCAAGTGCCATTAAAAAGCTGCTTGATGCTGTGAATGAAGTCGTTGGTTTCATTCCTGGAACATCCGGTAAACAAGCTGTGGAGCAAAGAAAAAAAGAATTTGTTAAATATTCAAAAAAGTTCAGCACAACATTGAAAGAATATTTTAAAGAAGGTCAAGCAGAGGCCGTGTTCGTCAGTGCTTTGTTTCTTGTTCACGTTACTAATCAAGTAAGTTCTTTAATTTATTTTATGCTGAATCATTTCTAAAATGTTTCTTTTTCACACTTCTCTTAACTTTCTAGATCATGATAACAGTGAAGAATAAATGTGAATGAAGTGAAAATTCAAGCTATTCGTGCTTTTGATTTCCTCCCTAGTTTTAGATAATTTTCCTTTTCATACATTTTATTATTTATCTTTATTATATATAAACATTTTGTTTCACAAAGGAAACTTTAAATTAATTAACTTTTTATTTACTTAATAATTGAATGACTGTTCAAAGTTCCAGGGTTAATTAATCTTTTAGAAAAAAATTAGTTTAGCTTTTAGCCAACAAAACAATCTTTGGTGATCATGTTGAAGAATACTTCGCTGTTGAAAGAATTAAGACAACTTTAATGAGAAAGGCTAGAAAAATAAAGTTAAAGATTAAAAGCAGTCATAATGAATTAAACAAAAATATGTTCGCTTCATTCATTGAAAAATCACTTTGATGGTGTCTGAACTTGTTCAACTTAGAAATATATTTTTCTTCCACAAATTTGTGAAAAAAGTAAAATATCCAATAATGCCTGTAAGTTAATCTTAACTTTGAATTTTGAGAAGCTCTTGTAAATATAAAAATTACGAATTCATTTCAATGAAATAAAATACATGCTGAAAAAAGTAACAAATTGTTTTGCCTTTGTTTCATTTGAAAATTTTCCAGAAAAATCTCTTTCTCCCTTTCTGGTGATGATGATGATGAAAATTTTCCAGGATGTTTACGTCATTTAAAAACGTTTCATTATGAAGATAAATGTCAAGTTGAAGCTAAGATTTTATTCTTGACTAGGTAGATTCTGGTGATTTCATTTCATAATCTGACATGTACTTGCAGTAACTTCTTTAATTTAATAAGTTAACGATACAAACCACTCGCTTGAAAAATAACCAGTAAACATCAAAACCTTCCCACTAATGCTTTTGGTTCAATCTGTTCTTATTCAACAGATTTTCTCTCAAGTTATAGTAAATGAATAGTATTTAGAAACAAAATCATTCAATAAAAAAACCAAAAATTTAACCATTGTGGTTGAATTTTGTTTTCATTAATTCAATAAAAAATATTAATCAGGGTTAATAAAATAATTTTTCTTAAACCTAATTCAATTTCAATTAAAAATAATTTTTAAAGTAATAAACATAAAAGCAGATTTCGTAATCAATCAAAACCATTCAAATAAAATCATTCTTTGTCACATGGTTCAGAAAACAACTCGTTACTATTTCCTTCTGGTTTAAAAGTGCACAATTCTGATTTGTGCAAACAATTCCCAAGATTTATTAGTAGATAATTGAATTTCTAAGTTTATATTTAATTAAAAAACGTGATATCATTTCAAATTGCCTTTATGATAACTGTGAAAATATTTATAATTCAACAAAAGTTTTTGCTTTCTTCGAAAGAACAAAAGACCTCGTTCTGGTTTCAGAAAATTTTCTAAATTACATAATTTAATGTTTAATTCTTATTTTTATAACCTGAAATAGAAGACTTACAAATTATATAAAATTATAAAAAAACATGACATTAACCATAGACTATTGATATTTATATAGAGTTGTCACCTGCGCTAACTGCAGCAATCTTTTCTTTATTGAACAAAATCACGTTTAATGAGAGTCTATCATAAGAATACACATTTAGAAACATTTTTATTTTTAAAAATAAAATCTTAGAATAATGAAATCGATTTATATATTTATGCAGGAAATATCTAATTAGTTTGCTTACACGCACTGCATGAGTATATCTTTAACTTCATTTTATTTGTTATTTACTTTTCGTATTTATCTTCAATCATGTCATGTCAAATTTAGAGTCGCCACATTATTTGTCTCTTTTTTAATTTGAATTCTTTTCAAATATTTTATGATTATGAATTACCAGATTACCTAATTCTATTGAAGCTGTTTCAGTTTGACTGACAATGTTTAAGATCCGTGATGTAAAATCATTCGTGAAATTGTATAACGGCTACTTGAATAATTAATATGCTAATAGAAAAAAGATTATTTTTGGACATTCCTAAATTTTCCCTAAATACATTTAAATATAAAACATTTCAATTTCTTTAAAATTAAGTACAAATTTCTGAAAACTTTATTTCCCAGTTTTCGCAAAAAAAAAAATTCAAGCCATACGAATGAACATTGGCAGAATTTAACTTCATGCCATTCAAAACACGTTGCTTAAACACGTGAGTAGGTGAACTTTAACTAGCAGGAAAGGGAAAATGAATTTCACGGCTGCGTATTCTATTTAGGATATAAGCAGATGAGTGTACTGTGATCACTTTTTCATTTCATTTCTGCTTTAGCCGTCTTACTGGAAGGATTAAAAATCTTCAGCTCTCCAGAGAAAATTATTGGATTAGTTAGTGCAAATTTGAATGAAGTGAAAATAAATTATTAAACATCGAATCTGCATAAAGAAAAATATTTTAAAAGTTTCTTTTAGAATGTATCCCAGTTTAAGTCATTAAAAAAACAAACCTGCAAAAATAAATGCAAGAAATAATAATTTGATGTTTGTGAGAAAATTAAAAATTGCATCATTATAAAAATGTGTGATAAAAAGTAGTTTTGATAAAAAGAATTGGAAATTTCTAATTAAGAAATATTAAAAACGTTCTAAACAGTGACAAATTTTTCGTATTCACTTGGGATTTAAAGCGGGTAAGATTAAATTGCTTATCGCATTGATTTTACTTCCAGTTTTATTTACCACTAATATAACGTGTAAATATTTATGATTTACAATTGACCTGCTTTAATAAATAATTTGCAACTATTTACGTCTTTACAATTAAAAGAAAATTCGCTTTTTTATTTATTTTATTTTCTATTTTCTGTGTGTTATTTATTTCGATATCTTTAGAATTTACCTTCAATACGATGTAAAATGTAGTTTAATTAGAAAAAAGTTTTGTTTCCTTACTTTTTCTTAATTAAGGAATGTAAATATTTCCACTGATGTGGGACTTTCTATTTAGATATTCAAATAAATAATTCTGTTAAACTGATATGAGTAATATAAAATTAAATGATATTTCTTATCAACATTCTCATTATGATCACAACTCGTAAGTTGACATTTCGACCCACTGAATAATACTGCGAATTTTCTTTTTGCTAATAATTAAAAATTGTTATTATCTTGTAAATAAATATCTGAAAGACGCAAAATTTATCCAAAATGTACAGTAGAAACTATTTTCAAAGAAATCTGAAACAATTTATCGGATCTCAAGCTAATCTTTCTAATTTCATCAATTTCCTTATTTCATTTCTCATTTCTATTATGTCTAATCTAATTCTGTAAATAAAAACTTGTTACTTATTATAAGTTTAATTTATAATTTTTCTGCAAAAATCATTTGTTTCGATGACAATGTGAATGTTACAAATATTGAATTTATATAAGCAAAAGATGGGAGTTAAAATTCCAGTGTTTGTCGTGTAAACAAACGTGACATCAAAAAATTTACATATGTACTTAGATATTGGAAAATAATCTTCATGTTCTTTTCATTCGCATAAATTAATAACAAAACAATTTCAGTCGGGGATTCTCTAATTTGGCATAAATCAATGAACCTTACGAAAGTTGAACTTAATGTTTTATTTCTTGACATTCTTAGATTTTTAAATAATTAATTCATACATTTTGAGTAAATTAATTCTTTTATCTGTTTGCAAACATTACCCCGACTAGTAATGAGTGCTCTTAATTAAATTAAAGTATCAAAGTTACCAATCTTTCCAACTACCTCAATAAGCAAAACAGAAAATATAAATAAAATAATTTTCCATCCACGTTAATTATATCGCTAAAAGTTTCAAAAGTTTTGAATATTTATAGAATTAAATGTTCTGCATTTTGTTTCAAAAGTAAAAATTTTCACGTTGTTTTTACTTTAGAAGACTTTCGTTTCTATTTCTAAAAATATAAGAATCGTGGCAACAAATTTAAATTTCAAATCCATAAAAAACTTTATAACAATCCTGATGCAGACAAAGGTAGAAACAAACGTGACTCGTGAATTACAAATTCGAGTTCCATAATATCTTAGGAAAATTCCTTAAAAACGTTGTAAAGACATTTGTCGATCTTTACTTTCCCTTTCCACTTTATACTGTTTGTTAACGTGCTTTTCAAGGTATTGATTTGCGATGTGGAAAATATTTCCATTACTGTGGAAAATATTTAAAATATGTATTTAGTAAGTCTTCCCCTTGTTTATACAGCTATTGAGCAAAACTGTCATTAATTGAGTCAGGTGTATGTAGATTAAATGAGTTGATAAGATTGATAATTATAAAATCCTCAGAATTAAATTGGAGTGTCAATCACCTCAGTGATCGTTTATGTCGTAAAGTAATTTCTGCTGTTGCTGCTGTCAAGCCAATAACAAAATTAGCCTTTTAAATAAAACAGTAAAATTATAATATTTGAGTTTGTCAAGAATGTTTGTTGGAAATGGGAGAAAAAGAAGTTTTGTACATAAAATTGAAGTTAATATTGAATTAATTCAGAATATTGTGACAACGTAGATTCCATTTTTCCTAGAAATTGTATTGGAACTATTAATTAAATGATCGTTGAGCTAAACTTACAAGATAGATCAGATGTCAATTTGATCATTATTCTTTAAGAGATTTCTACAAAAAGAACATTTTTAAACACTCATGTAAGAGAACAAAAAGTAATCGTAACATTCATATCAAATATCAAATTAAATCTCACCAAGATAAGATTTCTACATTTACAAAATTAATTAAGTTTCGGCTTTTTTTGGTTACGATTTCATCAGCTGTTGAATTATTTCATCGTAGTTCACCAGAATTTCTTTATGCATACAAACAATTTCATTTTTATTATGTTACGCATTAAAATCTTCAACCAACCAGGAAAATTGATGTTTCCGAAGATTAGACGTAAATTAAGTTCCATTGAATTCCGATGGAAGGACTTTAGATAGACAATCAACAGGTGGTAATGAAATATTCATTACTGATTGCTTCATTACTGATTTCCCATAAAAAATAAAAGTTCATTGCACTTAAATTTAAACACAACAATTGGATAGAAACAATCATAAACATTAAGTTTACATATCTAACATTCTTCCTCTATTCTTATACTTTTAGATGCTATATGGATCTCATCGTAAAGATTCAATTACTAAAACTAAAAATTTTCATCATCGTCTCTCAAATCTTTATATTAAGAATAACATAAATTATTAATCTTCAAACTGAATACAATTTAATCATCTAACAAAAAAAAATAACTAACAAGTACACAAATTGTTTCAAAGTATCTTCACTGAAAGATGGAGATTCTAAATAATCCACAAATTCACAGCACATTCGCGTCATTGGGCAGGATGGAAGGTGATACTTATATTGTTAACGACGATTGCATATCGATCCTTGAAGAAATCAGCTGCAAATTATCAATGGAAGATCATACATTAAGAACTTATCGACGTGCAATCGGCTTCGGACAAAATGTTAAGAGGGATATCGTGCCACTGTTAATCAGTGCAAAAGATCCAGAAATTCGTGATAGTGCTGTACGTTTGATGGTTAATTTAACAGTTCCTATTGAATGTCTTCTTTCGGTTGAAATCTTATCACAAACTGAAATTGGCCGTCATACTATTTATGAACTCAATCGACTTCTCTATACAATCAAAGAAGTTTTCGTTGACCTTAAAGCCACCAAAGCTATAATTGAATATATGAAGAGTATTCTTGAAGCTGATCATAAGCTCTCTGTAGCTCAATGTGAAAGCATAAATAATTGTCTTTTACTTCTACGCAACATTCTTCACATTCCCGAGCATATTCATCAACAAAAATCGCATACTTCAATGCAAAATCAAATTTTATGGAATCTCTTCACGCAAAGCATTGACAAACTTTTGATTCATCTAATGTCATGTCCACAAAAATCATTTTGGGGTGTAGCAATTGTTCAATTGATTGCCCTTATGTACAAAGACCAACATGTGGGGACATTACAAAAGCTTCTCAATCATTGGTTTGAAGCATCTCAAACAGATAGCTCAGATGATAACGAAAGTAACACATCACCTCCAAAACAAAGTAGCGGTGACTCAAGTCCAATGCTTACATCAGATCCCACATCTGATTCATCTGATAATGGCAGTGGCCAAATGACAACCATTTCCAGTAGTGACAATGCTGATAATGTTCGAATTGTTAGTGGAGATTTTCAGACGAACATCATTCGTGGCAAGCCGAAAATGGAGTCCAATCAGAAATCGAATGATTTTATTTCTTGCTTTGAGAGTACAGAATTTAATAATCAAGACATTGTCATGAAGGTAAGTCAGCTAATTGTGGAAGGAAATATTTAAAATTTATAATCTTTTATTGCTAACCTTTCATCAATCGCTTTCGAATTTAGAGTCCCGAACCAGCATCACCAACAACAAGCAGTAGCCAAGTGTGGTCACAGAAATCACGTAGTCAGTCTTCTCCTAGCAATCAGAAGCATTCCGCCAAGTCAAAGAAATTCCAGAACAAGCAGCCCATTCATTCACCTCATAACCAATCATCGGAGTTGTCAGATTGCGGATATGCAACTCAAGTCTCACAAGGTAAACAATTGTTGATGAAAACCAAGTTCGAAGTTTTTCATATCGCATCATCCCCAGGCGATCTTCAAGGTGAAAAAAATCGAGAGTCGATCTCAACGTCAAGCAACGATGATGACTGTCCAAATCAAAAACCAGCCCATCAGAAGCCTCCAAGCACGAACAAAAAGCAAAGATTCAATGCTGCATTGAAGCAAAGAAATGCAACAAACCCAACAATGCTTGCAACGTCAACCCAAGAGAAGAAAGACTCACGAAGAAAGAAGTTGGTGAAGCGCAGTAAAAGTACAATGATCAACATGAAAGGTTTGATTCATCATACGCCATCCGACGATGATATTTCAAATATTCTCAAAGAATTTACGGTCGACTTCTTGTTGAAGGGCTACGGATGTTTAGTTCAAGATCTTCATACAAAAATCTTAACCGACTTACAATTGTCCATCGATACTTCACATTTCTTCTGGTTGGTAACTTACTTTCTAAAATTCGCAGCACAATTAGAACTTGATCTTGAGCATATCAGCCCGGTGTTGTCTTACGAAATTGTCAGCTATTTGACCTTTGAAGGTGTAAGTCTATGCGAACAACTTGAGCTTACATCGCCTCAAAAAGGAAATGACTTGAGACCTTATCTAAGACGAATTCATCTCGTTGTGACTGCTATTCGTGAATTTCTTCAAGCTTTAGACGTATACAAGCGAAGCTCTCATTTATCACCAGAAGACAAAGAACTCATTCAAACACTTCAAATACAAATTGGGTGCACTGAAGACCTTCGTCATATGTTTGTGCTTTTGCTGCGCTGTTACAATCCAAGCTTTTATTCTCGTCAATATCTTCAAGACCTCATCGTTACTAATCATATTCTTTTGCTTCTTTTGGAAAATGTTTCAAATCTAACAGAGCAACGATATTCTGTTGATATGGTCGAGCATATCAAGCAGTTTGCAACTGTTGACATCATGCATCAATATGGAACTCTACTAGAAAACTTCCATGATAACAGTCAGTTTGTCAATGATTGTATCTTCACAATGATGCATCACATTGGAGGTGATTTAAATCAAGTGGCAATTCTCTTCCAGCCGAATATTTTAAAGACGTTTTCAAAAATTTGGGAAACGGAACATGAAATATGCGATGTAAGCTATAATAATTTTTTGTGTTTAACGTAATCTACTGATTGATATTAAAAACCGTAGGACTGGTCTGATCTTATTGAGTATGTTATTCATAAGTTCATCAACACCCCACCAAAGCCACAAATGAAAATAACAAGTCCCGTTTTAAGTGATGGAGTTGTAATCAAGTGAGTTTGAATTTTGATGTTTTTAATTTATTTTAATATTAATTTTTCCATTATTAACTTAATTAGTGATGGGTGGGCGCAAGAAGATTTGGACACTCTCTATTGGTATTACACACAAGGAAAAACATCCAAGGACGTCGTCGGATTTATTATCGATCAGATTCAAGAATCCGGGCATAGGACAAAGTCACGTCAAGAAGTCATTCTACGTTTACTACAACAAGACATCATTTCAGCAGATGAATATGAGAATCTTATGAAAAGTGAAGATTCACTTTATAAAGCAGAAGTGAAATCAAACAACAACGCTGATTCACCAAATGCTGAATCAGGAATTGAAATTTCTGATGAATCAGAATTGAATGGAATGAATCAGCTGGACGATATAAAGGTGAAATATTTACAGCAATTATATGAATAGATTTGGGATAATTGAGGAAATGAAATCTTTTAATTGTTTTTTAGGTCTTACGTGATCGATTGCTGAAGGAAAACAAGGGAAATCTCATCTTGTGGTTGCAAAGGGTTTTAACTGAATGTTGCTATGTGAAGCTTAATTTACTTTACTCGAATGAAAACATCTCAAACACTTCAACATTTTCCACAATTATGGAGCCAATACCAAGGCATTGCATACGTAAGAATCTGAATTAAAGAATTGAATTTTAATAAAACTTAATTAATTGTTCAAACAGTAAACAAGCAGTCGATTCCTTTGGTTCCATTCAATTCTGAACAGAATAAAATTCTTGTCTACCAACCCTTCGTGTTGTTACTCCACAAATTAGGTTTTCATCTTCCTGCTGATGCCAATAAACTTTTTGTGAGAATTCCAGAATTTTGGACATCGGAAATTTTATTAGCAGTCGCTGAAAAACTCGGCCCGATTCCCAGAAGTAAGTCGAAGTTTGATAAACTTTAAAAACATTTTATATGACATTTTCACTCTTGTTCAGGCATCTTAAAATTCGATATTAATCGAGTTAAAAAACTTCAAGAAGTTAATAATAAAATGAATTCAGCAGAAGATTCAAATCAACTGCCAAGAATCTCACAAATCGACATTTCAGACTCAAACTCGAAGGAAAGCTTCACGTAAATAATTGAAATATTTTTAAATACTTTGGGAAAATTAATTATTTATTTTTTTTCTCATTTTTCTGCATAATAAAAACAGTGCAAACCAGGATGCACCTCCAAACAGTCCAAATTGGCTTCAAATGGTCATGCAAAGCAAAACTGCTGTCAGTAAAAGGTACATTAATAAATGAAATGTTAACTGAAACTTTTGCATTAGAGAATTTAATTTATTTGAACTTGAAAATGTTTACTGACTTTTATTATGGTAAGTCAGCAAATCTGGTTAGGATTTTTCTATAAATGTCTCAAATATTAATAATTTATAAATTGTCATAATAAATGTTTTAATTAAAGATGAAGAAATGAGAAATCAATTTTAATGACTAACCGATAAGATATTTTAGAAAATTTCTTCTATTAAAATATTTGTAGCATTTTGATCGACAATTGTCAAAAATATAAATTTTCAGCCTTCATTTTTTATCTCTTATTGGTAGGCTCAAGTTTCTTATATCATATTTCAGTCGATTCTTGAAGTTTAAGTATTTCAACTTCTTCCATAAGAAATTTAATGAACTTGGTATTGACTAATGAAACTTAAGGAAATTAAATGTTTCAGACAAACTTCCCTACTTAAAATGGTCTACAAATTCAACTAAGTTTAGTTTTATTCCTCAAATAAAATATAACTGAATAAATATCAATGCAACTTATTCTCAATGTTTAAAATCTAAATGGACTGTGGTGAAATCTTCGATTAAAATCATTTAAATATTTGAATTCTTACAGAAATGTTTCTTGACACATAACGCAAGCTGTGCAAGCTGCAATAACAACGAAACCATCAGATCTTTTAATTTTATCAAAAGCACACACTTTCCTACAACTTTCATCTCCAACTAAAAGCGATAGTCACATGTTGCGTCCAAAAAATGATTTAAATGTGATTGTCGAGTCAGCGAGTTATGGAAAATGTTTTGAAAACCCTGAGAATGATATCAATGAGTAGGTGAACGAATGAATGTTCTCGTTCCATTTTCATAACTAATAACTTTTCTTCCCAGATCTTTTGAAATCAATTCTGCGACATCGAGTTTAATTCAAATGTATGTTAGCGATGAAGAGGATAAACATGAAATTAGTTCAGTGTCTACTCTGTAAACCTCACCAATTCCTTAGCAAAGTATTCAGGGAATAATCCCTAAAATCATTCAGTGCCACCTGCCACTTAAATGTTTAAAATTTCTTTACATTAATCAAGAAATTAATTAATAAACAATTAAAAAAATCATTTATGTTAAGAAATAACATTAGAATCAATGTTGTACAATCAAATGAAAGGAGAAATGTGCAAGTAAGCAGGGTTTTGGAGTGACAACTACTCCGGGCTGTGTTTCCAGTATTGTTAGATTATGTTAGCCTTCTTCGAGATAATGAAAGTTATTTCTCTCTAATAAATGATTTCCGATTGAAATTTCTTCAACATTAAGGAATAAATCGTCATTAAATTAAGGGTTGCAGTTGAAAGTTTTCATTGAATTTTGAGATATTTTAACACCAGTTCAGATTTTTGAGTAGGTAATCAATTGAAATGTATTTTTTTAAAAATGTTTAAAAGTTTTGAATAAAATTGTAATGGTAATTGTCATATAAGAATTCTGTTTATTTATTCATACAATTTAAAAACCTTTCAGAATCAGTCTCTCAGTCACGTGGCGACAAATGAGTTTCAAATCAATTCCATTGTTGATTTCATTCTGATTCAAAGATAAAATATCGATAAAAAAAACTTTCAGAAGTTTACTTTTTGTTTTATTTCTCATTTCACGATTAGAAATAAATTTATTTTACGATTTATAAGAAAACTTCGTGATCAAAATTTCATTGAAAATTACGTATAAAAATCACAAAATTTTCTCGAATTTTCCATCAATAGTTCAGTAGCAGTTCATGAAGAAGTGATGGAAAGGAAATTAAAGAAAATTTTGTGGATTTTACTGATTTTTGAAGTTTTTGTTGTGCACTGTGAATATTTTACAGTTGTTGGACCGAAGACGTTAAGAATCAATGAACCGTACAGAGTTGCTGTTACTAATCATGGGTTTGAAGACGTTATTGATGTTAGCGTTGGAATCGTTGGTATGTCGACGTATGGGGATGAAGTGGAGGTTTATAAAGACTTGAAACTAAATCCAGGCGACACTGCTTTAGCTAAATTTAAAGTACTGACTCACAAATTATGTCATAGATTGAAACTATTGAAGTTTATTTCTTAACAGTTACCTAACTTAGCACCTGGATCTTATAATTTATCAGCCTACAGCAATGATTTTTACAAAACTATTCCACTTTACTTAAATCGACAAAGAGTTTCGATATTCATACAAATTAACAAACCCGTGTTCAAGCCTTATGATCTCGTTGAATTCCGAATCTTTGCTTTGAACTCAAGAACGAAGCCTTATAGAATAAATCAAAATGCTAGAATCTGGATTGTAGATCCGGGGAATAATCAAGTAAAAGAATGGAACGTTCACGAACTAGACAATGGTTTGTTCGAAGACATTTTACTTTTAAACGACGCAGAGCCAGGAGAGTGGGAAATTCTTGCTGAAATTGATAATGAAGTAAAATTTTTACATAAAAGTTTCCTTAATTTAGTTATTCACAGTTTTCTTAATGTAGCTTTCTGCTAATTCTTTTGAAGTTCGTAAAGATGATAAACACATTTTGGAATTGATTCTGAATACACCAAGTGAAAGTGTTTCATTTCGAGAAGGTTCAATAAAATTTAGAGTAAAAGTAAAAGCACTCATTAAAAGCTCAATAATTGGAAGCAGTGGATTCGCTGGAATGCTAAATGTCGCATGCAATAATCGTGAATCTTTGATTTTTAACAAAAAAATGCGAATGGAGGATGAAGCTTTTATTGATATTGATTTCAAAAACGATTTAAAACTCGATTCAATTTCGGACACGAGAAGCTTTAATCTTATTGTCGACTTTAAACATGACGCAACGAATAAAACATTCAGCGCTGCTACTTCCTTCAATGTAGTGATCAGTGATTACATGATAAGTGTTGTGCATTCACCTCAGTTCTTCAAGCCTGGCATCCCCTACAGCTTCACTCTTCTTGTGACAAAAGTTAACGGCTATCCAGTCCTTGATTCACCATTTTCTGTCGAAGTTTTTATCGTCGATGACGACGGATTTTCTTTATTGCACGCGAATTATTCATTAGATCCATTCACGGGTGGAATTGAAATAGACGCAGAGGGAATCTCATTGACCGCGTCATACTTAAAGATAGAAGCTAAATACGATAGAATAACGTATGAGAAAATTATACCACGAGTGCGAGTCAATCAGAATTATTTTATATCAATCAATGTGTTGACACCGAGGCAAGTTTAAATCTAAATTAATTAATTGAAATTGAAGAAAAGTTTTTGTTTTACCTTCTTTAGACCAGCAATGTATGAAGCTGTTGATTTTGAAGTGTTAACAACATACGACACTCCCACAGCCGTCTTTCAACTCTTCTCGAAAGGCCTTCTTAAATTAACGAGAGTCATTTCATTCGATGAAGGAACATCAGTGTTTACAATCATTCCAAAATTTTCTTATACACCAAAAGCTCATTGCATTGTTTTCTTTATTGATGGAGATGGAGAAATTGTCAGTGACAGTATTACGTTGCACTTTGAAAATGTCCTTCCAAACCACGTGAGTTTCATTTGGAGATTTTTTAATAAATTCTATAATTAAACTATTGACAGGTTCACATCGAAGTTGACTCATCTCATGTCAAACCAAATGAACATTTCGTACTTAATGTTTCAAGTACTGTTGGATCAACCGTCAGTCTTCTAGCGATTGATCAAAGAGTTCTTTTGAAAGGGTATGGAAATGACATCACGAAAGAATTTGTTTTTGATCACGAGCTCATAAAATATGATAAAATTCCGAGTGATAAAATCTACGATCGTGAGATTCCTATTTGGTTCTATCATAAATCTTATCAAAAGAAATTTATGGATGTTGGTGCAGTGATTTTGACTAATGCCATTCAAGTCATTCCATGTAAAACATTAAGTTCGGAGGATGATGTTGAAGTTCCAACAGAAGATATGATAATAAATGATTGTGACATGACAACACCAACGCCAAATCTTCCACCAACATTTCCAAATGGTCACGTAAGTCAAAACTTCTTCGATACCTTCTTGTTCAAGACAATTGATGTTCGCACACCAATTCAATATGGAAATCTTCGTGCTGTTGAGTTACTTAATGAAAAAGCACCTGACAAAGCAACATCGTGGGTGATTACTGGAATTGCCGTAAATAAAAAATACGGTCTTGGCATTACTACATCACCAACTATTTTGAGCACATTTCTATTGTTTTATATCGATTGCATCTTACCACATTCAATCAAAATAGATGAGATTGTAGTAATTGAATTTCTTGTTATTAATATTTTTGACATTGATTTGAAAGCAGATGTGAAATTTCAAAATAATAACAATCAATTTGATATCATTCGACCTTATGCTTATAATTGGACGGCAATCGATAACGCTCAACTACAAAAAATATTGATTGAAGCACATTCAATCTATCGACTGAGGATTGAGATTCAACCGAAAATTGCTGGATTGATTGACATTAATGTCTCGGCAGTTTCCTCCAAAGCAGGAGATACGGTTGAAAGGCAGTTGATTGTATTACCAGAAGGATTTCCAGTTTATGAAAATAAAGCAAATTTCTTTTATATCGATGAATGTGAAGCAGATGGAAAGAAATTTACTATGACATGTTCAGCTCCAACTGATGGAATTGATGATTCCATTCGAGTATCTGCTTCAGTCTCCGGTGACGTTCTTGGACCAGCATTGAAAAATCTTAAAAATCTGATTCGAATGCCACATGGTTGTGGTGAACAAGTTATGATAACTTTTGTTCCTAATCTCTTAATCAATGAATATTTAACAGTAACAAATCAAATGACGCCAGAATTGCTAGGAGTCATTAAAGGGTATTTAGAAAACGCTTATCAAAAAATGCTTTCTTTCCGTCATACTGATGGATCATTTAGCGCCTTTGGAAAAAAAGACACATTTGGATCAACATGGCTAACAGCTTATGTTGCTAAATATTTCCGAGCAGCTCAATCTGTCATTGACATCGATGAACTTGTGATAGCAGAAGCTTTAGAGTTTCTCAAGTCAAAACAGAACAAGGGCGGAAGCTTTCGAGAAGATGGAATCGTATTACATGAAAACCTTCAAAGTGAAACAAGCGGGGGTGTCGCATTTACAGCATTTGTCGCTCTAGGAATTCAAGATAATCTTGAATTGTATCCTGAATATAAAGATAATGTTGACAATGCGGTTAATTATATCATGGAAAATTGTCAAACATGTGATTTGTACTCACTTGCACTCGCAACTTATCTTCTTCATCGAACTGACAATCACAACAAAGGAATATTCATAGAAAAACTCATGGCAAACAAGACAAAGCAATCAGAATACATTTATTGGAAGAATCAACCACCAACAAAAGAAACAAGCTCTATAGATATCGAAATAACTTCATATGCACTTTTGACAATCAATCTTATTTCAGAACTTTATGATGATGGATTTAAAATTCTTCATTGGCTTGTTTCACAGCAAAATTTTAAGGGAGGTTTTATATCAACTCAAGACACTGTTGTTGCTCTACAAGCAATAACTAAATTTGCTTCAAAGTTTTCAACAGAAGAAGCAAACTTATCAGTTGATATTCAACCTGAATTTGGTGAAAATGTTCACGCAGCAATCAATCAAAATAATCGGTTAACAACCCAAACATATTTTCTCGATAAAAAGGTGAGAATGATTAACGTTGTGACCAAAGGAAAGGGCTACGCAGTCGTTCAATTGTCATGCAATTATCATCAAGAAGATTGTTACGTTAATCAAGGTTTCAATCTTTCAATGTCATTTGGAAATGATTCTTGTGATAATAAATTGATATTCAACGTGTGTGCTTCTTATTCAAGCAATGAACCCTACAGCAACATGATCGTCGTCAAGATTGATTTTCCAAGCGGATTTATTTTTGATTTCGACACAAAATTGGCAAATGAAATACAAGTAAGTAAAAAATTAATTTCAGAAATTATTTATAATAGCACAAAATAATTTCACAGAAACTGGAAGAAACAGCTGGTGGCTCATCAGTGAATGTTTATATGAACAGTTTATCTGTTAACAATACTTGCTTTAATCTCACAGCGTTAAGAATGATGCAAGTTTATAACGAAGCGACATCAAACATTGAAATTCTTGATTTTTACGATACAAGTATATTTGTCTCTCTAAATTTGAAACTTTTAAATGATATTTATTGAATTTCGTTGCAGATAAAAGAGCAGCAATTTTCTACAAAACGCCATCTAATTTACCAAAATGTTACGACAGATCAGAAACTGCTCTGCCGCCTGTAGAAAAGTTTACAACTATGGAAACGCTTCTAACGACTCCTACGACTCCTATTACATCAACATCTTATATTCCAAGCCTCCCCTCTGTTCCATCATCTAGTCCTAACTTTAATGATTATTATGATCTTTCAGACGAATCAAGGGCATCACCTTTATATTCAGAAGACAATTCTTTCGCATACAGTTCAAATTCAGATGAAGAACTATCAAATCCAACTTATGAATCAAAATTTTCATCTGAATTATCTGAAGCAGAATCTTCTGACAATGAAATTTCCTCGGAAAATGAACCAGGTGGAGATTATTCTGTTCCAATTTATGGACCAATCGATGAAGTTTCTTCTGTAGGTTAAATACCTGGTTAGCTACTTCTTAGTTTTATTCCATCTGGAGCTGAATCTTCTGACGGTGAAATTTCTTCGGAAAATGAACCAGATGAAGATTCTTCTGTTCCAATTTATGGACCAATCGATGAAGAATCAAATATTCCATCTGAAGCTGAATCTTCTGACGATGAAACTGCTTCGGAAAATGAACCAGATGAAGACTCTTCTGTTCCAATTTATGGACCAATCGATGAAGATTCTTCTGTTCCAATTTATGGACCAATCGATGAAGAATCAAATCTGTCATCTGAAGCTGAATCTTCTGACGATGAAGCTGCTTCGGAAAATAAACCAGATGAAGATTCTTCTGTTCCAATTTATGGACCAATCGATGAAGAATCAAATATTCCATCTGAAGCTGAATCTTCTGACGATGAAACTGCTTCGGAAAATGAACCAGATGAAGACTCTTCTGTTCCAATTTATGGACCAATCGATGAAGATTCTTCTGTTCCAATTTATACACCAATCGATGAAGATTCTTCTGTTCCAATTTACGGACCAATCGATTTAGAATCAAATCTGCCATCTGAAGCTGAGTCTTCTGACGATGAAACTGCTTCGGAAAACGAACCAGATGAAGACTCTTCTGTTCCAATTTATGTACCAATCGATGAAGATTCTTCTGTTCCAATTTATGGACCAATCGATGAAGTTTCTTCTGTTCCCATTTATGGACCAATCGATGAAGAATCAAACCTTCCATCTGACGATGAAACTGCTTCGGAAAATGAACCAGATGAAGATTCTTCTGTTCCAATTTATGGACCAATCGATGAAGAATCAAATCTGTCATCTGAAGCTGAATCTTCTGACGATGAATCTGCTTCGGAAAATAAACCAGATGAAGATTCTTCTGTTCCAATTTATGGACCAATCGATGAAGAATCAAATCTGCCTTCTGAAGCAGAATCTTCTGACAATGAAATTTCTTCGGAAAATGAACCAGATGAAGACTCTTCTGTTCCAATTTATAGACCAATCGATGAAGTTTCTTCTGTTCCAATTTATGGACCAATCGATGAAGAATCAAACCTTCCATCTGACGATGAAACTGCTTCGGAAAATGAACCAGATGAAGACTCTTCTGTTCCAATTTATGGACCAATCGATGAAGATTCTTCTGTTCCAATCTATGGACCAATCGATGAAGAATCAAATATTCCATCTGAAGCTGAATCTTCTGACGATGAAACTGCTTCGGAAAATGAACCAGATGAAGATTCTTCTGCTCCAATTTATGGGCCAATCGATGAAGAGTCAAATCTTCCATCTGACGATGAAACTGCTTCGGAAAATGAACCAGATGAAGATTCTTCTGCTCCAATTTATGGACCAATCGATGAAGAATCAAATATTCCATCTGAAGCTGAATCTTCTGACGATGAAACTGCTTCGGAAAATGAACCAGATGAAGACTCTTCTGTTCCAATTTATGGACCAATCGATGAAGATTCTTTTGTTCCAATTTATGGACCAATCGATGAAGAATCAAATATTCCATCTGAAGCTGAATCTTCTGACGATGAAACTGCTTCGGAAAATGAACCAGATGAAGATTCTTCTGCTCCAATTTATGGACCAATCGATGATGAATCAAATCTGTCATCTGAAGCTGAATCTTCTGACGATGAAGCTGCTTCGGAAAATGAACCAGATGAAGAATCTTCTGTTCCAATTTATGGACCAATCCATGAAGACTCTTCTGTTCCAATTTATGGACCAATCGATGAAGAATCGAATATTCCATCTGAAGCTGAATCTTATGACGATGAAGCTGTTTCGGAAAATGAATCAGATGAAGATTCTTCTGTTCCAATTTATGGACCAATCGATGAAGATTCTTCTGTTCCAATTTATGGACCAACCGATGAAGAATCAAATCTTCCATCTGAGATTCCTGATGTAGAAGTTGGCGAAGAAGTTTCAGAAAGTGAATCGAACGAATCCTCTGGCGAAATTGAAGCATCTTCAATCATTGAAGAATCAGATTTGCCGTCACCATTTTTGAATTACGACTTTTATAGTGATGATATTATCACTGAGCTTATTGATAGCGATTCGATTTCAGAGCATCCATCGAACCCATCATCTGATTTGGAACCTCTTGATTCGAGCACTTTTTATGATGCGGAAATTAGCTCAGTTGAATGGGCTGAATCCAAATCTTCAGAGCAAGAGTTTTCAAGTATGCTTTATGAATCGAGTGTTTCCACTGAATCCGAGTTTTCAGATCAAGAATCTTCAGCTGATGTTTATGATTCAAGTTTCTCTTCTGAGATAGTTGAAACTTCAGATCAAGATATATTCAGTAATATTTATGTATTAACTTCTTCTTCTTCTGAAATATCATCATCAACAAGTAGTTATGAGACTTCAAGTACACGCGGTTATCCACAAAAACCTTCTGCAGATTCAAATTCTTATACGAAATTGAGACCAAGACCACCAAAAAGAAGTAGAAGACCTCGTCCAATTCCACCTGGTTACAGAAGGCATTAAAAAGACACATCTTAAAATTACCGAAACAATGCATCCAAGCAGGCTTATGGCATCCAAATATTAATAATCACAAATATTTCTTAATCACCAATATATCTTAATCACCAATATTATCTAATCTATTATTCACTTTTGCGTTTTTCACTTATTATCCAATTATCTCTTATGCACAATTATTTTATTCCACAAGTTATTGATTTCATAAAATTATAAAATGTTCCTTATAAACATCAAACTTGATACAGGTTAAGGATGAATATCAATAAAACTTAATTAAGCAGCATTGAAAACAAGTCTCAGTCTAAAATTAACCAAAAAGATAGAATTAGAGAGTATTATGAACATATAAGAAAGGGTAAGAAGTTCTTCTTCTATTGAAATGAAAATATCCATTAAATATATTCATCACTCACGAAGTGTGTAAGAGAACTAAAGTAAAAAACCTACAAACAAATTATTAATGTCTAAAAGAAAACTATACTTATTAACTTTATCTGTCACGTTGAGTATTATATCGATTCGTAAATGTCGAAGATATCTGCTACTGGCATGTAGTCATTAAAAATTGTAATTGTTAACTCACGTTTTATGCTTAGAATATTCAAGGCTTTGACATCGAATATTGACAACCTCAACTTTAGGTTCCAAATTTTTTAAATTATCAAAAGTTGTGTTTTAGTTACTAAAACTTTTTATGATTTTCAATTTATTTTGAATCTGCTTTTCGATGATTTTTAAAAATAATCTGCAGGGCTAATTCAATTGTCGGTTAAGCTTTTTATTACTCAAACAAGTGTTAATTATCTCAAGCTGCTTTAAAATATAATGTGTTGAACTGTGCGTGAACTCAATGTGTAGACAAATATTACACCATCACAGCCGTTAACCAATTTCTTCATTTCATGTTTTTAAATTGAAGCATGTGAAGTCTTTAAACATATCAATTACCTTTTAAACTTCACAAGTCATTGTTTTGATGTAAGAAAGTAAGTAAATATGAAACATTAAACTTTCAATATTAAATCATCAAGACATAAAGAACGTCATTAAGAGCTTCTGGATTTAAAAATCAACAATCGCTTGTGACAATATTTACCTTCAGGCAATAAGTGGAAGGAAAGTTTAATAAAATTCATAAGAAATATGAAACAAAACCGAGAGTTAAACAAGCCCATTGGTTTTCGATTACCTAAAAGATAGGTTGAATTAAATAATAAAATTAACATCATGTTAAAATGCCACAAAAATGAATTGGCATGAAATAATAATTTTTTTCGATTCTCATTTTCTTAATCAGTTTGTTAAAATTTTAATTTCAAATTCAAATAAACAAAGATTATCCATATTTACAAACAGTGAAAACTTATAAATCATCAAGATTAATTTTCATCTTATTAGGTATTCAGTTATTGGAGTTGAAAGATCCGAATCTTATAAGGTAAAGTTACATTGAGTCAGGTCAAAGCGAGAGGAACAAGTTATGATTGATTTTAATTCGTCAGACAGAAATTAATTTCGTACTGACTCGTTGCGTTAAACAGTGAAATGGGAAATAACAATAAAGCGTAAACAAAGTGATGAATCTTATGGTTACATAAGTGAACAACTAAAAAAGATTAAAATTCATCGAAAACATCTCACGTTGTTTGTTTGTTTTTGGTTGTTCAAGAAGCACAATAAATATTTTAATCTAGAACTAAAATTAATTTCAAACGCATTTCTTTAATTAGCAAAAGAAATTTCTAATTAGATTTCTTAGACATCGTAAATGAACTTCTTTTATTATAAGATTTAAGATTAATAACAAAATTATATATCTGTAGGCGACTTGTGCTCGATGTTGAATAAGTTCGCAAGAAATCTCCTTCGATAAAGCTTCAATTCCTTAAGCATAATCAACAATTGCAAGAAGTTAAACTATTTTCTGTGCTACTACAGAACTGTTGTTGTGTCTAGGTCATGAATCAAAACAATGTTCAAAGAATTTCGTAACTTTGGTTATCTATTCATTTGGAACATCGAACGAATTGAATTTCTATTTATGGATTTATTGATTTATATCAGAAATTATTGTCTGGTATTCTGAATTCTAAAATTTGTTTGTGTTGTTCAAATATTTGTTGAATATAACTTTAAATCTACCCGCATTGAGTTGATGAATAAATCGGCCAATAGTCATTTAAATCTTTGTTTGTTTTTGTTTGCATTCTGCTATTTCAATGCGAATTATAGTAATCAAGCAATTACTCTTTATTTGGTTGTAACTCCATTTCAACTGAATTCGATACACGCGTTCGCTCTTAAAATCTTTTGAGACTGATAACAAAATTTAACGCGATTTTCGTCCCGACCTTGCTTTATTCAAACAAAATTAACCGTTTTTTATGTTTTCACTTTTTTATGGGCTTTTTGTACGCAAAATAATTCATGCTGTGAATAATAAAAAGCGAATTGACCTGCAATGAAGAAACTTTTATGAGATGAGCTAATAACGAAATGCTTAGTTTGTTTTAAAGACGTTAATCTAATGAAATTTTGATGGAAACCTGAAATGAAAAATGAGAATGAAGATCTGCCTAATTGAAATGAAAATATGTCAGATTTTTGTTGCTCTTACTACTGTCAAGGCTTCTTAAAGCTTTATATATTAAAAACATTGAAGTCATTAACTTTAAAATGTTTTTCTTTACATTTCTTTGCTCTTTTGTGCATAAAATGACATAAAGTATAAAAATCATTCTCACGAACTGTAACAACAACTTAAAGTCCTAATTTACACTATTTTCGACTTCTGTGGGAAACACAAATTAAACAATGACAAGAACTTTTTATTCGGTAAGTTGTAAAATTTATTTAATATTCTTGTTTTCATTATCACTTATCTAACACATAAGTATTGAATAATTGCGAGCTTCAAATCTCACGAGCAAAATGTCTTACATGATATCCAACTGCGATTCTCTGCAGTGTTTCCACGCTGTCTCAACAGAAGTCTCAAGTCGTGAGTTGCCTCAATAACAATTTAAATATCATCGCAAAAATGTACGTGAATTCTATGTGTTAATGAAATTTACGGGTTCTTTAAAATTATTACATTTGAAAATTAATCATATAGCGCTACAGTTGGGAACATCCAAAAACTATCTCATTCCGTACCAAACGAGAGATTGTTAAAACGTTTTAAACTTGCTCTTTAAATTTTATTTCATTTTGAGCGTGGTGCGAGTTGAGTCTTTCTTAATGTTTCGCAGTTTTTTTGTAGATAAATGTAACTGAAAGCAGTCATTCGTTTTTAGTCTAATTTTGTTGCTTCGTCTGTCTACCACGCGACGCTTAAGTATTTGAGTGTTAAAAGAAGAAAAAAAATTCATTACTGAAATTAATTAAAAAATTATTAGAGAACTTTATGAAATAAAGTCACCAATTTGGTGGAAAGTTAAAAAACATTTGTGAGAATATTTGAGGATTAAAAATGATGTTAATGGTAGGTGGAAAACAATTGCAGTGATCAATTTAAAATGAATTATAATCGCACCTGAATGAAATTATTGAAACGTAACAAAGGAATTTGAAATATTAAATAAACTCCAATTACATTTGTGCATGGTGAACTATATTTAATTAATTATGTTCAATTAGATAATTTTCATGGCATTTTTATTAATTTTTTAATCGATCGAATCAATTACCAGTAAAAGTAAAAGAAATGATTTAATTAATACCATAAAGTCGCGACTCGCGAATACTACTTATTGACTCATTAACCCTGAACAGCAAAAATACGTGTTTAAGATGAAACATTAAAATGTGCGCACCATCGTAATCGCTTTAAACACTTATTAATTAAACGGGTTGCTACTTTTTTAATTAATATGAAACTCCAAAAATATGAAATCAACATGTGTGTGCAATTTTCATCTTAATTTTTATTTCTTAACCATTGCACAATCGCATTTGAGTGAATAATTTATTGAATCAATTGCGTATGGGCACGGACTCATATATGCAAGCTGTACGAATAAACGAAAGGGAAAGTACATTTTATGTCATAGCAGAAGTCTTCTCACATTTGATTCAGACAGTCCATGAATCATAATCTAACAAAAAAATAACAAAAAACCCAATAAAATAAATTCACCATTTGACAACGTCAACACTAGTTAAAATTCAACAATAAAAATTTGATTGATTTACGCGTGTTGATTCAGATTGAAGTTCAATCAGCAGACGTTTTGTTTGTTTCTATATTTCCATTTAATTGAATGCACCACATCACTTGACGTCTGTTCTAAAATTAAGTTGATCGCAAATTTTAGTTACTGCACCATGAAATATGACATACATTTGAAGTTACTGCAGCTCTCAACCGCAGCCACAGATTTAAATATTGATCTAAAGCACTGAACTCAAAGTAAAATATTTTAATGCTTAAGCACAGCGGTAGCAAAAAGTTTTATCATTTTTTATTCTTTCATTCCACACGCATTTCATGATCAATGATCAATCGTTGAATTTTTTTCTTTTCAAAATATTTCATGAATGAAGAAAATTTGTTAGTAAGAAATCAGCCGATAATATTGGATTTGAGTTCGAGCGTGAAATTTTTATTTTGATTTCTGTCAAGATTTATGTTCAAACATCGTCGATGCATAGACAGATTATTATTATAAAATTAATAGATTAAACTCGAGTTACGTTAACCACCTGCGAGTTAACATTTTATCTAGAAAACACTCTCAGATCGTTTAAATCTTTTCAACAGGATTTTGTTGAATCACTAAGCCCTATTAATCTACTTTGAAGCACGATTAAAAGTTAAGTGTAAGGAGTGTCAATCTCAGACAGTTTTCAAAGCACCTTCAAGACATTTGACCCATAAAACGCACTTTGCATAAACAAACAATAAAAATTGTTTTAAAACTTACCAATAAGTCACGTTTTTGACATGAAATGTTTCGATTTTATTGACCGTTAAAGCAGAGCTAAATTTGTGAAAGTGAAATGAGAGATGAAAGAGATCTATTTGTCGTAAGAATATCAGATTTAAGATAAGTTAAACTTATTTGGCGTCAAGCAGTACTTCAACATCAACAACATTGACCGAATTGAAGTACTTTAACATTTGAGTCGCAGATAATTATTTAACTAGAAGCGAGTTAAGTTTGATTATACTTTTTAATAATGAACGAACTGCTAACCTATGGGCGTATGAAGTTGACATTTTAAAGTGCGTATGCATGAATCGATCTGCTCAGTCGCTTACTTTGTCAAATGCAATTGAAAGTATTCAGGTCATATCTGCTAGTTTTTCCTCGAGATAATGCAGGTCTCTGTCAGTGAAATGCGTATAAAAGAGCAGAAGTGAATTAAACTCCACTTCTATTAATCATAAAAAAGATTTTTCTCATTATTTAACTATAAATGCTTTGAGATTGACAGAACTCGGTCAGCTTCAGCTAGAAATCTTGTAAACGGTATTAAAAACCAGTGAATGAAGTTCAGTTTTGTTTCCCTTCTGTTTTTTAAATTTTATGGTCATATCCTGAAATATTAAAACTGAATGAATAAAAAATTTTGCATTTCCAATTGATTTTCAAACTCAATAACAGAAAAACGTTTCTAAAGAGCTGATTAAATGGAAATGTCTGTTTTCAATTGATTTTCATAAATAATAGATACACTTAATGAAGTGCAGAATGCAAGTGTTTAAATATTTAATTTGTGTCATGCACGAGTGAATAGAAAATTCTTTTCAAGCATTCCGCCTTCTTCCTGGTCATCAAATTTACTTACTTACATATATCTTATACCAGATACTTATAACTTTGACATCTGACACAAGATCACATCTCAATTATCGTAATAATGAGAAATGACGCTCGGTAACTATTTCAATTATTTAATTCCAACAAGTCGTGTTAAAAAGATGTCAAAATTGACGTTCATAATTTCTCTATTTACCTAGTCTGACAGGCGAGTAATTTTTTGGGGTCAAAAATCGCACGCGCCAATCAGGAAGTTATAAATGAATCACGAAAATCAATCAAGAAACTTCATATTAATTATAAATGACTTAAAACGTGTAAAGGCTAAAGTTGAAAATGTTATGGCAACAGACCTATAACAAAATGACTTTCATAATTGTTTATCTCCTAAAAAACTCTTCGATTTAAGTAATTAATTCTTTAATTAAGTTCATTTAATGACCCATAATGATTTCGTCTTAAGGTAGCTGGAATTTCAAATAGTTTTGTTGAACCAAACAAACGCTCTTGATTCGTTTTCATAATCGACAAAGTGGTGAACATAAAATGGAATTTATATTATTTATAAACAATATGGAAAAAGGTATCATGAAATGTAAACCCCCATTAAATTGTCTATTTCGATAGCCTTAAATTGTAGTTTACAATGAATGGGCACTGCGTTGCAATATTGAAACATTAACTGAAAGCGGAACTTAATTATTGAGCCAGCTTTTATCTTTCACTATCGTCATTCATTTCTTGCTTCTGGCGTTAATGAAAAAGTTTTGATTTGCGTGTAAAACTCAATTCGAATGTTACGGTGTTTGGTTCGGGTCAATTTTTTTGTCATTTCTTGAGTTGTTTTTGTTTCTCATGTCAATAAACAATTAACATTGAAATTTTAATGTTTCTTAACTTTTTTTTCCACATACAGATTGTGAGCTTTCTTCTACTGTTCACGGTCATTAAATCCGAAACAACAAGTGCACCACCAACCACAATCACACAAAGTCCTATTAAAAGAATAGACGGTAACAAAAACAAGCGTGGATTGTATTTCGAGGATGCAATAATCGGACCACCACCACCGCCACCCTTCAGAACAATTTCGTTTCCAACAAGACCACCAACAAGAATATTTACACCAAGCAATAGATGGACGAATGTTTTTGGATTCGATGACATAACTTATCATCATCTTTTTAATGAAATAAATGGATATAACAACTACGGAATTCCAACCCACATGACTCCACCACCACCACAACGTCCGATAACTCCACGACCTTATCATCCAAATGATTACAATTTCGTCGGTTATCGCACGCCTTATGATTTCGATTCAACTTACGTGTCTCATGATGGTCGAGTTGTTAAACAGTATTCAGTTCATGAGATACATGATAATGATCTTCCGGATCCAAACATATTTAAACCGACTACAAATCTTTTAAGACCTTTACCAATTCCACCAATGTCTGCTGAATCAGCTCAAATTTTGCAGTTCAATGCTCCAAAAAATACAAATTTTGCACAACCTCGAGCTCATCTTGCAAATCTTAGGACATCAAATCCTAATCAGATTCCAACATTCTTAACAAGGAATCATGGACCTGTGGCTTTGGGGTCAGGGAGTTTAGGTGTTATTCGTCTTCCGAATGGTGCAGTCTTCCTTGGTTCCGGTTCACTCGGATATATCAGCCATAAAGATCATTTTGATAACGTCATAAATTTAGCAAGTCAAAGGCAAAAACCACTTCCGAGGGGCCCAACCACATTCGGACAATCATAGCTGAAGCTTTTAAGATGAAGCTTGAGATTAGCGGAATTTATTAGCCAATTATTATAAATCGAAAACATACATTTGAGTATTTTAATCAACATTACGATTGACTTACCAACCATGAAACCATTTTTGCTTATAAAATCATCTTTGCTTTAGTTTTTAAGTGACTAGTCGTTAACGTTTTTACGACCATCAAGAAAAGAATTCATTTTTCTCATCCATCACAATTGTAAATTTATTCATTGTTTGGGTATACGAAACAATTAAAAAAATACAACAAAATATTAAATGTAAATAAAAAAAGTTTTTAAATTTGAATTGTTGTAGGTGTTTTACTTATGACATATCACCTTAAAGTTTGTCATGACATGACCTTGCCTTGATAGTTTTTTGAACTACATTCTTAATTCACTGTCACCTCAAGGCATGTTGCTATGGACTTTTAATTATTTGCTACTTTCACGTATGTTTCAGGTAATGATTTCACGATCAAGGCGTTGAAATTTGACCTATAATTAGCAAAAAAACGTCAATAATAATAGACAATCTGAGCCGTTATTAGATTCGCGATAAATATAGACTATATTTAAATGAGCCTGAACTGTTACGCATCTTGAGAAAAACTCTAATTAATATGCAAATTACACATAACATCTTCTATCGATGACTATCTAACCATTGCAGCAGCGAAGAACAAGAATGGGGCTCATAATATTGAAACCTTTAGACTCATATCGTCAAATTGCCAAGAATTTGGATATTTAATAGTCTTTGTTAGTTTTTGCGATGTGAGTCTGTGTTATTGTACGATGTTCACAAAGTCTCAAAAGCAATAAATTTTAACGTTTTCTTCAAGTCTGAATGGCTAGATAAGATTCTATATAAACATTAATGTTTAATGTTTATAACAAGTGATAACTCAGAAATATCTATTTTGATAATTTCATAAGTTTTGTGATTCTGTCTAAACAACTTTGAAAAAATCGAATTTTCATGTTTGATTACATATGCTGGTCTTCCTGCATTTGCCATTATTTTGTGAGTTAAATACGCAATTAATATTCTACTTTAAATTGATTTTTAGGAACTTTTTTTAGAGAACTTTAAACGTAAACAAACTTCTACGTAATATTCCTCAAAAAAATATCATCAGACCCTCGTTTTAGCGGAACTGATGAACAGTCGGACAAAATAAAACCTACATAGGTAGGCTATTCTATAAAGATAGCATGTGCTTGTTTACAAAACACAAACGATAATAAAATCTTGACTGACCAATGATTAAAATATCAGACAAGGAAGAACTTTTAGCAAAAAATCCTCGACGTGTGAAATATGCAACATGATTTTCCCATTTATAACATTTATAGAGCATGCAGTTATTATGAAACATTGGTGAATTCAAGTTTTATGAACTTGATGATTATTTACTCATTTACATTTGTTTAACATTCTTTCAGCTACAATTTTAAGATAAACTTACTAGGAAAACGCCAGTTTCCAAAGACACATATAATCGTCTTCATCACGATAATTCTCTCGAAGATGAAACGCAAATAAATTTTACAGAGAAAGAAAAGAAGAAAGATGACATTCAGTATCTAAGTTTATTATAGGATTAGATAGATTCTAGGTACTTTGAATATTTCTTTGAAACTCTCAAGCTTGAAGATTCTTCACCCCAATTTGAAAATAAAAAATATGTTGTTAATTTTCATGAGCTATTCACTATTTTAATAATATCTATTGAATTTAACAAACGAAAACCACGAGTCAATTGAATCAGTTCATTGCAAGTCCGGTGATGGGGATTTTAAAATTTGTTCATGTAGGTACATATATGCAAAGAAAAAGTTATTCTGTATATTAATACTTATATTTTGGAATAAATTGATTTATTTGGATCATTAAACTTAAATTAACATAGAAATTGAGTAATTCAATGACGAAATTACTTAGGAAAAGGAGAAAAGTCTGCTGCCGCAAAAATAATTCCTGAACTCAACTTACCCATTGAGAAGCGTCGTGCGGCACGAATTTGGAAGAATTAAAGCAAATAAAAAGTTAATTTACTGATGTGCGCCAATAGCTGTAAATAATTATTGAGAAAAGTTTTTCAAAATTGATTAAATAAATTTAACAAAAATATTTTTTGATTTCAAAGCATTAAAATTTTTATTTCTTTTTCAAATAAACTTGCAAAAAATGTTAAAAGAATTGTTTTTTAATTTGAAAGTTCGATATTTTGGAAATGTATTGAGATAAAGCAAAAGAAGAAATTTAATTTCCACCACGGAGACGGAGAACCAAATGCAATGTTGATTCCTTTTGGATGTTGTAGTCGCTCAAAGTGCGACCATCTTCGAGTTGCTTTCCAGCGAAGTTCAAACGTTGCTGGTCTGGGGGAATTCCTTCCTTATCTTGGATCTTTGCCTTGACGTTTTCGATGGTGTCAGATGGTTCGACTTCAAGGGTGATGGTCTTGCCAGTCAAAGTTTTGACGAAGATTTGCATGCCGCCACGAAGACGGAGAACCAAATGCAAAGTTGATTCTTTTTGGATGTTGTAGTCGCTCAAAGTGCGACCATCTTCGAGTTGCTTTCCAGCGAAGATCAAACGTTGCTGGTCTGGGGGAATTCCTTCCTTGTCTTGGATCTTTGCCTTAACATTCTCAATGGTGTCAGATGGTTCAACCTCAAGAGTGATGGTCTTGCCAGTCAAAGTTTTGACGAAGATTTGCATGCCACCACGAAGACGGAGAACCAAATGCAAAGTTGATTCCTTTTGAATGTTGTAGTCGCTCAAAGTGCGGCCATCTTCGAGTTGCTTTCCAGCGAAGATCAAACGTTGCTGATCTGGGGGAATTCCTTCCTTGTCTTGGATCTTTGCCTTGACATTTTCAATGGTGTCTGATGGTTCAACTTCAAGAGTGATAGTCTTGCCAGTCAAAGTTTTAACGAAGATTTGCATGCTAAAAGTGAAATTAACTTTCTGTTAATTGGCTTGTTAAAAGATATTTATTTATAGATTATATCTAATGGGAATGAAGTATGAGTCATTAAGAAAAAGAAGAAAACATAGGAAGCCAAGTAAATTAACATTTAATGACGTCATTAACTAACACAAAGAAGAATATTTATCAATTTTATTTCGAGATTTTTCTAAAGATAATTTTCTTGACCTTTTTTGTGTTTATGCTACAGAATATTTTTNAACTTTGAAAAAATCGAATTTTCATGTTTGATTACATATGCTGGTCTTCCTGCATTTGCCATTATTTTGTGAGTTAAATACGCAATTTTTATTCTACTTTAAATTGAAAAGGAAATTTAAAAATTTGTTCTTTTATTTATTTATTTATAAAACAATTAATATTTAAACCGGGTTTCAGCAAATTGAGAAAATCTCTCGATTTGATATTTTTTTTGTACCACTAGGTTTACACTCTCTACCTGAAACTCGTCTCCCCAAAGTCTAGTTTCGGGTGGAGAGTGTTCAATCAGCTTCAGACAATTTATTCAGCTTCAGACTGGGTTTTTGGTGTACCAAAAACAGAAAGTAGAGCTTGGAAAATTCTTGGTAAATACACAAGAAAATCAACGCTATCAAACTTAAGAACGGCTAATATTTTGTATAAAATCGAAATTATAACCTAGGATGTAAATAACTTCTGATTCCTTGTGACCATTCCCATGTCAAATGTCCGTATCTATAAACATTAGAAAATACCTATATCATAAATTTTTGAAACTATAAACAAACATATAAACCTAAAATTTACCCGTAAATGATTTTATGTGCGACTTCTAAACTTTGCCAATATTCATCTGGAGAAAAAAATGTTTGTACCAAATACACGCTAAAGATACGAACAATAATCAGAAAGAAAAGTACTTTCTTCATTTCAATTTCGTAAAGAATAAAACAATTTTCTTGACCAAACCGTTTAAAGCGAGGGCCTTAACTCGTTTCGTAATACTCGTATTAAATATTTCATCTCTAAATTAGAACTTTAAAAGTTGACAATAATCTTGGAGGTAAGCTTATTAACTTTTTTCTCGGTCTTGAAGCTCTTTGACTTTCCTCGTGATAATTCTCCGTGGGTGATTACACTCTCCACCTGGATTTCAGCCTCCGGTCGGGCAAAGTCTAGTTTCAGGTGGAGAGTGTAATCACCCACGGAGAATTATCATCCACGGAGAAACTTTAAAAAGTTTTGATTGATCTTTTGTCCGAGAACGTTTCAGTGGCGGCGCTACGATCGATTATCATCCACGGAGAATTATCATCCACGGAGAAACTTTTTCTGTGTGTTTTGTATGGAAGGTCAAATCCGCGCGAACGCACTTTGTATGAAAAATGAGTTTTTTTGGCCACTTTGTATGGGAGGTCAAATCCACGCAAGTCGGCATCCCATGGATTAACCGGCGTAACTTTGACGTACTTAACGTACGTTCGCTAGGTAAGATTCTATCTCCAAAAATATATTTTCTGAAATTGTATCAGCAACAAAATATCAGCAGGCAGAATTCAAAAACAAAGTTTGATGACGAAACTTTTAATCGTTCGTTATCGTTATAAGTAGTTTGAACAAAGAAAAAATATGCTCAAACGCAATTGCGATTAAAAAAATTGTTTTTAATTTCAAAATTTCATTTTTTATTGTGTTCTGTGAAAAAGTTTTTAAATAAAAAGTAAAAGTTTCGATATAAGTTAAATATGAACATGGAAAATCCTAAGCGATGGTGGTACATGACATTTCTTTTCTTGCTGCTGGTCATTACAATATGCATCTTGAAAATATCGGATTGCAGGTGAAATTAAATTGGCAGCTGAGTAAATTACAAAATGATAAAATAAATTTTCTTTTTGGGTCATTATAAAACAGTCGCAAAAACCTTGAACGAAAAATGCTTGTAGAACGTCAACTTGCACTTCGGAATCTTCACAAAGACACAAATTTTGACATTCTAATCTTCACACAACATTGGCCTTACACAGTTTGTGCCCAATGGATGGAAAGCAAAAGCGGACACGAATGCATGTTGCCAAAAGCGAAAAATTCGTGGACAATTCATGGGATTTGGCCTACAAAATATCATACAATCGGGCCACTCTTTTGCAATGAGACTTGGAAATTTGATATGAATACGATCGCCTCAATTGAAAGTGAAATGAGTGAAAAATGGATAAACATTGAAAAAGGGACCCCCCTGGATGGTTTGTGGTCTCATGAATGGGAAAAGCATGGGACATGTGCAGCTGAACATATTCCACAGCTCAATTCAGAAATTAAATACTTCCAACAAGGACTTGACTTCCTTGATCGTTTCTCAATCACAAAACTTTTAATGTCAAGCTATATTAAACCTGGGCTAGATGTGACTTATAAACTTGAAGAAATTCACAGTGCTTTGAGTGCTTCCTTGGATGATAACTTTGCAATTGTTTGCGAGAGAGACAAGAAAAGTAAACGTGAATATCTTTTCGAGATTAGAATTTGTTTCGATTTGGAACTGAATCTGCATAGCTGTGATGGGATTGTAATGGATGAAGGTGAAGATCCCGATCCTGAAGATGAAATTATAACAAATTGTCAAAAGAATCAGGAAATTGCTTATCCATCGTCAGCATGGGTGATGCAAAGGCAATGGATGAAACGTAATGAAGAGAGAAGATTTGTCGACAAATCTTGGATGAAACATGTTGTGAATTCGTACAAACTTGTAAGATTCCTTCAATGGGTCACTCTGTAAATATTAAATTCATTCCGCTGATCCAAGAAATGTTCGACACCACAAGAATGTGCCTAAGGACGTAATCTGATGATTTTGTTTATCAATGTTTAAAGTTTTGATCAGTGTTTTTGTGAGTAGTGATAGAAAAATTGGCCTCATCAGCATTTTTTGCAAACTAATTGTCAAAGGAACTTAAAGCGTCAAAATTTTTACCTGATATTGATTTTAGAACAAAAATTACAAATCGTACCTAACATTTTAGATCTGTTTCAATTTCTTTTGTTGTAACTTCTTTTTGAACTTATTTGAGATGAAAAGAAAGATTAAAAGTCTGTGCAAAAGTGATCCCCGTAAAAGTCAAAGTAAAAAATATTCACAGATCAGTTTATCGTGAAATTTCGTCCAAATCACAGTCTCAACCTGCCAAAATGAATACTTTTTGTTCATTTATTAAATTATTAAAGTCTTTTTTCTTGTGAATCATTCAATAATTAGCTCGATCGTTGTGCAATCTTTCCTGTAACGAACAGTTCACCATATGACAAAATTTAAAGTATTTTTACTTTATTAAAAATGATTATAAAATCAGAAAACTAAATTCAATTGAAAATATCTACCAAAATTAACAAAATTTTACTGCCTGAAAACATCCAAAAAAGTTTTTGATTTCTAAAAAATGTCATGAAAGTTTCAATTTCTTAATTATTTACATCAAAATATTTTCTTTAACCAGAAGTTGTTTTAATTCGTAATATTTGGATATGGTAGCGTAATTATCGCTTGTAATGTCACATTAATATTCATATTGCTACAAAGCGGCTGAAGAAATTTAAGAACTTTAATATAAACAAATAAATTATGAGTAGTTTAGGTATAAATAGATATTAAATCTTGTTTAAACAGAGACAAGCATTCTAATGTTTGTTGATGATTTGTTTCTGTAAATAATAATCTTTGAATATTCCTTAATAATTATCATCACGACTTTCACGGATCATCGTGACGAATATTTAATGAACTTCAAATCGATGGAACTTCTTTAGTATCTTTTTTCTTTCGCTAAATTCTAAGATAAAAATATTTTTTTATGAAGTAAAATAAAAACACGAAAGATTAAAAAATTTCAAATTTATTTTGAATTTAGATTAAAGTTGAAAAAACATTTGAGGAAGTCGAGAAGTTAAGAAACCACACGAGTGATGATGATAGTTGCTGATGGAACCAAACCAAGTTGTTCAAGTGTCTGCTCGTAATCATCAGCGCCAAACACTTTTCGTGGGAATGTTGTCATCATCCCAAAAGACATCAAGCCAACTTCATCTCCTTGTTTTAATTGTGCGAAAAGTCTAACAGCTGCGAGTTGTTCATTTTTATCAAAGGTTTCGGCAATGGTTGTTCCATTAGGCAAGCGTATTTGGATTCGTGTTTGCTTGTAATCTTTTGGTGGTGACACAACTGCTTGTGGTTGGACTTGAGATTGCGTGGGCTTTTCAATCACAGGTTGGCCAGACTTGGCTCGTCGTGCTGCCTTGTCAGCTTCAATTTGTGCTTTAACCCGATCTCTTGCAGCTTTTTCTTCAGCTTTATCTCGTTTACGCTCTTCAACCTAAATAATAAAAATTAATTTCACCGAAATGATTTCAAAAACGATTTTCTTACAATTTTCTTCATTTCGTCTTCTTCCATTTTGCGACGAACTTCTGTTAAATCTTTTCCAGATTTAATTCTCATACGTTCACGATCTAAACTTTCCTGTTTTTCTTTTTCTTCACGGTCAGCTCGCTTCTTAGCGATTTTCTCCTCGATGAGTTTCAATTGCGCCTTTTTCTCTTCTTCTGTCAGTGGCTTCTTCTCTTCAATTGATTCAGAAAAATTTGTATGTCCTGATTTTGTGGCATGAAATTCTACTTCTAAAGGAGTCTTAAACAATCGTGAACAATCCTCGCACTTGATACTTTTCGCTTCTGCAGATATTGACGAGGATCCTTCGCCTGAGGATGACTCATCGTTTTTAATTTCAACACTTGTGTCTGTTTCTATTGGAGTCACTGCCGAAACTGTTTCAGAAGCCGGCACTGAAATCGGTTCTTCATCATTACTATGTGCTAACAACCATTCCATTGCCTGTTCTGTATTATCGCCAATAATCGAGATTGCTTTTTCCCTTTGGAATAAAAATAAAAAATAATTTTAATACATTTCTAATGAGAATTTATCAACTGCATACACTTTTTCTTTTGGAAATCCCATTTCAACCAGTTGTTCTAAAGCTCCCATTATTATGTTTTTGACTTTAAAACTTCTATTTATTTCTTAAAAATAAGATATCTAAAAGTGAAAAATATTAATCGCCGACTTTAGAAATTGAAACAAAACTTTGTCGTAGGCAGCGAGGGGATAATTTTTAAATATTTTTAAGTCGTTAATTTTTGTTTTTTCAAAACACCATTTTATTATTTTTGTTTCTTTTCTCCAATAAAAACAACAGAAAGTGTGAAAATAAATAAATTGCACGATTGGCTACTAACAACCTACCTTATCCCAACAAAGCCATCAAATGAGTACGTAAATATGTCTAATGAAAAACGAAACAAAGAACACAATAATAAAATAATTCATCATGTCATGAACGAATATTTGAGAGAATTCACAAGTTCATTGTCTTAAAGGTATTTTGGTGGCGGTGGGTGAAAATCAAATTTTCCAGTATTTGAAATTGAATTTTCCACGTTCAAATCATTCCTTTGCGATGGTGTTTGGTAAATCGGTCGACCCATAAACTTTGGGAGTTCACTCGATGTCGATGGCTTTGCAGTTTTATTCGTTAATAAACTATTTCGTCTTGCTACTGAACTAGGTTGTACAGCCTTTTGTTGATAAATGAAAGGTCCTTTTCCAGCTGCATCAGGAAGAATAGATTTGGACGGATACCAAGCACGGTAAGTGAAGTACCAAGTACAAATTGCTATTATTCCACCAGCAACTTTCTCCACCATCCGATGATAATAAAGCATCGTACAGACAAGCATTATATCCCAAAGAAGTTGTAGAATTGTAATGGCAACGAACAGAAGCTTAATAATTGGTGTATACTTCGAATATAAAAACTTTAGTGATGTAATTTCATCCTCATTCAAATTTCTCAATGGATTAAGTGATGATGACGAATCTTGCGTCTTACGATTGTGATCTTCAACCCTTAAATGCTCTTTAATGTTGTCCCATCCAACTATTGGTCTTGCTTCTTCGATAAGCACCAATGATGAATATATGAGAATAAAAACATGACCTGAGATATCAAATCCACTCCAGAAATGACCAGCTTTTAGACATCCTCTCTTTGTTTCGTATCCACGCATGTTACAACGACCGTAAGCATTCTCGATGACATTGAAAATACTTGTCCAACAATACCAGAAGATAGTTGCAATTAGAAGACGTGGCACGTGATGTTTAAGAAATCGCTGAAAGTTGCCACAACAAAGTGTCAAGTTAGTAAAGTACAAAAAAGGTGAGCTGAAGAGTAAAGTCCAAAACCATCCAAGTTTCACAAAATAAACATTAAAGAGATTATCGGATCTTGCGAAATATGACTTGGGAAATGGTATGAAGTCTGAAAATTTAATTTATCTTAGATTCTTAATTAATTACACAATTTATTTTGATTTTACCTCCAATTAGTGAAACTACAAACAGTGCCGCAAGATACAACGCAACCTTTAATCGAACATCGAAGAAAATTGTTTTCTTGCACAAATGCAACACTGCCATGACGAGAACATCTTTAACGCTAGCAGCTTCACAAGTCGGCTTTGTTCCTTTTGCTTCGTTTCTTAAAGTTTCGTTCTTAATATTGAAATTATTCAAAGGATTTCTTTGAGTTTTGTTTGGTTGAATATTTGCTGATGATTTGCGTCGTGCCGACATAATTGCAATTGCTCAATTATAATTTCTAGCTTATAATTATTATTCAATCAAATTATGAAGTTGAGAAAATGCAAAGAAAATAAAACTTTTATGTAAAAAAGGAAAAAAAACTAAGCTACAAATATTTTACTCGAATTCTCCATATGGACATTGTTGATCCAACTTAAGTAGATCTCATGGTAGAACCAGCGTAGCTCTTCGAGGGGATCAAATTTTCATGCTAAATTCAGCCATATTTCCATGAACATAAAGCATAGTTTAGCGAAAAAAGTTGTTTCACGTGGAGAATTTGTATTAATACATAATCTGCCAAATCTTCTAAAGGCAAAAAAAATACAAAAATGAATAATTAATCAAGCATATTTTCATAATTTGTACAAATAAAATAAACTACGTGATCATAGCTTTGTGGAAATAATAAAATATTAATACTAAATGGAGGTACTTACACTCAATCTTATTTTTATTTTACTTTCTATAATTTGAATTTAAATAACAATCTAGGAAAGTATAGAGGATCTAGAAGCTCGCCTATACGCTCAGGTGTATCATGACCCAAACTTGGAAGTATCATCTGAGACACTAGACAAATTGCCACCTAACTTAAATAAGCAGTCAAATCAAAGATATTGGCAAAGATCCAAAAATATTTCTTCTCTCAATTCAGTAAGTTTGGAGTTCAACAACAAAGAAAATTTTCGTAATAATATTCTTATCTTCCAGGACACTCCAAAAGTGACACAAGTGAAAGAACAAAAGCAGTTTACAAAAACCTCACCAATTTCATCTAAAATTGTTAGCGAATCCAAGAATGAAGAAACTTCAACGGCATCAGTAAAGTCACCAGCAATCAAAACATTTGTGCCTTACACATCAGTTCTCTCATTCATGGAACCTCCAGTGGAAGTGTCTAAAACATTTGTGCCCTACACATCAGTTCTATCTTTTATGAATCCTCCCATGGAAGTATCCAAAACATCGCAAAATTCATCTAAAAAATCTCCTAAAACGCCAAACTATGAAAAAAGAGATCACAAGTCTATTAATAAATTTCCAAAAGCTGGAAAGCTTCTAAATCCTTTAAATCAGCAAGGAATTGTTAAAAAGAAATTATCGACTCGTCTTCAAGTTCAAGCAAAAAAACAGAAAGCGATTCAAACACGAAAGAAGAGTCAAAGCAAAGTTGTGACAACAATAGAATTGGAAGACTCTGATGAGTCTGATTGTGTGCCGATTGAATTGCCGCCACCACCTCTCATCAGTTTGGATTCGTCTGATGATGAAATGAATAAAAGCAAAAGAGCTTTAAGTCCGTCAACTTGTTCTATGATTTCGGATGATTTTATTGTAGCAGGAGACAAAGTGAGACTTGCTGATCCTTTCATGTCAATTGGAAGCGAGAAACCAACGACGAAGATCCTTCCAGACACACTCGAAAAGGTTAAATCTTTAACAAAGATTGCTTCATCAACATCATCTTCAGATTCTGCTCGAAGCAGCATTGAACGAAGTAACAAACCAAACACAAGTCAAGGCTCGTTAAGCGATAACGTTGAAGACTCAATTTATGGTGCTAAAGGAAAAGCAAAAAAGCTCAAATCAAACGATAATAACGACAATGAAATTCCATGTGTTAATGCAATTAATGATAAAAATCGACGAAGAAAAAATGTTACAAATCAGGACAAATCAGATTCGGAACCAGATGAAGATCCGAAACTTAAACTCATCGCTAATGTTCAAGTCGCACAAGTTCGTAAACGCTCACGTTTCATTACACCGAATTATAATGAAGATGAATTCGCGACAATGATCTCGACAATTCTTCGATCTGGTGATTTAGATGATGATGAAGTTGATAAAACTAATGAAGTGTCAAAGGCAAGTGAAGAACAAGAAGATTGCAGAATTGTTGAGAAACCAATTGACGTAGTTGAAGTGCCTGACGACGATGACAATCACGGATCAGATTCGAATGATTCTATGCGTGGATTTAAAACTCCAATCGCTTGTGATCTGACTTTAAACGTCACCCACGTTCCTTATGAGCCTCACGAATTTATTCGAAATAACGACAATCAATCTCAAATGATTCCATCAATTAACGATCGAAATGATCAAACTGATCCTGAATTTGGATGGAATGATGAAATGAAATTCTTTTACCATGGAAGTTGGGGTGGAGAAAGTTTTTGTCTTTCAAAAGTTCTCAGCGAAATGCCTCGTGATCCAAAGCTTTGGAAAATTGACAACAGCGATCGTAGTCGAGTTCAAGAATCAGGAATTCGTGTTCGTTGTAAAAGGTGCAATGAAATTGGACATTACGCTGTTAAGTGTAATCGACCGAGGCGTCGTGTGGTTTGCTTCATGTGTGGTGAAGAAGGTCATCGTGAGACGAGATGTCCAAACTCAATTTGTCTCAGAGTGAGTTTAAGAAATTCCCTAACTTAATTTAATAATTAATGAAATTCCTTTCGACAGTGTGGAAAACCAAATAAAATGTTTGCAACAACTTGCACAGCTTGCAATAGGCTGAGTAAAAAATATTGCCCATTGTGCAATTTTCAAGGACATGACATGGAACAATGTCCGGATAAGTGGCGTCGATATCATTCAACGGTGAGATTTTTCAGTTTTTATTTTGGTTAATTTTATTCATTTTTTATTCATTTCATAGACGTCTGAAACAACGCAACTTAACAGCGAGTATCAAATAAATCCACGCGTTTATTGTTCGATTTGTGCACGTCGTGGACATTTTGCTGAATATTGCAATCAATTCTTCAAAACAATAAGTGGATTAATAACATCAAGCAGCATTAACATAACTTCACATAAGCCAAGCTACACGAGGAATTATTTGGATAGATTTGACATGGATATGAATACAATAGGAAACGAACAACGTCAAACATTTTCATTGATTTCTTACTTTCCATACTTTCGCTTCAACTTTCAATTCCCAAGAAATGTGAGAATTTATCCGAAATTTCTTGAATATTTTGAAAGTTATAAGAAACAAATGATGGAATCAAAGCAAATTACAATGACGCAAGAAAAGAAATCAAAAAACAAAAAAAGAAAGAAAAAGTTAAACGAAACAGATTCAAATGAAATTGTTGCATCTACTGCTAAAGAGAATGAAGATTCGAATTCTAATTACAGTTTTTCTGATTTTTACTCGTCATCAACGACACAACAAAAGAATGCAACGTCAAGTGATGAAAATGTTTTTAAATCGCCAAGTGACATTCCTGAATGTCCACAAAAATCGAGTCTTGTTAAGAATCCTTTTGCGTCGTCGTCAACTCAACTTGCTGATTACATTCCTTTAGGAAGTGATGAGAATATAACACAATCGGTGGAGGCTGTGAACAAACCGCCAATCGAAATTCAACGGGAACCTGAAGTGTCAAGTGTTGCTCGTGTTCTGTTGACGAAGGAACATTTCACACTTCTGTCAACGAAAGAAGGTCAAAGCTTTCTTACAAATCTTCAAGATCGTCATATAATTACATCTGAATTTAAATGGGACAATTCTGGAAATTCTCTTCTCATTACTGGCTTTCCGTCGAATCAATCAATGTTTCATTTAGAAGTTCGCGAATATTTGTATCGTGTTGAAATGGAAAAGCATCAGAAAACTGTCGAAGCGTCAACACAATTGCCAAAGACCAAAGTAAGAATTGTTAGCTTTTTGAAAAATCAATTTAAATTGATTGCGAAAAGTCATATCAATGCTGTGAGGAGTAAACTTCAGCTGCTGATGAACGCTGAACGTTCGTTAGATCATAAAAAGACTATTAATTGTCGTCGAGTGCTTAACATTGCTTTTATTGGCGATGGAGAACTTTCTGGTGGTCGAGAACATGTTGGCGCTTTAAGAAAAATTCTTTATAAACTTGAAAATGAATTAAATCAAGATAAACACGACTTAAGTTTTGAACTTCGAGAGGAAATTATTATGCACATGAAACCGATTTTTAGTCCGATGAATCACGGTGATTATCGTCAACTCTTCAATGAATATTCTAAAGTCATGAGACAAAGAAAAAATAGAAAACTTTTACGCAATCCAATCATTCTCAATGATTAACTGAAGTTGACAAACTAACATGAATTGTATGGAAAAGGAAATATTTAATTTGAAATTTATAAATAAATGAAATATTTAACAAATTTGAATGAAATTGATCTTGAATTTGATAACTTTTTGCTGAACTCTTAATTATTTAGTAAAGAAGCATCTAATCATTAAATATGTCTAATACCCAATCAAATCATGTTTATCTTTAGAAATTAAAAAATTCTGAATGCTTTGATGTTTAAGAGTCATAAATGTCCACCTATGGGTTAATGATATGATCATTTTGAGAACTTTTGAAACGTTAAACCTGTTAACAGAGACATCTAGTGAGAGCTTTTATAAACAGAAAGCTTTTTAAAAATTTCGTTACGTTTAATTTCCTAACACGATTTTTAACTGAGCGAGTGGTAAAAACAAGAAAATAAATCCTAACTTTAAATTCCCTTTTTTTGAAATAAAGTTCCCAATCATCAATTCTCTAACCATCTGAAAAAAGAAATAAATATAACAAAAGTTTTATTTTATTGATTTAAAAATTATATTTTTTTATTGACAATTTTTAGTCGGCTAAACAACAATTCTTCATTTTAGATAAATAGAAAAAATTTGTTTCTCAGATCTTTTTAAAGTTGTATGAATTAACGAAATATTTCTTCAGCGTCATTTCGTCAGCGTTGTCGTGTGACTTTAATCAGTCTGTTAAAGGAAGAATAAAATAAAACAGAAAACAAATAAAGTATTTGAAAAATCCCCAAGCAAATGATTGTTGTTATCAGTCCTGTACTTGAAAGCAGAGATGGGCAAATTGCACGCTCAACTCGATTGACTGACTGACTGACTGACATTGACATGTCAATGTCAGTCAGTCAGTCAGTCAAATCACAACTCTGCTTGAAAAGCAATGGATTATACTCAACTTTATATCTGAAAAAGGAGAAAGAAAAAAAACGAAAAAGAATGTAAACCGAAGAAAAGAACTCAAAACAGTAACGATGATTGTTGCCAACAAATGTGGTGTACTCCAACATGTGCCGGGTATTTAAATTCAACCAGAGCACCTGATGAAGTACAATAGACATGTGACAAACATATTTTTGTGTTGATTCTCTTTTCTAAGACGCTGGTCAAGTGCGTCGTCTCAAGATACTTTAAAAGTTACCAAAAATTAAGCTGTTGCTATGGAAGGAATCTCCTTTGTTTCCACTTTCTATTAGTTTCGTCAGATTCAGGTGATAACATCGTAATTCCAACTTCGCGCGCTACTTACAGTACCTGACTTGATTTCAATTATTAAATAATAAATAGTTTAATAATTTAAAATGATAACAAAGCCCTGGTGCCGTGGTTAGCGCGCAGAGTCAGAATTTTCTCAGTCGCTTTATTCGTTGTGTTTTTTTGTTTTTTTTTCTTCGAGTTCACTTAATGAAACCTGCGAAAAGAACAAAGGAAAATATCTGTGAAGCAAAATAAAATTGTTATTTGCAAAACGAACAAATATCAAAGTCGAGCTACGACACTAATTTTTTTTTCTTCATATACATTCTCAAAAGTTGGTATACAGAGAAAAGTAGCTCAAGGTTTCCCCTCTTGATACGTTCGCGCAAAATGAATCGCATTGAAACTCCAAAAATTTCAGTAAAATTTATCGAAGTTTAAGAAATGTGATCGAATGACGTCATTCAAGATGCCCGGTTGTTCTTGTGTTTGTTTTCATTCTTTGATTTCGTCTTATCAGCATCATACAGGGTTACGATAGAAGTATGTAACATCAGAATCATTCAGCTAACACGTGATATTGAAAATTTTGTTTCGTTACATTCATCCAAACCAACGTCAGTTGAATTGATTTCGTTCTCCTTTGAAACTGTAGTAAGTAACAAACAGAGGGAAGTCTAGAAATAACATTCATCGTATAACTTATCCATAAGGACTTGAAATAAGAGAACTTTATATCATCGAATTCTTTTACTTTGCAGCCTGTGTCGTACGTCTCCGCTGTTCGTTTTTTATTGCGTCCTTGAACGACACAATTTGGGTTCAACAAACATTTGCCTTCTCGGTCTGTATGCTCGTCTTTCTCACTCCAACTCTAACGCACACCACTTAAATAATGGAAAAGAATGGATTCAATTTTTTCTCTTCTCGCGTGTGTGTACCTAAGCTTATCGATTTTTGGTGTTTCTTGAGATGTTTCGGATTTTTGTTTCCCTTTTTTCCTATGGGATTAAAGTTGCAAATTAAGATCATATATTTTATCGCCTACGCTTGTCTGTCATTAGAATTAAAGGATTCAAACATTGGATATGCATGTTCAACTCAAACAACAAATGAATTAAAGAGACTTCCCTTCCCGACTTTGAATTGCTTAACGTGCATCAACACATTTCCATTTACTGAGGGAATGATGAATTTCCAACGATTAGCGATAAAAAAAACTGGTCATTAAATATTTAGAATAACCATTCGACAAACAAACAAATATTCAGACGTACACCGCATTTCGCTTGGTTGAAGGCAATTTTATTTACACGCGCGACTTCTTTCAGCTTTTTTTTTTGTAAGAAACAACCAAACATATTTTTCATTTTTCGAGGCTCTCATTTGTGATATCAATTCCAAAACATTATTTAAAAAAACACTCGTAGAATAAAAGCTTGCAGGGCTTTGACGGCTAAGCTGCTGTTTGGAGGTATTGACTGAGTGAATTTAAGAGCGGCTATCGTCGCATCGGAAATTCGTTTTTTAATGATAATGATTCAACCAAAAACATTATTACTAAATATGTACGCGGTGTAGTTCATGATGTGGGATGACGAATTATCATTTGCCCATTCATAAAATGTATTTTGCTTTTTACATTTCGTTGTTAATTAAATTAAGTTATAACAAAATTTATGGTGCGAACTGTAAGAAGCAAAGAATTAAATGCTCCTTCATGAATCATGTGGGCATCATGCAAAACCATCGCGATTTTAGAGTAATTTATGAATTTTTTTTTCTCATGAAGGTATCAGAAGTTTGAAACTTTTAATGTTCAATGTTTGTAGAATATTTCTAGAACAAAACCTAAAAGTTGTGCAACACTGACTAATTGTTTCGAGAAACCACTAACGTGAACATTTTTTTTCTTTCTGTTCTTGGGAGGCGTGGATGTAAATCAACAATTTCATGAATGAATTCGAATTGTTATCCCCGCCACCGTGATTTTCATTGTGAGAGCTTCTAAGTTGTTTGATATATTTTTTCATTTATTTTTTTTTTGTGAATGAAAAGCTCCGTCGGCGAGCGAAACAAGACACAACACAAAAATGCAAATCTTGAAGTCCAAACAAAAGAAGAAAAAAAACGAGCGACATGATTTCACCAAACGAGAATTCTGAGCGTTTTCGCCTTTTTTGGGCAGTCGATTAAGCGACCTTCTATTGTTCAACTCACGTCAATGAACCTTTTTCGGTGTCGTGTTTTGACGATTGCAAAAACAAAACACAAAAATCATTTTCTCTCGGTAAGGAAGCTTCTTGTGTTTTATTTAAAGTCATCATCGTCATGCGATCGAGTTGCTTCCATCATTGGTCATCGTCGTTTTGCGAATAAACATGCAAACATTCACACATGCATTTAAATTTTAAAACGACGTCAAATTTCATCAGAAATATCGTAAGTAGGTATGTAGAATGAAACTATAAACAAGCATGACGATGTAATGAGACGGTTCTGAGAACTGACCGAAGCGTCATTGCGGCCATTAAAAACAGACACACATCCCTTTTACGAGCTATTTCCCATGGAAATATTTTTTCGAGGGCCATCGTAGCCTTTTACGAGCGCAGCATTCATTTAAGAGTCGTAAAACTTGTTTGATTGTCGTTGTTCGTCATTAACAACTTGTCGACTTTTCTGCTTTTCGAAATTCTTCATTTCCTTTCACTTCTTAATGTAGTGGGGAAAAAAATCGCAAGAAAGCCCAAAAATAGAAACTCGTCAACTGCCATTTCGATGGAATTAGTTATGAGATCATGAAAACATTTTTGTGTGCCTTACGTTGTGTTTGACTCATTCCTCTAGTTTTGTCAACCAATCACTAGAATATAAAAAGCTTGTTTATGTTAGGCTGATAAAATATTTCTGATTGTATATCAGCATTTGATGACGTGATCGTGGGGTCGATCAAAGGTCGAGAAGTAAATATGTGAAATATTCAACGATTGCAAAAAAAAAATCACAACATTTCCTGTTCGATTTCAAAACGTTATGCATTCAATGCCATTCCATATACTTTTGCATTTATTAATGATTTTTTTGTTGTTTTGTGTCGAACTTTATACGAATACATGTGAAGACAGAAGAAGTATCAAAGTTCGTCTTCCAACTCGATGGAATGATTGGAATGTCTCTTGTTTTCTGTGTCGTTATCGATTCTGTTGCTTGCTTGCTTAGTTGCTTATTTCTCGAACTCAATTTTATTTTCTTCTTTCATGCCTTTTTCACTTATTCTTGCATTCTTTGTGTTCGTCTTTCTTTGATAAGCGATCGGTGAAACATGTTCACATCGTCTTTTCCTTATCGATCGAAGAAATTTCAATAAACCGTTAAACGTACACATGTTTACAGCTCATACTCCCACGACAACAATAAATCTTGTTGATCATTGACTTTTATCGACACAGCGATTGTTTTTTAAATCATTGAAGTTGATTACATCAAATATGTCATTTGGTTTATTAAGTAGTCTCATAATTTACGATCGACCCGTGACTTTGTCAATGTGTTGTGAGAAGAAATGACGAAAGACGTAAGAATACTTGGAATAGTCAACAATGATTGTCATTTGACAACGAAAAACCACACACGAACTATTAACAAATGTAATCGACAAAATGAGAGTCAGTCAATAACTTAAATAAAAAAAGTGTTGGCAAAGAGTCTTAAATAGCTTCAAACTGTCGAACAGGTCATATTTAGAAGTTTATATTGAAGGCGTATGCGTATCATAAGTTTGAATGAGACCTTGGCTTAATTCAATCAATGCAATGAGAAGATCTTTTGTAAAAATAAATAAAATAAATGAAACCAGAACACTGACCTTAAAAGAAGATTTTTCTCATCGACTTAAGTATTCAGCTATGCAAGATTAACTTGTACATATAATCGTCTAAATTCCAATTTCGTAATTTCAATGAAATGTTTCAAAATCTGCCACAAATTTCATTTCTATAGATTGACAGATAAAAATTAAAACTTTGTCAGGAATTTACGAAATTTGAAGCTTATCAAAATGGAAAGGAAACAGGAAAACGCGACGACAAAGGAAAAGCATGGAAATGTCATTGAACTTTCGGGAATTTTTTTTCCTCTTTTTTTTCGTTTCCCATCGTCGTTGGCCTTCGACGCTTCCACATGGAACTTATTTTTAGATGCGAGTTTTGCACAATGTTTTCAAAAAAAAACTTGGACGTGAAGAAGCAGGAAGGACTGGCAGCATACAACGAAATCTTTTTGTGGTAGAGAGCGAAAGCATCCAGAAATAGAAAAAAAGAAAATTTCTCGCGAGTCATCATCATCGATCATGCTGTGGGGTGTCGTAGGCGTAAAATATTCTTTTGCAACTTTGTTCCTTCTCAAACGAGAGAAAATGTAAACAAACGAAAATTATTGGAAACTCTCGAGAATTGTGTTTACATGACGTACATTTATCAATTACGCGCTTTACTTTTTTTAGTCTTCAATATCGCGAGCGAATCCTCAGAACCTCCGATTATCGCACGCGACGTTCGAACCTCATTTCAATTTCAAATGACGCCTGATTTCTCTCCGCGTTGTTCTCTGTCGTTTGGTGTGAATTTTCAATGTCAAATGGTTTGTTGACTTGACGGATATTGTCAGTCGGTGAATGATTTCTTTAGTGATAAATTGAGAAAAGAAGATACAAAAATAAATAAATAAATAAAAAGGGAAAACATTAAAAGCACGTGTAATGACGCGGACCGAAATTTCTTATTTTCCAGAATTTCATGAATTAATAAATCATTTAACTTTTTTTTCTTATTTCCTTTTGCTTGTTTCTCAACAAACTGTGATGAATTGATGTGATTGTTAAGTCATTTGCTTGACGATATTGGAGCATATTATAATTTGGAAAGTTGCATAAAACTCAAAATTTCGTAAACGTTGTCGTTTCTTGCTTATCAAAAGGGCACATTGAGAGCTTAATGCGTCGTAATATTGATGATTTCTCAAGAACAACGCAATAAAAAGAGAACAGAAGCTTTTTTCTCCCTTTCAGCTGTCTGAGGACGATGTCGAATAATTTACGTCGTATTTTGTGTCTGCGGAGTTTTCTCTCAAAAAGGATGTGGGTGGGAAAATGCGTAACGGTGTTGGTGTTCGAGTTGTGGGTGGCTGATGTTTAACCTTGAACTTTTAAACCTTTGTAGACTTTTAACAAGTGAGAACGAACCTCTTTGCTTAATTTCCGTCTGACTTTCGCACCGTTTATTGAATCTTCTAAGGGCATGAATGAAGCTTTTTTGTTGGATTGACGGCAGTCTCGATTGTTTACGTTATCATTAAACATTGAAGAAACAATAGAAGATATCAAATATTGACTTGCGTCAATGACGTTTCTTTGTTATATTCGTTGAGTTTCTTTATTTGTTGTTAGCAACTCTTTTTTAATGTTTTTCTTCCGAAAATTTGTTTTATCAGCTGTAGTGAATGAGGGAATTGGTCGGTTGATTGTCAAAAGTTTTTGTTTCTAACGAAGTCATCGTTTGAATGAAAAGTGCTTCTGATTCTGGTTTCATCTTCTCGAAAGATTATTCAATAAGCGGTGAAACTTGATATCAGAATGTGGGAACATTCAATAAAGCAACGCCTATCGAAAGCCAGACGTCATACTTAGTAGATATGTTGAAAAAACCCGCTTCTAATCATTCTGCTGGTGCGTAAATTTCCATTTCGCAATTAAAGCTGCAAACAAACCATTTGCGAAGCACAAACAATTATTTAAAAGATTTGACAAAAAAAAAAAACTAGGAATGTGATGATCAAACAAGACGTAAAATTTCATTGTTTTGTTAGTTTTTACAATCGTTCATCGATAATTGGACATAAAGTCTTTATGCGCGTGTAACCGATCTCAAAAATCAATTCAATAACCAGCTGATGAGAACAAAAGCATGTTCAATCAAAACGAGTTGCGTAAAAATTTGAATTCGTCTCACGCATCAATTTTCATGATACACAAAAAAATATTATTAAAAATTAGTAATCACATATCAATAGCATTACGCGCCGCGTGTGCAAACGTACATTGTTCGATTCTTTTTGCCTGCAGTTAATGCTTCCTACAAAGTTAAATAATTATATTGTATTATGTGAAGTGGGAATGTTGAGACGATTTCAGCTCACTCAAATTTCTGCCTTCTTTTCAGTTCTGTTTGTTTCCTTGTAAAAATTATAAATAATTGAAGATGCATTGATGAGAATATTAAGCATTTAAATGAGGGAAGAAATTTTTGGGATGTTAAGCAATTTACCAATTTACCTGCTGTGTAAAGTTCTTCTTATCCTTTACTCACATAAATTATCAAATGTTGATGCGTCGATGACTTGATGTGGACGTATCAGAGAGAGAATAAAAAACAGAATATTCGAGGAGGGGAGAAAATAATCAAATATCATGTCATGTCGACCACATCATACCAAAAAAGAAGTTGAACGCTTTGTTGTTCGTTCGATGAGACAGCAAATTTTAGAATGGACGGGAAAGTAGGCTTCCTAGAACATCGACGACCAAAAGTCCCTTCACTCAGCTTATCTTGGAGATTCATAGCCATAATCGTCTGTAAACAATTAAGAGATGAAAACTTGATTAGTTATAATCACAATGATGAAGTCAATAGATTTCTGCAATGTCATTTAATTGGTTTATTATGTTTTTCGTCCCCTTTTACTTTTTTTAATGCAACAGAAGCAATAAGTAGCAATCATACATTGCCACTGTTGTTCTTTCAATTCTCAAGTACAATTTCAGTAGTTATTTTGTTAGTGCCGAGGGATGAGGGCAACGCCACTTCATTCAGTCAGAAGTTAAAAGAAAAATGAGTGCTTGTTTCAATAAGATAATAAAGCTATAAAAAAATGCTTGTAATCCACCCGGGTCAATGTTCTGGCGCGGGAAAATAAAAATAGTTTTTATGTGAGATCCTATAGGTTGTCATTTATTTATGTTGAATGTCCCAGATATATGTATTTGACTTTAATTAACCATCATTACTCAAAGAAATGAAACTGCAATATTTTATTTCTTAAAATTTATTCAACCCTTGCCATTGGCACTTTATTGAGCTGAGTACGGCATAGCAACTTCCTTAAAATAGAAAGATAGGAGAACAAAGCGCATGATAATCTCAACCATGATCAAATCGACACGTACCAAACATAAATAGAAATCATTTTCTATCGCGTACAACAATCGATATTTAATACATGGTCATAATGTTAATTTAACTTCCATCAACGACTTTCTCAGCTCGTATTGTTTGACCACCCCCTGAGACTAATTTTATGAAAAAGTCACGCGACAACTCGCAAATAAGTCATAAACATTATGAGAAGTTGAAGCAATCTTTGTATAAGGAGAAGGAGAACAAATTCAACTTGTAATCACAAAACGTCAGTAAACTTTTTTTGTTTGCTTGTTTTTTGGGGCCAAGCGAGAAAAGAAACAAAAAAAATGGAACGTAATAAAATCAAAACTTGTGCAATTGTGCATTTCAAACGATAACATTTCAAAGATCAAGAAACTCTAAACAAACAAAAAATTAACAAATGCTGTACTAGTTCGTTTCTTGTGTATTGTACTAGATTAAATCTTAATAAATATTTTGATTTGAATATTTTCTTTTTTCCTTTGTGCCAGAAAAGTTCTGTCTTGTTTCGTGATAATTTTTCTTTTATTTTTGAAAGATTAAGAAATAAAAAATCTCAGGATAGAAACTCTCAAGAAGAAATCAAACAATAAATGAATCAATTTTTACGACGCATTATATCTCAATCGTATTCTGGAAAATAATTTAACGACTTCGTTGAAATGCCAGAGTATCTTAACAACAATGAAACGAGATGATTTTCATTATTTTTTTAGTGTCGTGTTCTACATTTTGTTGTTGCATTCGAATATTGAATGAAATTTGTTCTTTCGCTTTTTTTTTACTTTTCTCCTTTCTCTCTCACTCGACACACTGCTCTATAGTCAAAAAATGAAAATAATTAAATAATGAAGAGATTAGGCGATGTTTTGAGACTTTCCGGGGCACATGGAAAGAATTAAAAACCACATTGTTGATTGATACGCCCTTATTTGGTGTTATCGGAAATTCTATTCTAGAATTCTCATGCTGATAATGGCATCACATTCTTTAGAGCTCTTTATAAACACTTCCAAAAAATATATGCCAGTCTGGATAGCAATTTTACGATAACAGTTACATGGAATTTTTCAAGTTTCAACAGAATAGAAACACATATTAGAAAAGCATTTTATCGGCGTCATTCCTTTTCATTCAGTCTTTCAAAGCTTCATTACATAATGTGACTAATTTAAAAGCGTATCGTTTGCTTATCAACAAAAAGTGGAAAGAATTTTGGCGTCACCGAATTCGCGAGTCATTTGATTTCAAGTTTCTTACGAGGCATTGATTCATTGGAAATGAAAATGAAATATATTGTGGGCCACACATGACAAATGCGTGAAGTTTATTTTGTTGATAAGCAGTTCAAGTTAAGTGTCAAGAAATTAATTCCATATGCCATTTTGGTGATAACGGAGCATAAGATTAATGAGAGCTGAGAGGAAAGGGGAGGAATTTTAACACATTAGCGATCATGCGCTTCTTTATGCGTTTATATGTTCCCATTCAGATTCTTCTTTGAGCTTCAGACGATTGTGAAATATGGAAGTCTCTGTTTTTTATCTTATTCTTGTCTATTTCGAATTCATTCAAAGTCGTCTCGCTATATGCATTTTAATTGCAAATTTCAAAGCAAATTTAAATATTTCATTGCAGTGCAAACTTTTTTTTTGTCTATTTTACAAGTCACTTTGTGAATTTTCTATTCGCAAGTAAAAGTTGTCTAAGAATGACTGACTGTAAACATTATTCGTTTGTCTAGAAGTGTCGATGAAAAAAGTTCATGAATATCGTCGAATGTGCGACGGTGAGCTGTAAATCTCGTCAAAATGAGCGAGTGTAGTCATTTGCATACAAATTCTATAATAAAACAACACTCAAGTGGTCTGGCGCTGTGTGAATTTTTGATTAAATTCTTTCTTCAACTTATTTGTTTCTTTCATGTTTATTTTGCATGTTGAATGTGCAAATGAAAATTGAAGCGAAATGATTTGATGAAATCAAAGAAAATGTTTGAACTATAATTTGCACTGCCGAAGCATTATATTTATGAGAATTGTAATCAGCGTGAATAAAGCAGGTTTTCCATCTCTTCTTCGCTTTTGTCTTTATTATTTCTCTTTTAAAGGACTGTTCCGGAAACTTTTTTATGATTGGACGCTGACTCATAATTTCATCATCCTTCGCAACAAGTCGCCCCCAAATACACGACAAAGCAGAGACAAATGAGTCATTATGAAAATAAAATTCGACAAATTTTTCCAGAACAATCAATTTTTTGTGTGAAAAACGAATGAATACATAGAAATAGTTTACGCAATGAATTTTCTTTGTTCGTTTGGCTATAAATTTTGAAAGAATTATGAAGAAAAAGACATTAATAATTTTTTTGTATCAACTATTAACGGAGTAAGCCACATCGCTTCTAATTTAATCAATGCGATCACAAATAGATTTAAAATCTTTTTCATTTAGATAAGTTTTTTCATAATTTGTTAAGAATTTTTGTAGATAAACTTATCTTAAGGAAAAAAATCATAAGCGAAGTAGAAAAGTGTTCAAGACAATAAGTTGGCACAATTTTGAAATTTCTCAGATATTTTAAAGAAAAATTTTAAAACACATTTGAAAAGATAAAAAATATTTTTCTTTTACATTAATTAATTTCAACATTTCTTCATTAAAAATCACACAAAAATGTAATAAAACATTATAAGAAATTATAAGAAATATGAATTACATTTATAATCACCTCAATTCAGCCATATGGTCATTTAATATCATCGGGGAATTATTTTTGTCTGAAGATCGCTTCTTGGAATATTTTTTTGCCATTCACGCAATGATCTCGGCGAACTATATTTTGTTTCACGGTTTTAATTTCTTTTACAATGTTTCGATTTCAATCAAAAAACTGTTCATTTCTTCTCTTTGTGCTGTTATCTGGCGCTGCTTTTTCAACATTATTTCTTTCTTTGATGCTACGAAGAATTGAATTTGAATGAACAATGTGAGAAGAGACGAAAGAATTGCTGGTGTTTTTCCACTAAAAATAAATCACCGCGAAAGAAAATTATTTTCTTTTTAATTTCGTTTAATTCAATTAACACTGCCACTTAACATGATAAGAAAAGCGAGTCTCAGACAGTTGAAAATTCGTGAAATTGATACATCAAAATAAAAAATAAGTCTTGAAATTCACTGATTTCTTTCTTTCTCTCTTGTTCTTCCATTCACAGATTTTAAAGTTTTTCATTTTTTCTCGCTTGATGTGTCTTGTTAAACTTCCACCGAAAAAAAAAAGATATTACGAATCATTTGAGAAAAATTAGCAATGGAAATTCTCAAATTCTTTTATATTTTATTCGCCTCGGTTGTTGAAGAACCTCAAAAATTAAATAAAATAAAAAATATTTTTCTTTTCTTTGCGATTTTGCTAAAAGTCCAAAATCTTGTATTTTTGCTTTTGCTTTTCCTTATGTTCTTTTCATGTCTTCACTTCGCACAGTTGAAACTTGAAATGAATTTTTATGAAGAGTGGAAGAAAAAATATTTTTTTATAATAAAACCGAATTCTTTACACGGACGTTTTCATTTTTTGCGACCGACTTAACCGACAACTGAAATAATATTGAGCTTCGAGATATTTTGTTTCTTCTCCTGCAGAGCTCAAAATTTTCCTTCTACTACTTCGGCTCATTACGCTTCATCTTCCTCTCTCTCTCTGCATTCGTCTCGCACACTTGTTATTTCTTCATAGTTACATGACTTCGGCTACTAACACTTCAACATTGCTCAACACGATCGCGAAACGTAAACTCAAATATATAAAAACTTCGTACGATTGCTTATGACTCGATTGGAATGCATCATCATTATTTTTACGTTTTGCGAAAAAGCTCTTTAGTCATCAGACGACTCTTTGTTTTTTCTTTTTCTTCTCACCGGATAAAAAAATGATTCACGACTCTTGCCTACGATGAATAAAGGGGAAACGTATCTTCGGATGGTTTTTTTTTGTTCTTCTCTATATCCTTATTTATTTATATTGTGGACGAAATTTTAAGTGCTTTCAACGGTTCAACTGTTGATGGGAGACTGACTCATATGAAAATTTCTTGCCATCAACCCTCTCAGACAGTCAACTCTACTGGTTGGTGAAATATTCATCTCACGCAAGCGTAACCATTCACATACAGACGTCATCAACATCATCAGAAATTTGCTTGAATTTCGTTAAATTTAACTACAAGATGAATGAAACAATGAGACTAACGATGAACGAGATGGTGCGAGATTTTCTCAAGGGCAACGTAAGACAAAAAAATTCTTTTATCCAGTAACAAGACGTTAAAAAGCTTTTTATTCTAAATATTCGCGAATTTTCTATCGATATTCAAACCATTTAGATATCTGATCCATCCAAATGTGGTAGAACAGCCAAAAAAAACCTCATACTCTTTTCTCACATAATCGCGTATGTCGAGACATGACCAGACACTTAACACATTCAAACGCTTCTCAATTTCTTATTTATGATTTACAATGTGTAGCTTTTTTTGTTGTTTTTTCCCAAGAGGAAAAAGAAGAGGAAAACCCGAAGCCGGCGAGAGAGCGGGGGTAGATTAGCTTTCGGCTTTTCCCCCCTTCCTATCATCAATTCAGCAGTCGTTTGTTCTCTCAATGTTTTGTTGGTGAGACGAGGAAACAGAATTGCGTTTTTATCCTTTTCGCTCCATCTCACTCATTACACATCATTACAAATTGTTCTCTCTCTCTCTCTCTGTCTCTATCGAGCAAAACAAAATTGCACACAACATGTGTTGAGGCAATTCTGCGACGATGTTGTAAGTGTTGGTGCTGTTTCAACACAAGCAAAAAAGGCCAACGAACTTTGAAAGTGGAAAAAAAAGTGCTTCGACGATGGTGTGGAGACGCCCGGATTTTTTTATAGATTTTATTAACAGCCACATAATGCGAGCCCCGCGAGAAGAACAAAATTTGTACTCTCTTCTACTTCGCCCCACGTATTCGCGGTTAGCGTGAAAGGGCTGCAAATTTCCTAAGGATAACGATCGTTAAAAGCTATTACTACGTATGTTTTTTTTTTCAGCGATGCTTTTAATTTTTCAAATAAAATACGAATTACGAAGTTGAAGCATATGGAAACGAACGAGTGGTTACTGTTCTGTTTTATGATGGATTCAACATTAATTAAGGGGAGAGACAAGCAAATGTAAGACTTTTCGATTTGCCATTTTTTTCGCTGTTTTCCAACACGAAGAGGGTTGAAAGGTTTGGCTGGTCGAGAAAGAGTTCTTTGAACTTTAACTTATCGGGTTTTACGTATTTCTTTTCTTTTTTTTTGTTTTTTGTTGAACTGGTGAGAGTCTGTCATGAAACTTTCATTGAACTTTCATCCCAGCTCCCGAAAAAAGAAATGAAAAATGACTTTAGCCCATAAAAATTAAAACTGCAGCCAAGCAACGCTTTCATCGTTTATTTCTTTCAAATCATATTTTTCTTCGTTGCATTTAATTTGGCGGTTTAATGTACGTTTGGTTTTTAATACTTCACTTATTCGTCTTTTCTTTGAATTTCTTGTGCATGATGCACAACGACGACGACGACAGCGACTACGATGATGTAGAGAGAGAGGAAAAAAGTCAGTGAATTGCTTGCCTTTACGCAGGGCAATCACCAAACAAAGCAACGCTCATATTAACTACCATGCATCATTTTTTTATGATCATCGACACAAAAAACAACGCGAATACTCCAGAATACCATTTTTAACAAAAAAACAACGAAAATATGGAAGAACGGTGCATTGGGAAGCATAATAAGAACGTAAAATGGAATTTAGTTCTGTTCTGTTCAATTTTTTTAAACATTTTTTTCAATTATTCTTTTTATTTTCCTTTTTTTGTGTGGCAGCAACAACGATAAATTATCAACATAAACAGGACATGAATTTTGTGGCGAGTGCAAGTGAGAGAGTTGCATTGTTCATGGGGTAGGTTATGGGCTTAGTGCATGAGTTTATTGACGTCAATGTACACAATTTGTGACTTTTTTCTCTTTATGTCGCTCAATATTTAACGTTTCAATGATTAAAACAAAATAATCTGGCAGAACGTTGGTTTTTGGAAATTATTTTTGCGTTTTCGATGTTTCGTATTGTTTTATGCTGTTATTTGATCAGTTTCGAGTTTATTTATGAACATAAATATATCTCAAGCACACAATATGTTGCGACCAACAACACAAGAACTAACCACATGTGATTTTTTTTTAAATATTTTCTTCAGTTCTTCGGTTATCGAAAATTATAGTAATTTCAAACCGCAACAAAAAAAGGATGTTGAAGGAAAAAGTTTTTCTCGGAAATAATTTGTCATGATTGACGATATTTTGACAGTCACGCTTCGTCAGCAAAGCAGAAAAATTTCCGTCTTTATAAATTATTCACCTGTCGATCAATGCGTAATGTATGATTTTGAAAGGATAATAAAGACAACAACAGAGTCTCGCGACATCAAAATGAATGAATCAACAAACAAAACTGAATTGATGGTTTAAATGTTGAATGACGAGCTGTTGCAAGAACAGTGAAACGACGTGATAATTTGAGAATATGAAACTTAAAAAAAATGTTGAAACGAAAATGATTAACGGGAAAAAATAAACTGTAGCTAAGCAGAGACAACACATTGGACCATGACAGCGGGAATACTGTTACAAGTTCTAGATTAAATTACAGATATTTATTTCTTTTAATGAAACGAAACCAAAAAGTGAAGACGTCGTTGTACTCGAAGATTGTTGTCTCTATTCTAATTTGTGATGAGATTACGAAGAAACAAAAAATAAAATAACTTGAGAAATTAGTAACACGAAATAAACAAATTTATTAACTTTCTCGAAGACTTCCACTTTATATAGAAATGAAGAGTTTGCATGAGACTATGAGAATGACATCACCGGGGCACCGGGGCGATAATCCAGAGCGAAACATTTTAATACAAACGCTGCGACAGGAAATATTAATCAGTACAGAAAAAAAAGAAGAGAACGAGCGTATGACTTTAAAACTATTTCTTTATTTTTTTCGTTTTCCTTCTTTGTCGTCTTACAACAAACACACGCGATTCATAAGCATGAATGATGGAGTAGAGAAAGAAGAAAAAGAAGAAACGAGAACACCAAGCGACAAGTACTTACTCCAATTTAGATTAAGAGGCTTTACGATGCAAACTCAAAAGTCTTGTAGTGATTGTGATAAGAGGAGAAGTAAACTGCGGTGTTTCATTCATGCATTGCTCATTGAATTATGAATGAAGCTGAGATGGTCATAGGAAACGGTGCAACTCTCAGCAGGGTAGTCGCTCAAAGTTGTGAATGGACAGCTTCTGTTGTTGGCACTTTTATAATATTTATTTTTCCACTTCACTCGTAATATACTGAAACTGGTCATGAAACTTGCGTTTTACTGTTTTCGTTATCGCGTTAACATTACTTGATGTGAGAGCGAGAATGTAGTTGTACAATTTGATGACGCACAGGATGACGAAAAGGTTTTTTCCAGTTAAAAAGCGCAACTCATTTCAATGGCTACATGGAGCCTTGGAAAAAACAGAAAAACTATGTTACTTGAATTGCAATTCATCAATGGATTTGTAGTAATTTTAACCTTAGCTTATTTGATCATGACATCAATTGCAATTGCATATTTAGTTACTTCACTTCATGAATGAATAAAAAATCGTTTTTCTACCGGAAATTGAACACATAAACCCAAGAAACCATAAAACGTGAATATGCAATTATTGTAACTTTTTTCCTTCTTGCTTATCGATTTTCCATTGCCAAAATTACAAGCGACAATTATAGATCAATCAATATTTTCTTTTAACCATTTCTGCGAAAAAAATTTATCATTTTAGTGAATATTGAAAGACGACAGACAAATGAAATCAATAAATTTCCGATGAAATTAGAATTCGTTTCAATCGAGCCGATTCATCGCGCATTTTCGCTATTCGAACAATTCACGGAAGTATGTCATGAATGAAACGCTTTTGCTTCGCTTTCTTATACCAATAAATTGGCTTGAAAAATGTCGATCTTTCACTCTTTCTATTATCGATAATACCAGACATTGGCGCCCTCCCACGAGTCCCGCTCACACAGATAACAGATAAATATTGAAAAAGGGAAGAAGAAAGAAATATTCATTCATTCATTAAAGAAATCACTTCACACCTTACTAATATGTTGTGTGTGTGTGTGTGATATTGTCGCACAGTTAACTATCGCTGGTAATTTTAGGCGCTCTGCACATTTTTTAGAAAAGCGAAACAAACTTAAAATAACTTTCCTACATGAATATTTGAGATGAAAGATTTCTTGTGACATTCCACGGAGGCCAATTTCAACAGACATCATAATGAGACGTTGGTGGGAGCTACGATTTACTAAAAGTATCTAAAAGCTTAATTAAATTAACACAACGAGTGTTAGTATTTAGCAAAACTCGCTTCTTGTAAATATCAATGACTCAGACTATTTGTCATCAAATCCAACGTCATATTTTAGACTTCAAATTGAAATTCTTCTCTTAGTGATACATATTTCTCATGTGATTGTTACAAAGTATTCCTTGTCTAAATATTTGATTGAATTAAAAAGCGATAATAAGAAGCAGAACAGAAAAAAATCCCCCGACGCATATTTAACGTCGTAAGACATCACGAGTGAAATCGTTTAAAAAAATCTTTTCTTACGTCGTCTCTCTTTCTCCCGTCTTTTTTTCTTTGTAGATTAAATGATTGAAAATCGAATAAGATTGAGCCACAATTAAGGTCAGAAATCCATAAATCTATCAAGCAAGTGTACGATCGATCACATCAAAGTTTCGATCATATTTCACTTGATCGCGGTTTATATGTCTGTTCAAGTATTGTGAAGGCAATAAAAACTATTCGACTTGGTAAATCTTTCTTAGATAGTCCCAAGTTTCTTTAACCATCTCCTAATATTAAATACAAATAAATAAATATTTACAGGTGATATTCAACGAATCAATTTTTAGATTGCGTTGAAGTTGAAAAGAAAAACTTGTTTCGCTTTGAATTTATTGGAAGATTTTTAAACGAACATTAAAGATAATTATGTAGAAGTGAATGAAAAACGACCGAATGTCAATTTATTTAATTCATTTACATTTGCGTCAGTAATGGTTGACGAACTGTGCTTCGTATTTGATAAGAATTTTTAATTTATTATGTATGCTCTTTTTGACTCATAACATTTTATCATTTTGACAATATATTTTTCACACGAACGATTTTCTGTTTCAACAACTTCATTGTCACCTTTTGTCGATCGTGTCATGTGACGATAGGGTGACGTAAAACATTCTTAAAATAAAGAAAATAAAAACAACCGCAAGCGGAACAGTATTGAATTGTAAAAGCGAGTAAGAGAACGTTTATAATTTCTTTTAATGAAGAAATGTACCAGAGAGTGGTAAAAACAAATGAACAATCCATTATTTCCATTATTTTTCAAATTAAAAATACCAGTAATTGCTTCTTTAATTATGTAGATGTGCACTTATCATATCAGTGCAAACATAAATAAGCATTTCATTTGAAAATAACATTTTTCCAATAAAATAACCAGAAATGTTATGTTAAACTTTAATCCATTTCACACATGCGATTTCTTTCCCTTGTCATTAATAATTGCCATCTTTTCTGTGCAATAAAAATGTGTATTTAACGACTCCATCTGACTTGATTACTACTTGTGTTACTGTTATTCACCGTTCACACAACCCGCAGGTTATTGAAAGGAAAGTGACAGAGTTGAGGAGACCTTGCACTAAATGCTCATGTGGGGTCGTTAACGACGTTAAAGCCAGGGTTACAAAAAAGAAATAACCGACCACGATCTATGTTCTCTATTTGTGTGTGTATGTGTGTGATATTTCGCAATTGTTGTGGCCTTATTGAAAAACAATAAATAATAAAGTTTTATGCGTTATACTTTACAAACTTTAATGCTTCAAAGTGGTTTCGAAAGGAGTTGATGATACTATGAATGCATCCTTGTTTTTAAAAAACAAACTAAAACATAATTAAAATTTGTTTCAACTGTGACGCAAAAAAAGATTTTAAAAATGCTGCATTTTCTGTCATTAGAAATTTACGACTTTAATCTTTGTTCTTTTTTTATGTTTCAAGTTATTGATTGCTTTTTTGAGTTCAATAGCATTAATGAGTTTAATGGGATCTTCAAAAGAGATTGTTGTTTAAAAAAAAGATTGAATGTCAACATCGGTTTGAGGGTGAATGGAATTTCTTCATTTACGATCAGTTGTTCAGATTCGATCACTTTGTTTTTATGATGATTTATCAGTTGTTATGTCGTACGTGTATGTTTGAACGCAGAAGGGATTTCAGTTTAGTTCCACTGCTTACTATAAGCTGAGAGTTCAATAAACCTTGTTAAAATAATGAGAAATGTGATACTTTTTTTCTTCCATCCGTAACCCTCCCTTGAGCTAAAGAACGTTTTGAAAAACAAACATAAATGCTAATTAAACTTCTGGTGGCAATGATCATCACTTTGGTTTCGTAACTTGTTGTTACAATAATGAATAATTATTAAAATGTTTCACATTTTTCCATCGCTTCGGTCAAGCTTGACAGCAAATGTAACATCTCAAAAGCTCTTTAAAGTTTCTTGAAGCATTTTTGGAATTTTTATCCCATGTTGCCACCGTCGGCGTCGTAAAAGCTTCACAAAGCCCATGTCGAATGTAATGAAATTTCTTTTCTCGGAATTCGATCCAGCAAAACGATTTTTCAAAAAAAATGTTTTTTTTTGCGTTTTTACTTCAAATGTCTATCTCTTGCGCGATCTTTGTCGATATTCAAATGAAAGACAATTTAATGAGAAAAAAATAAAAATGGCATGAATGAACGAGCTCAGAAATTTCGCAAATAATGTGAAGAAAACAGTAACAAGCGCAACGTTACAAGGTTTACTTTCAGCAGAGTGGAAGAAAGAAAATAAAAAGAGAATTTCTAAAATGTAAAAAGAAGTTTGCAAAGGAAAAGAAATTTTTTAACATGTTTCGAAGCAATTTTTCTTTGCGGAGCCGGAACAATTTCATTCAAGCAGTTTATGAAATCAATTTCGAGGCAATGACGTGCAGCTTTGGAGGCTTTGAAAAGAATTTGGAGGTTTTTAATCTTTTTCTTTTGGCTTTCTCTCTCGCACAGTATCTCTCTATCTTTGTTCCTCTTATGTATATGATATATAAAGACATGTACATAAACATAAAACCGCACGGATAGAAAATTATTTTCTTGCGGATTTCTCGAATCATTTCTCAAGAGAAACAAAATTAACGGCAAATGATTGACGAACTCTTTCATTGCAGCTTCTTGTGATGCTTACATAAAAAAAAATTTAACTCAACTGTCGCACATGTGCAAAGATATTTTCTTGAGATATCGCTTGCTTTGCGAGTTTCACAAGGTCCAACTCTTGAGAATTATCAACATTGCCAAAATAAAAGGAAAGCATCGCAATAAAAGAGACAAATACCGTTAACATTCCTTTCAATCTTCACAACAATTTCTTTCATTCCATTTCGGGTCAATTCGCGAATAGTTTGTGGTTTTGAGTTGAGGTGCGCAGAATAAGATTTAAGACCTACAAATGTAAAATATTGCGGGAAAACTAATTGAGGTCAGATTTCGGATGTCATGTTGAAATCATTTCACATCGAGAATTCTTTTTTCTCTCTTCAATTCCCGATCGCACATCACGCGGATGTTCCTTCGTTGTCACTGACGGAGCTATTTTCATGTTAATTGTCATCATATTGTGTGGGTGTGAACAAATATTTTTATTCTCTTAGCTCATGCTTAAATCTTTTATTTAAGCTTTGTTTTAAACATTGTTTAATTTTATTATTATTGTTTAACATTAATGACTTTTAAAATTTGAATGAAGTGAATTAGCATATCGCCAGCTAACAAGCATCGTTCAGTTGCTTGAATATTAAAATTAAAGTACAATATATTTAATGAATTTAAATTTTAAAATGATCTTTGAACAAGTGAAGAATAATTTTGTTTAATCATTTCAAAATACATTTTTTGCATGCGCATCAAAAAGCGCAGAGTCATTGTAGAAATGACGCAACGAATCTTATGAACGATAATGTAAACTTAAGAGATATTGAGCTCCACATTTTTTGTTTGTAGATATGTGTTGTTAGGGTGTGTGTCTACTATGAAAAGCAGATCATAGATCTATAAATAAGACGACATTATTTGTGGTCGACGAGCTTTTCTCTCCTTTACTCCCCAACAATCAATGACGAGTGATAATTATAAAAAGCGACAAAAAAATCTCTTTGTATTCAACGAGCCATGAAAAATCTCTCAACACAATGCCCACGACAATCATTTATTTATTTCTGTCTCAATTCTGCATTCTTTTCTCTCGACATACACCAAAACTAAAATTTCTTCAGTTTTTGATGAAATTAATTGAAATCAAGACATAACTTATTACAAAAAAAAATTTGAAAACGTTGAAGAGATTGCGAAAAGAAAAAATAAATTCGACTCACCTTTGAGGCTACATCGGTGAATGATGGTATTGTCGATGCCGGAAGTTGGTGATTATCTGGGTAGAAGTTGATTGAAATCCATTATATTGAAAACTTCTTTTTCGCATCAATTTCAAGTTCTTTTCAAGCTTCTTCTTTTACTCAATGGATTGTTCGTTTATTGATTCATTTCTCATAATTCATTCTTCCATTTCTCTTTATATCACATCTAAGTTGCTTTCATTATCATTAAGTGAAAACTTCACTTGAAATTCTTCTATAATTTGTCAATTATCACATTATTTCTGACATCAAAGACACTTTTATATTCTCTTTACTTTCTTCTTATTTCTTTGAGTATTTTAATGTTAAGAGCACAACTGAAAACAGAACTAACTTCATCGACGCTCGGTGAATAAATAAAAACGAAAAATTGTGCTCGCTCTGAAATAAAATTTCATGAAAATTATTTTCTTCTTTTCGACTTTTTTTTTCGTGTGTTCTTTGCAGCTTTGGCTTGGTTGATTCTTTCTGGCATGTTGCATGAATGGTAGTATTTCAACTTGATTGTGTGCAATAGCAGCAGCAGCAGCAGCAGCACGAGCATTTTGCAAAGATTTTTCACGAATAGTTTTCACATAATCTCAACGAAGCGCATGAAAGCTTATGGAGTTCGACTGCGCTTCCACTTGTTCTGTTTTTTCATTCTTCTTTTCCGACACGATTAAATAAAAGGACGCTGCACTCACTAACACCAACTGAGAACAGCAGTGGGGTTCATAAATTCGTAGAAACAGCGAGAAAAACGACACGAGGAAGTTTTTGCGATTTAGCAAATGATAAATCGGAAAATGGAAAACGCAAAGCGAATTTTATATGAGAGGGTGAAGGTTTTGTGATGGCCTGTTAATTAATGCTATGTTCGAGAATGGAGAAATAGCATCGCCCGATGCTTTTACGTTTCATTCCAATTTTGATATTAAAATTATTGATTTCCGGCATTCGTTTCAAGTTCGGTTATTGGCTATGTTTATGACTCCCTGGTTGACAAAGATTCTGCTCGAGAAGTTTTCCAATCTTTTAACTCGAAACTGGAATTCTATTGATGCATGTCATTGCCATCTGCTGCCATTGCCTTTGCATTTATTATTTCTCAGCATATTTAATTAGTAAAGTAGATTAATTACAACTATAGTCTTTAAAAATGATAGCGTCAGTGTTATGTTTGATGGGCCTGGCGCGCGCGCAAGTTCAAAGTTTCGTTTCTTCAGAAATTCAGTAAATTTATTTGCTGTCAGGAGCGTCGCGATATGGCAAATGTAAACCATACAAAGTTGTTAAAAAAATAAACATAACATCGACGTTGTTTGATGATAAAATGACTTGGAAAGTCGTAAATTTATGAATGCAAAATGAGCTTCAACGATCAGTGACGTGGTTATGCAGAATGATGGAATATCAGCTTTGATTCTTGTTGATCAGCTCACATTTGGATATAATCTGATGTATGAGTCCAAATAAATTAATAACAATTAACTTCCGGTTGAAAGTGTTCGATACAAAACTGAATAAGTTGCGGATTGAGTGTCAACGTGAAATCTTTTGGAAACAAAAACAATAATAGCAACTATCAAAGATTATTTTGCATACATTTAACGATTATGAGTTCTTTCCTTTCTGCTGTGTTCTGACGTGCTTATGTTTGCTGATTTGACTGCCAAATATTAAGTCGTTTTTTTGGACGATCCTATGTTGAGAATACACAATGAGGGCTCGTTGTTGGCCTACGTGAATTTAGTCGCGTATATATTTTCAAGTGTAGATTAGAAACATTGATAATTCAATTTGAAAATGTTTGCCCTCGTATGGCCTTCACTTGAATCTCCTAACATTAACATCAAACCATAAAAAAAACTTAATCAATCGTCAACAAATGCTATTAAACATTGTCAAATGAAATCATTAAGTTTAAGGTTTAACTATCTATCCATCAGTTAAGTTTAATACTTGACTTCACTACAAATCCTTACAATTATCAATTACATTCCAACCTGATGACATCACTTAAAAGCGATTTCATGTTTCAAGAATTTAATGTAGTAGTAATAGAAGACAATTTTCTTCTCAAGCGACGATCGGTTGAAGTATGTTAGGAAATGACAAAAGCAGAAAAAAAAAGTTTAAAAGTCCAAAAGCTGTAAAATTAGAAGTTAATTACCATTGAGTTGAACATTTATGAATGAATCACTTCCACTTAAACATTGAATGGCGTTCGTCCAATCTTGATCGTAAGCCGACGACAGTGAAAAATTAACGCGACATTCAATTCACGTACTACCACTAAACCCCGACATTGGATATCGTCAATTAATCGACTTGGTTGTGGCCTGAATTTAAGTTGGTACGTCCCAAACAAACTTGTTTTAGATTGATTAGTATGAGCAATCATTTCTAGACTCAACTTGTGATCACGTTGAGTGACTGAAATTCTTTCTTTTATTACCAAATTTCTCAGCTTTTCACGTAGGCTAATAAATTCATCTCGAAAAATAAACTAAAATAAATAGAAGCACGACGAGGTCAGGCGATTAATTGGATTTGATATTTCAAAGCCCACGATTCAGCGAACAAAAAAGTAATTCGAGTCGTTGAACCGCTGCCTTTACGTACTTTTCCGACTGAAAGTGTGAATGTGATTTTCTTTATTTCATTTCATTCATTCACAGCATTACAGGAAATTCTGCAAGATCGTGGAACTTGAATTGCGTGCAGGAAGTTAGTCAAGCACCTGAACTTAAGCCACTGACTGTCTCATTCATTTATTCAATGTCTTAAATTGCTAATTTTTTTATGGTGATGGGTCGCGATTTCATTCCGCTTCTAAGAAGTCTCATGCAATTTTTCATTTGACTGCTGTCAGCCATAAACTCGTTCAGGTCAAAACAGAATGGCAAAGAATGGAAACTAGCGCAAATATGCCTCATAATAATATAAATTAATTAATTAAAGTTGAAGATAATTTTTTGTTTTGCTTTATCGTTTTGTGAATATCGCTGAGGTTTTCATTCCCGCAAAAAAAAAAAAGTAATAATAATAATAAGAAAAAGAAATAAACTCATGAAAAAATAAGAGAAGGGGAGCAAAAACGAATGTTAAAGTCCGGCAGCGTGAGGGCACGAAAATTAATTGTTTTTAATGATCGAGCACCACTCATAACTATTTCTTTTTTTTTATGAAATGTTGCGGATTTATGATTTTCTGTTTAATTAACTCTTCCAGGCGGAATTGAGTTTACTTGCTACATTCAGTGATGCTTTCGAATTTTTTTAATAAAAGCATTAAGTTAACCTAACTGAACTAGATCTTTGTCCACTTCTGTTTCATCCTGGGCAGCTTAATCAACCACGATTCCAAGAATATTCATTCCTGATATTTAATTAATCAATCCTAATTATTACTTTGTTCTGTTTGCTCTTCTGATGATTATACACGCCGGCACTTCTTACATCTTCCACTCTTCAAACTTTGGTCTTCTTTTCAATGATCATCAAATCTTACCTTTCACTTGTTAAGTAATTAACAAAGAAAATAAACTAGCGAAAAGAATTTAACGTTAAAATAATCGAAAGCACAAAAAAAGCAACATGAAAGAAGAACAATTAAAGCATAGCAGATAGTAAGAACAAAAAGAAAATTCTTCAGCTCTCATTTGCGGTTTCATTATGAACCAATTTATATTTTTTATATTATTTAAACCTGATCAATGTTAGTAAATTGATTTGAGTTGCTTATGGAATTTTATGATGATGAATTGATGCTTTAAAGAATCATGAAGAAGCACTTCTAATTATCTTCACATAAAACAAACTCACTTCAGTATTTAGTTGAGCTTTAGTTCTTGTAAGGACGATTGAAGTTCTTCATAATTTCACGTGAAACAAAGTTAACTTTCATAGCTATGATTAATCAGAACTGGCAAATCTTTAAAATATTCTCTCAAAATAAATCAATGCACGTGACATAATCACATGGCATTTGAGAATAAATTCACAAAACTGAAGGTTTTCGTAGTATGAAACATGAAAAATCTCAAAGGTTTTTGATGTTACCTTGACATCGTCCAATTTTACACATTTTTTTTGCAGTGTTTGGCATTAAAATGTTGAAAAAGCCTTACAAGTGCTCCACTCGTATTTCAGAGTTATGTAATTATATTCCTGTTCCATTTTTCGATAGATTTAAGTAAATATTTATGAAATTAAATTAGTATTTAAACCTGTAAATGCTTCATGGTGAATTAATTAAATTATCATCAAGACATTAGCATGATGAGAAGCAGTAATAGTGGTAGCAAGAGAAACAACAAAGAAGACTGACTAGCCATCATTGAGATGTTACAATTTCCATCTTTTGACTTACTCTTGAATTTTATTTCGAGTCATTAGCACTTCAAGTAAGCCATGACACAAAACTTACAATAATTTAATGATTAATAACTGTTGAAATTGATAACTTACTTTAATTAAATGAATTTCAAGGCAATGTTTATAATCTAAAATAATCAATTACAAGCATTATGAAATATCTAATCATAAAAAACGTTTTTCTTGCAATTCCTTTCATATATGAAATTAAAACAGAAAAGAGAATGAAATGCACGTGTTGATGCAGGTCGAATCTCAAGGATAAAAAATAAATTTATTCACAGACGGTTAATTGAAAAAGGAGATTTTGGTATCATCATAATTGCCACGTGTTTGTTTCCTATTTATGGCTCGCAAAGAAAAACAGATTGAGTTACTCTATTGTTGCTTCTCATGACAATCATAGCAAGACATAGGAAAGGAAGTGGCATGAAGAAGAATAATAAACACGAAACTAATTCCTTTTAATGATATATTTCGAATCAAAATAAATGTGAAATGCAATTAATTTTGTATTGTGGCAGGTGATTACGCAAAGGTTTGATTTACGTATTCACATTATTTTTTCTATGAATGAAGAAAAGCTTTTGATGAGCCAATGTGCGATTAAATTAAAACATTTCCACAAATTCTAACACCTTAACGGAATAATCACTCAATTTTTCTTATTAATACTCACTGACATGAGTTTCTCATCAAAAGTCATCATGCGAATCGTAAATTCAAAAGAGTAAATGGCATAATGCTTGAGAAAACAATGAAACATTTGTTGGAAATGAATTCCATTAATGATCCATGATAAAAAGAAGAAAAAATAGAAACTTGTAGCAACATGAAATTAAGATTCATGATAACATTTCCTATGAGAAGTTTAATAAAATGTTGTGACATCATTTGCACGCGTTTATGATTGTAATTTTGAAATTATTATTTTGAACATAAAATCTATGTTTCCTGATGCGACTTCTGATAGTTTAACAAGTTTTTTTTATGTCTACATATGTGCTTGAATGTAAATATAAATAGTTAATAAAGAATTCCGTTCCGAGACGTTTGACTACAACTTCAGAATGAGTCAATCAGGTAAATTATCGTCAGTGCAAGCTAATATTACGAATGAATTGCATTTAATACAACAACTTGTTTATCTGACTACACATATCATTAAATTACTAATTTAACGATTTCAAATATCCCGAACATAAAAGAATACCAATTTAAACAAGAAATTGCCCGTCACCCTAGGGTGGGGCCTCCGTAATACTTATACGTCATGCAAAAGGAGTAAAAAAGAAGCAAAAACCAATATAAAGCAGGTGATGTAAATTGACGGCATCGACGAAACAAACGAAAGAAAACTCGCTCTTATGTCGTTACATTGATACTATGTTGATAATATCTACATGTAACACGACGACAGACCTGTTCAGAATTGAACAGTAGTGAGAATTAAGAGGTTGCAATTTACAAAAGCTTTAACATTCTGACTCAGGACTGCAACAATGTTACATACGAAGAAACTCGTCAAAGGAATGCAACCGAAGAGAAGAGAAAAAGTTCATAAAATGATGAAGAAATGTCTTTTTTTCGTAAATAAAAATCAGTATATGTCAGAGTTGTCACTTGTCTTTATTTAAACTGACAGGTTAACTTCAGTTGTATGAATTTAGTTCTAACGAGTTTGCTATGAGCCATTAAACAGTTTAATATTCAAAAATTGACTTTAAATGTCATGAGAAATCAGTTCATTAGGAGACAACTCTGTTGTTGGTTACTTATCCAACAGTTGCACCACAAGAAGCATCGTTAAGTGTGCTAACTGTAAAATATTAAATTTTCACATAAAACACTTTATGATCACTTCTTATTCTTCTGAAGAGTCTCCTGACGCTCTCAGCTACATTGTTGTGGACATCGTTTCGGTCTCCTTCATTCCATTAATTTTGAAATGTCAACTGAAGGAGGAAAAAAAATTGCATCAACTAACAATAAAATTTAATAATTGAATTTCCGATCTTTTTGCACATTTCGCTTTGACTGTTTCTTTTTTGATGGTTAAAGGAAAACGATAAGAATCAAACATTAACATCAGAAATAAAAAAATTGATAGAGATCATGGCGTATTTAGTAATTCATTCATAACACTTTAAAGTATCGACAGAAACTGTGAAACAAAGTGTTACAAAATTTAAATATGAAAGGTTTTGACAATTGATTACAGGTGGTTGAAGCAGAAAAGCGTTTCTTTCGACAAGCTAAATAGAAAACAATTTACAATGAATAATGATAAAAGTTCATTAGCCAAGCATTTATCGAATGATTTGATTAGCGTAAAATTCATTTGGGATGTTTTACAAGTCACTCAGTGAGTGAGTCTTACAACTTCAACATACGTAAGAAATAAAGAAATATATTCAAGCTCAAACAAAAGAAAATTGCCTCGTTTACGCATGATAATCTAATCACAAAGTCGTAATCTTAATTTTATGATCATCTTATGGAAATTTCACTCTTTTGTTCTTTCACTGACTCGAGAAAATTTATGCGTTTCAAGTTTGGCCAACGAGGCTGATCTGCGACTTCACTTCAAGACATTCATGAATTTTTCAACAGTTTAGAAAATATTTAATATTTTCTACCTTCCTTGTGATGGATTTGCAAACTTAAACTAGGAAATGGTCAATCTAGAAGCATTAAATTTTTATTAGATATCATTTTAGAAGTTGCGTAAATGTTTCAGGAATCACCTCGTTCAATGCTCTTGACCAAACTCTCAACGAAGTCTTGTTTGAGCGTAACCACATGAAAAATACAGAAATATTAAAATTCATGAAATTTTGACGCGTACTCGACCAGCGATGATAAAACAAAAAATGACAAGGGAATGAATGGTCGTGAAAAAAAGCAAACTTGACTACATGAAAACGACACCAAGAGAAAATAATTCGTGTAGTGACAAAATTTGGATTACTTGTAAACTTCAACAGAGAAAAGAGCGGTTTGTAGAATGTCTAACGAATTAAAAATTAGCGGTGGTCTCATGTCAAAGCACATCATTTAACAATCACCATGTGAGATGTGAACGACTCGCTCAAAATTCAAAATTCGAATAGAAAAAAAAAAATTAAAATAAAACAAGAAAATAGAAATGAGACCATCAACTTACCAGATGGTGTGTCTTTTGGCATTGTCTTCTCTCGTCTCAACACGCTTTTGTTTCGTTCAATGAGATCATTAAATCCCTATTTTTATTAACGATTAGATCACCTTCTTAGTGTCTACTGCTCCTACGCTTGACACTGGAATCTAGTTTCAATAAGATGTTTATGAAGGAGGAATCATCGTGAGTTGAAGTGAAAGCATTTCAATGTTTCTTAATTTTTTTTTTGAGTGAAAGAAACGAGTTGTTAATTTAAACACCGGGGCAATAAACAACCGTTTGAGAACTTTCTTTCAAGACTTTTAAAAGAAACTGTTCCGCCTCACTAAAACCCGCACGTCGACAACAAACAAAACAACTTTTTCGAACGGTAAGAACGGCGCGAATGAATGGAAAGAAAGAATTGCGTAAAAGGTGCGTAGAAAATCAAGAGGAATAAAAAGAACATTTTTCGAATTTATTGGAACGTAGAGAAAATCTGACGCGCCGTTGAATTCTCATCAACAATAACAACCAAGGCTTTGTTATGAAATGTTTTGATGAAAACAATGCTGAAGCGTAAACGCAAAGATCTACGCATTGTTGGCGGGAACAGAAAATGAAGCCTTTTAAAAAAATTGACTTTTGGCCGACTGCCTTACATGCGTTTCGTTTCCTCTTCCAATTCTTTATTTGTTTTGGAACAATTTATGAGTATCACTTACCAAAATCATTTAAAATTCTGAAATGTTGTTACTGAGAATGAATTCAATTAAAAAGTTGATAAAACTATCAGATAAGTATCGTAAGTTACTCGCATATCAGATCTTAAGTTTGGATACATTTGAAGATCGTTTTCATTCTTATCAACATGCTTCCTCGTCTCATCAGTAAAAGAAAACATTTTTTAATTTTGATGATTTCTTATTGAAATTAATGGATTAAGTTTTATGTTGGTTCAGCGATATCCAACATATAGTTAAATATGGAATCGTGGTGTGTTCGTTTGAAGCTTTGGGCTATGTTTTTGAAAGTTCATAGCTCTTAAAACTTGGAAGTTAATGGCGTGTAGAGCGAGACATTACTTATAAATTCCAGTGGTGTTTGATTGAAACAATCTTCAATAAGATAAAAAAAGAAACAGAACTTTAAAAAAAAATTTAAATCTCCACACGAAAACTTTTCAGAAGATTTCAACTTAAGTCGAAAAGTGGCAGACTAAGATTCTATGCACTTAACTTTATTACAACTATAGATAACGAGAAGATAACGATGGTTCATAAATATTTTGATGAATGCAGGTGATGTTTTTGCGCCTTAATTCTTTTAATGCATATGAATTAAGCATCACTATAAAAGAAAGAAAAATTAATTAATGCTGTAAAACAGACAGTTGCAAAAATGACTTGTATCGGCTTATCATGATTCCAGTTTACGACACTGTGCTGAAACTTTTTTATTAATAAATCAAAATTAAATTGACTTCGTGTTTTTGAAACATTAAGTTTATTTTTAGAGTTCACAAACAAAGTCATATCAAAATTTGTTTCATGTTTTACGAGCAATGGAACATCAGACATTTTATATCGATAAAAGTGTCAGTTTTTAATTATAATATTTCAATATAAAATAAAATGCTTTTAATGCTCCTTCAAGTGTGACTGAACATTAATTTTACAAATATAATTTTCGGCAAAATTAATTAAAATGTTAGAAACTTCTTTGTGGTAAATATAAGTTGTGGTGAATGCAATATTTGCTTGAATAATTTTATGCCATTGCTACAACTTAAAAGAAGTCATAAGGATACATAGTTGAAGACTTAACATGAAGTTATAAAACTTTTTGCCAATTTTTTCAGAACTTATATGATCTGAAACGAACTTATTATAAGTTAAAACAATTAAGTTTAATGACTATTGTTACTTTAAATCATTTGTTTCGTAATAAGCAACTCAATTGAAATTTGTAACTAAACTAATAATTTTCAGTGCGCTTTTAATAAATATTTTGCATATATAGTCTAAATAATGACATGTTTGCATCCATAATGAAAGTCGTGTAGGTTTAGTGTATGGTGGTTGGAAATTTGTAATTCATTCATTCAAGCTGTGCTAAAAATAATAAGTTTGTTATTAATATGATTAGATGCTTTAACAACTAATATCACACAACTCACAGGAAGAAAACAATGCAGAAGTAAAGTAAATTAGGAGTTCGTTAGATGGAACAACGGAATAAGCAAAAGCTGCTTTTAGAATTTTGAACACTTATTTATTGAATGAAACGGAAGTAAAAATGATTTCGGAAGCAAATGCAATACAAGGTGGTAAAATATTAATGAAGTCAAAATGCTTAAAAGAAACCAATTTGCAAATGAAAGCAAGCGACCACAATTTGCTTTCGGCAAAAGTTCAACAGCCTGAGAAAACACCCCACAAAGCGTCAAAACCATTCACTAAAATCACAGACATTCAACGATGACAGTCTCAAATTACGTTAATTGAATGATTAAATTTCCTGAGACACCGCGTGAAATGAACTCGAGCTGAAAATGTTGTTCTTTTCTTTGTCATTCTTTCTGTTTGCAAATCAAAGCAATTTAAGTCAAATGAATTGTTTTTCAAAGACGACGATGACTGCATAAATTCTTGTATTCTATTAACGATAACAAAGTTGCGGCCAACACATTTGAAGTCATGGTTCGTTTTCTTACAAACTGCTTCAAGTTTCATATGTTAATTGCATATGTAATGTAGAAGTAAAATTTACAAACTGATGAAGAATGAATTTGAAGCTTAATTAAATTTCCTATAAAGAAAAAAAAGCTTTTCCTCTTTACTTCAATTTTTAACATCAATTTACAATCGAGTTTGCACGCGCGGTTTTTTGCAGAAGTTATTGACTTTAATTTTTTTTTCTTCATCAAATAAAAAAGCAGCACTCTCTCGTAATCCAGAAATTTTTTTGGGGTTTTCCGCGATTATTTATTAGAAAATATGAAAGGTAAAGTAAAAACTTTAAAGCTTTTAAACTCATCGATGAATCGCCTTGTTGGCTCTGGTTCACACTCCACAGAACTTGTACTTAAGTAATCTTTGACAGAATAACTCATACCAGAGAAGATTTCTCGGTTTGTTATTTCTTTTGCAAATGTATAAATAATATTTTAAAAATCTCAGCAAGCTTGTTAAGAAAATTCGTAATTAACATCCGGAAATGCATGTGAACGAAAATATTTCACTTTTATGTGAACATTGCAGATATAATAAGAACAGAAAAGTAAATAATGATAAATTGTTAACAAAAAACCTCAATTAAAATCCAATTTGCATTTCTTAAAGAAACTACTGGAAGATTGAAAATAAAAAAATGAAGCACAAAGGTGATGTGATACCAGGTGAATAATATTGAGCTTTCTTATTGGTTCTCTTTCATAATGAAGGAGAAAATAAATAATTAAATTGCTGGCATTATTTTCCTCTCATGAACGTATAAACTTGCGAATAAATATGTTCGGCAAGAGGGTGTTGACTCGAATTCATCTAATTTAAATTCCATATCAATCCACGTAATAAAACTTATGACATCCTTCCAAATAAGATGATTAATTAATTTATTAAATATGTTAAAATATATTTTTAGTTTCATGTCCCCATTAAAGTAAAGACTAATTAAATTGAGGGTGAAAAATGAAGGAACTCAATAAAAAGTTTCTCACAACGCGATGTTTAAATGTTGTTTTAATGCAAATATGGAAGTTTTCATGTCCATTGAGTGATGTGGCAGGGGAGCCGACCTCACCTTCGGACACTTCATATCTTGATGTATTTATGCTAATTTTCATTTATTTGCCATAATTTGCTGATTTACTTCCATGGATTACATGTTCGCGCTATGAGTAATGTTCCCGAGTGTTTGCTGGTTAGTCTCATCATGTGAGTAACTTCTTTGACTTCTTTCACTAAAATCAACTTCTGAGAAAACAGCAAAAGCAGTTCAATGCAATTTATTGCAACATTAAGTAATGAAAATTTATTCAAATCATGAATTAAAAAGGCTTCTTCATCTTCATTGCGAAAGGATTTCACGTAAGTGACTGGCGTCACATAAAACTAACTGTAAAAATTTTGCAATGACATTTATCGTGACGTTTTTTTTTCTTTCCTTTTATATTTTCAAATAAGTAATAATTAAGTGGAACATTTAAATGATGAACATTGATTTGTGGCGATTACAATTTTCTTATCTTAATCAATGTCTCATTTAATGTTTTGCAAGATGTTTCTGACTTTATGTGAAGATGTGAATAACATAAATAACATTGATATGTATCATCATTTAACGCAGTGTTAATTAATCTCTTACTGGCATTAGCAATGATTTATGGCCAGAAACAGTTGAAGAGATTTCTACTGCAATGTATTTATGTATCTACATAAATACATATTTGTGATGCTTTATAAAATTCCTTTGAAACTTGATGAACAATAATAATGCGTAATTCCGAAAGTTATGAGTTGTAATTAACGATTTGCCTCAAATTGACATAGAAAAATGTATTTGATATTATCGTATCAAATGACGGTTGGGCGGTGTCCAAGTAAAGCTTTTAATGAACTTTTTTTTCCTTCGCATATATTTTTCAAACGAATTGCAAGTAAAACAAGTGAGACCCATGGTAAGCGGATGTCGACAAAATGACTAACGATTTATCAATAAATGAATAGAGCCAAGGCAAAAAAAATTAGAAACCAGAAACCAACAAATGATGTTTTTAAATGGAATGCTGAAACATTCGTGATGACGTCATGACACCGTGCAGCTTAGCACCAACGAATGAAGTCCAAAATGAAACGTTGAGAAGAAGGAAGAGAAACCTTCGAAAGAAGAAGCAAGTTGAATAAACCAAAGCAACGAAAAAAAAAAACTTGTTAGATGAATCTCCATGCTTGTTGAATTGCAAAATTCACAAGCACCGCGCAATTATAACAGTCGAGGATGAAGCAAGCAGTCAAGAAATCAAACATCATTTTTCTAACAATATGAATGAGTCGAATGGTGAGCGTTACAGAGAAATTTTTGTGAGTTGCTTATTCGTCGTCTCATACAATCTTAAACTCACTCAAAAAGATTATCTTCTCTTTTTAGTGCTTTTATTTTATATTTTTTTTGCGATGTAATGTTAATGAAATGAGAAGTAATCGCGTCCGAACAAAAAAGTTGCTGAAGAAGATTTTTAACTTCTTTTGTGTCTCTTTTTACTTGCTTTTTTTTGCAAATGGCCTTTGGTGATTTTTGCGAAATCTTCTTAAGTTCAATGCGAAACATGAAAATATCTCAAATATCAAATATCTTTATATAATTTTTTTAAACATTCTCATTCTTTTCGTTTTTTCCCCCTTTTTCTGCATAAAGCTGTTGAACAGACTTTAAAAAATGTTTTGCTGTATATTCATTAATTTTATTCTATTGATTTCTAATTCCATGAATAGACGTTGAAACTATGATTTTATTGCAAATGATTAAACTTTAATGTTATAAATTTTGGAGATTATTCTAATTAATGCATATTGTTAAAGGCACAATTTTTTATGAAGAACTTAACATGTTCTGTTTATCTCCAATCTAAACGATCGTCATTAGCAAGTATTTCATGGAATTATTACTAAGTTACTTATAAAACATCCTAAAACTTGAGCTTAAACTAGTTCAATATACTCATTCGTTGTCTAAAACTGTGTCTGAAATCACTCATGCAAAATCGTGGAAAATTTTTGAATGAAATTACCATTCATTCTAATTTTTTCACAAACTAAAATTTAGCTTGAAAAAATGTTTCATTCAATGCATTTATTTAAATAGATATGTTTTTATAGACAAAAGCAATTTGAATTCATTCATTAGATAAAAATTAAAATTGTGGAAAATTCCATTTGAAAAATCAGAAAATTATAAAAAAAAAGACCTTGGAAAGACATTGACCGTAATTACGAATATCTATTTATCTAATAAACTCAATATTAGTTTTATGTTTCAATCAAATCACTCTTTCATCTTTTGTCAATCAATGACTTCATTCATCCTTTAACTTCAGTTACCGTGCGAGAAAATTGAAATGTGATATATCCAAAATATAATAAAAGTCCCAAAAATGTTTTATGTCATAAATAAATAAAATAAAAAATATTTAGTGAGTGTGAGAACTTCGTGGTTCCACATGGCTTTGCATCTGATATATGACTTTGTTTTGTACTCCTTTGATTTTCACCATTTAAGGCTATAAGCATTTTTGCTTTTCGAGCTCTGTTTTCTGTTTTCATTTCTTGAATGGCCATATCGAGTCATGTGTAATTATGAAGGTTACTGATCGTGGTCACAGATAGCAAAAGGAATGCAGTAGTTGAACTGGAACTAGTTCGAATGGATAGCCTGAAACTTGAATGGTACTTAAGCGATATAAAAATCACTTTGGCGACGAATGGTCTCATCCATTCATATTATACGTTGTAAAAGTAAACACCGACTGACAACTAAAGACGAAGAAAAAAACAAGAAAATCTCGCAACGGAATCCGGATCTTTGTAGCCTTCACTTGTTTGCTGATTCATCGTAACAAAACGGAACAAAACCATTGCAGGCGCAGTGAATATTAAAAGAAAAGTAAAAAGTAACTGTCAAATGAGAGCTGTGAAAAGGTTCGTGGTTGATTTCATCACCAGCTTCTAGTAGAGAAGCATAAAAATATCTTTCAATACATTTTATGGATGAATGAATTCCAAAGTTTATTTTCATTAACCATTCATATCTATTTTTTTGTCTAATCAACTTGAAAAAGCTTCTCAAAAAAGTGTTTTTTAGTTTTAATTCATTTCTATTTGTGTTGTTGGTCACAGTTACATGTAAACTTGTATAAAGCTGAAAGAGTTTCCGAGAGAAGTGTTGAAGCAAACCAAGTGAAACCTCTTTGAATATTGAATATTAAATGCTCAGAAATGTCACACATTGAACAGTCATAAAATGAATACAGAAAGTGAAAATTAAGATTAAGATATCACGTGCTTTCCATTTCTAGCCTACCTAGTCGCATAATTTTCTTTCTTATCTTCAACCTTCCTTCATCGTTTTATTGTTCTTCAAACTCGTAAAACATTTTAGTCAAATCTTTTAAAGTTTAACACTTGACATCGAAAAGCTTCTAAAGCAGTTCAAAAATGCCATTTTTCATTTCCAAACATCGCACAATTGTTACTTCTTAAATTAATCCAATTATTTCACATTATTTGCACAAATTTTTTTGCTTTCTTTTTCTTACCCAAGAAAGAGTAGAAACGTGAAGCAGAATAAAATTATTATTATATGTAATGCATAAAAGTTAAAACTTAATTTATTTGCACAACAAAAGATTCACGTGAAGTCGAGGTACCCTTGAGCCAATCGGCATGAAGCTTCTTTGACATCTTGAGAAGAAAGAAGAACTTTTTCTTTCCTTTCAACAAGGAAAGTTCTCATGAATATTTCATTTAATAAAAATGTGAGAGTTTTGAGAGGCGTAGCTACCATTATAAAGAAATAGTCATGAGTTGAAATTATTGTAGGTCTCCGAACTGGCAAACATTTTCTTTTATACATAAAAATTGCACGAAAGCTTAGCTACGTTTTATTTCTTCATGATCAGAAGATTTTATTGTTCATTTACTTTTCAAGAGATCATCAGAGAAACCTATAAAAGGTTCTTAAAAATGTTATGACACACGGTTAAAGCAATCAGAAATGATACGAATTAAATTTATAAAGTGATTTATTTCGAAAAAAATTCCGGGATTCTTAGCCACAATAAAAATCTTCAACAAGAAGAATTATTAATCTGAAATGAGCTGTGAGAATGCACATTTGCTGGCGTTCATAATTGAAGCAAGACGCCGAAACCGTGTGATCATAAATTTCACGTCTTGTTTTCAACTAAATAATGTTACTTTCGGTTGGTTTTTATCAAGAATGCCTTGGAACAGTCGATGGTGGGCGCATTTTTCACTGCAACTTTTGACTCCATTTAAAAATCAACAATAACAATAAACGACAAACAAACAAGGAACCGGGCAAAGAACGACAGTTCAAGTGAAATGAAATATGAAGCAAGATTTTTTAGCGTTGGATGAGCCCAGGCGTGAATGTATTCATTCTCAGACGCTTTGAGTGTCTTGTTTATACCCAAATATTTACCGAATTCTTGAGTCGTATATCTGTCATAGCTTTAAATGGCCACAAAAAATCGTAGATGGTTCCCACACTACAATTGTCACTGACAAAACTTTATTCATTTGTATTCATATATTTTTTTATACATTTTGTATGACAGTCGATCACGATTTTTTTTATTGATTAGTTCAAAATCGTCACTCTTTATTCATAAAATGTTTCACAATCTTTTCAATTTATGCAGCCACACATTAAACATGTTTTTTCTTTCATAAATATGTATTTGGTATCAACATTAAATTTTAAATAAATATTAAGTTAATGTTAATAACAATTCATTCTGTTTATCGGAAACATTAAAAAAAAATTAAGGAAAAGTGATACAAAATTTTAATATGTCTTTAAGATAAAACGGGAAATTAATTTTATTCAAAATTAATTTAAAAATTTTATTACTTGGATAAGAAATAAATTAATCCAAATAATGAAGCATAATTCAGAAATGGAGAGATTGAAGCTGTTAACACTTTTTCTATTTCTTCTCACGAGCTACATAGCATGAATAAGCTTAACAACTATTTCCGTTGTTCAAGGAAATTCCTTTGAATTTTGTAATAGTTCATGCCTGATTTGAAACTTGATTTAGATTGCGATTTGTGAATTTGCGAACATACACATAAACCACAAAAAGCTATACACATGCAAGTGAAACTAACGTGAAAATATGAATTCCATTGAAGTGATCATTTGCAGGAGATGAAAAGAGCTTCTTGGAATCATCGAATATATTTTATGAGGCGTCTCCGGCCCCTTGCTGATGCAAAGACTCTCACAATCTAACATTCCACTCGCGGTGACTGTTTTCTCTTCGTTTTATCTTCTTTACTTTCAATAGATTTCTCAGAAGGCTCCGACAAACATACAAGCAATGCGCCGGCCACTCGACATCAGCAGCAAGCACGCGATGATTGCAAAATGCGACGAAAAAAAATTTAGCTTAACATTCTGTTTTAATTTCTTTAATTGGATTCAACATCGAGACATTCCATTTGGTCTTGAGATGACGTCACTGAAAGCGATCACGAGAATGAAGTAGAAATCAATGATGCTTGGGAAACAATCTGTGAAGCCACAAAATCTTTCTTTCTCTTTCTTGCTTCCTTTAGTCGGCTTCATTCAAGCTTTCCAACTGATTTCTTTCATCAACACTCGCTCTTTTCTTCGTTCCACAACTCCGGACATCGACCGCATTCTTAAACATTGAACATTTCGCATCATCTTCAACAGTTTTTGACTTGAAATCTTCTTTCTACGGTGCCGAAATCTTCTTTTTCAACGAATCGATTTTCAAACCTTTACTTTTTAACGATGTTCCATTTTTGCGAGCGCCTTTTGAGGCTCACTATTCGGTTTTTTTATCAAGAATTGGTTAAGGTTTAACATCATTTATTTTTCGATTTCAACGCAATTTTAAAAGTCATAATTTCCACTTATTGGAAATAAACAGTAAATGCATTTTGATAATGTTAATTTTCTTACTTACTTACTGTCCTGAATTATTGTATTTATCAACCAATTGAGTGCTAATTTACAGGAGTGCTGATAAAATGTCGGGGTAATTGGTGGCTGTCATATAAATAATTGCAGTAAATATCCCTTGGATAAGTATTATTGGTTGAGAAACAATAAATATTCATCTAGATACTCAATAAACATTTACCGAATCATTAGCTCCTTTCATCATCGATATAAAAGTTGAAAAGTAGAATGAGAAAATCTTACATTTTATTCGAAACATTTGAAGAAATTACTTTTTATTTGTTATTCAAAATATGTAATTTGTAAGCATCATTGTTCGTTTGTTGAAGAAAGAACCGATAAGAACATTCTTGTGAAAAAGAAGCTTAAGACATCTGAAAATGTTTGTTTTTTGTGGATGCCGATACCATCAGAATTTAAGAAGTGAAATGAATTTTATGTTTAATTCATATGAAACATGAAAAAGTAAATATTTTAGCAATTTTCTGGAAAATGTAAGAAATAACATAATTGTCTGAGTTGAGAATTCTTCAGGTTCGTTTCATGGAATTATAAAAAAGTTTACTTCCTATAATTTACTTTATTATGTGGGACTTTTATGACACTTATTATTTAAAGATCGTTCCAATATGAGTTATAAGGTTAATCTCTTCCTCTGCTCCAACAAACTCCACCATTTAGGTAGATTTATTATTTTATTAAGATTTTTTTTGTTGTTCTCTCTCACATCTTAAGGAAGAAATTCATTCAAGTTCTGGTAGAGCTAATTTTGCATTTAATCGATGATGTAGGTCGTTTAAGCATCTCATTTGTTTAAATTTATGTTTGTGAAGCAAAACAAAAATTAAAAGTTGTCGAAAAGTTCATTCGGACAATAAGGTGAACTTAAAATGATTGAAATAGATTAGACAAAATAAATCTAAAGTTTCTTTTGAATGAGTATTGAAAATTCATTTTTAAGAATATCAAAAATAATGAATTTATATTTTTATATTCTTTCTGCTGTTCATGGGCAAAAGTCTGAACACTTAAAGCGGAGAGACGCAATAAATAAATTCGATGAGAAAACCTACACAATCACAACAAAGAATCATGATGCGAAGCATTTTGCGAATTTAATTTGTCTATTTTTTTTTCAACTTCTTTCAATGTCATGAAAGAAGCTGAAATGAAAGCGAACGTTGGCAAAGTCTTAGTGAGTGCAGTGAACTATTTCAACTTGAAGATCATTTTTGTTCGCTTGCTCACAGAATGTTTTGCACATAAGATCGTCATAATCAGTTTTCGACATTAAATGAAACATTCTTATTGAATCGTTAAGAGAATCGTTCCAAGAAATAAACCGTCTGTCGAGTCCGAAGCGTCAGCTCAACCAAATTCCGACGGTATGTTTTACGATTCATAATTTAAAATTTTATTTCTTTTTGCTTTTCGTGCGCTTCACTTTCACATTTTACGAGAAAAACTACGTATGAATTTTCATTCTCATTTTTGACACATCCAGTTAATGTACGAGAATTTTGATAATTTTTTTTCTCTCAACGCTCTGCAGTTTTATCGTCTGTCTGATGGCTTTCGAAAAGGCATAACAAAAGTTTTATGCTGATGACGTTGTTTTTGTTACAAAAGCATAAGTTTTGAAGAGATCGATTTCCTGCTTTAAAATATCAACAATATTTTACGACATTCTACCAGTTGACCGCTGTTGTTGTAACTTAAAGCTTCATATCTAGTTGAAGCCTTGAATGAAATTAAGAAACAATTTATAATATGAATCTTCGACCTTTCTTATGACGTCTTGTCCCTAATCCCATCGTTTATCTTCCTAACAAATTATAAAAAATTCTTCTTGCCAAAGCAAATTCAACATTTTTTTTATTATTTTATACTTAAGTAGTGCTTGAGCAAGTGTTTCCTTCTGTCTTGTCTCAAGATGTTGAAAGATGCATAGAAATAAATTTATTATACTTTTTACTACTGTCGTAAGAGAAAACTCAACCTGAAGCCCTAGACATTCAAGAAGCAGAAATCGAGAGCAGAAAATCATAAAATAAATTTTTTAAAAGATCTTCGTCGTCACCAAGTTATCTTGATGTGTATGTTCAAGAACTTTTTTTAATAGTATTTCATTTATTTTGTTGAGAAAAGTTCTATGAACTTTCTTCCATGACTGGACTTGTAGAAAATAAGAAACTATTATTTAGATTGTTAAGCATCTCGTTGGCAACAAGGAAATTGCATTAAAATAGGAAAAGAACGAAATGCTCCAAAATTTCATTTCAAGTTTTCTTTTTTTATTTCTCTCTACCCTAATAAAAAGCATTCAATTGTACAAATTTACAATTAGATAAAAGAAATTTCTTTATTGCAAGCAACAAAATAAGGAAAGGACATTAACTTTCTCACAGAGGTTTAAGGCGAGACAGAAAATGATTTCGCATTGTTTTTAAACCTCTTCAAAGTACATATCAGATATTTATGAACAGTATCAGAGCATTTAAAATCTAAATAAAATGAAAGATTCTTGAACGTGTATTAGTTTGATAGCTTGTCTGATAGTACTTCAAGAAATCTTCATGATATCCTGGTTATTTCTTGGAAGTTCAAACAAAAAGAGCTGGAAAGGAGAAACTTCAAAAGCTTTTAAGATATTCAATTTGTGTTTGTAGATGAAAGTACTTTGATACTTCTGCACAAGTTTAGTGAATTGCAAAATAAATCTATTAAACCAAACTGAAGAAATATTTGCACTTATAAACTCGTGATGGAGTTATTTAAGCAGACAGCTTAAAAAAATAAAATTTAATTTATTTTTTTAAATTAAAATGAAGCAAATGAAACAAATATAAAAGTTTGTGTGACTTGATGAAAATAAATGAAACTAAATCTTGTTGCTTAGTTTTATATTTATTTATTCTGCCACTTTAAGTTTTAAAACTTTTTCTAGGTAGCAAAACTTTTCCTCTCGAAACAGTCAATTTAATGCATGATGAATTTATCTTGAAATTGAATGTTTTCTTATAAAGTTTTTGAAGATGAACAAGACCAGGGTGATCAATAGGAAAAAAGTTCTTTTGATATTTTCTTGGAAATCTTGTTTAAGACAAGAATTGAAATTTATTCAGAATCTAAAATATTTAAAAGGATTAATTCCATTTATGTTATTCCAAATATCGAAGACAAAGGAAATTCTTCAATTTGTGTATGAAATAATTTTACCAACAATTGTTTTCGTGGTTGAAACCTATGAAAGAATTTAGTTACTCTCACAATATTGTCAAGAGCGTAACGATCTTCTCGAAAGCCTTGTCGAATTGATGAGACGTGATGTGAAGTAAACAAAAGGTCTGAGTCTCAATATTGCTTGTTATGTTTATGACTCACATCAAGAATAAGGATTTGTAGTCACAGCAGCAAACATTAAAATATTAAAAACATTTAATGCAAGAATGTTTACTTGTTGTTTAAATATTTCTCTTAGCTTGTTTTTTGCAATATATGTCAAATATTTCTCCCAGTTAGTCATCCAATGAATCTTAAATTTGATCCCGGAAATTACTTGAATTCCACTCATTTTGCGTCATCTCATACAGACAAACTTTCAACCGTTTTTCGCTTTATTTCTCTTACTTTAATTTTTTCGTTCGCCTCAAATGCATTCTTTTTTAAAGGAAAGTGTGTTTCATATGCCAATGCTGGAATCTATTAATAACTCAATACGAGAAGAGTAAATATACGAAATAAAAACGGAAGTTTGTAATGGAAAACAAAAATCCACAACACATCTGTGTGCGTTTTATGAATTATATTCAGTTTAAGTGGAAGCAGAGTTGTTTCACGTCATATATTTTTGTTAAGTGGTCAATGATCAGAATATTCTGATGCCTTCCACACATGCTTTGATGCTTACAATGTTTAAAATCAAACATCAGAAATAATTCTTTTGTAAATTTTCTGCAACAATGTATTTGACAACCATATTCTAGGTATTTAAGTAATAAAAGATTTCTCTCGAACTCTTCAGCTCTGGTAACAATAAAATCATTTTATACTTTTAGGTTTGCTTACCGATTTCAGAAAAAAAAACTGAAATTAATTAATTTGATGTTATCCTTTTATAGCTTTTAACTGTTTTTTTAAAAAAGAAGCAGCGATAAACCGATTGAGTTTGACTTTGTTGCTTTCTTATCTACTGCTCGATCTGCACTCTCTCCCCTTCTGTCGCTCCTTTTGAATGCACCACTTGATAAAAACAATAAAAGTGGAAGAAAAATTCTAAATTTTTATAAAGTTTTACTTTGTCAATAATTTCTCTTTTTTGAAAGAAATCAGTAGTCAATAAAAGTATTTAATACTGCTAATATTTTGTATTTTTTTTGTCCTAATATGAGTTTCAAGGTAAGTTATTGTAATTCTAATGAAATTGATGCACTATTTACAGAAAAACAAATTCAAATGATTCGAAATGTTTTTAATGTTTAAGCCTATCGATGAATCAAAAGAAGAATTTCGAGTTTATCTTGCCAAGCAAGGAGTTCTTGATGCCTTGAGTAAGGTTCTTGCTAAAATTCACGAAGTTCAACCGGAAAATCCTCTAGAGGTAAAACTTATTTAATTTCCAATGACGTCATCATTACAGTGTTGCCATCTCTTTAATTTCTCAACAAAGTTTATTCAAGAGAATGTTGCAATTTCTTTGTCACAAAAGGATACAATTCGTGATCTTGAGTCCAAATTAAATGATGCGAAACAAGAAATTGTAAGACTGCAAAAGGAAAATGATCGCTTGAAGCAACAACAAAATCGCGGTGCTTTTGGTTACGTCAAAAATAAATGAAACTGCATTTAAATGTTTCCATATAAGATTTGAATTGCAATTCAAAAATTTATATTTTGAAAATTCAATAAAAACAAAAACTTAATTTGTTATAAATAAATGCTTTTGTTATTTTGGTCTGAGCACTTCAAGATGTTCAATAAACTGAAGATGAAGAAAATTTGATGAAATGAGATGACAAAAAATATTTGGCCTTACACTTAATGTCAACAATGAAATGTCGTTCAGATCTAGAAACAAAAATTTAGTTAAACTATGTATTGACTGTTTACTCTTATGTATTCAGAAGCTTTTATAGTAGTTTGTAATCTATTCTGGTATTTGTTCAATCTTTTGTATTTACTTTATCTGAGGATTTCTTAGGATTGAAACATTGACTTCAAAGTGAAATGTAAAATTTTTCTTGAATTTTTCTGCACTTCTCTTATGCAGGTCGTGCAGTTTATAAACGAATAATATTCTGATATTTCCTTCATTTTCCTGATATGCTGATGAATATGCGAGATACAGATTTCCGAATTCTTTCCGTATCTGCCTTCGGCACCAATAGATTGAAATGCAAAATAGAATCTCTTGGAAATTAGTTTATTTAGACGACAAGTCCATAATCTTTTCCATGAAATTTATTTTAAAAAAGAATTTCTGTTTAAATGATCATTTATGAGAACAGTAAACAGGCGAAATTTTCTGGGAACTTTGCAATAATATTCACGATCAATTTTAGTCTTTTGATAGATTTCTTAATCCTTTTACTGAGTAATGAAACGTCTGGCTCAGACTCATATAAAATAATGTTAATATTTTGAATTCAAATGAAAATTTTACTGAGAAATAACATTAGATAATAGATTCGTTGCAAAAATTAAGTCATAACTAAGTAAATATTTCAGATTTATTATCACATTTATTTTAAGGATTAACTTCACACTGACTGTTTAGAACTAACTTAAAATTACCTTTTAATGTACGTGTTTATTATAATCAAACTAGAGTTTAAACTCATTACAAAACTTATGATTAATAAAACTATAATTTAAAATAAAAAGAAGAGTGATTTGAAGAAACACAATCAAAGCTTTCAATTCTTAGAAAAAAAGTTGATTAAAAATATTGAATTGTATAAAATCACCAACATTATTCACAGTTTTGATGAAAGAATTTTATGTAGTCTTTGAGTTACCATGATAGATAATTAAAAATCGGAACCAGGTGGTTTACAATATTTTTCTGTGGTTTACAGTTTGAAATGAAATGAAAATAAAAACACACTGCTCATGGTCATGGAACAGAAAGTTTTCTCAAGAAATTATAAAATAAAACTTCATAACTTTTGATGGATAAAATATCTAATGACGTATAAGACATGAATGTGAAGATTATTTTATGTTTTATCCAATGCTAACACTCAATGTACTTCCTTTTCATGGCTTTTTATAAGTTGCATGTCATAAGTTTTGACAGTCAAAAGTGTCATGAATGAAAAAAAAATGATGAAATGAAGGCGACCAAACATTAAACAAATTTATGACATTTAAATTGTTTTTAATCACTTCCAACTTGTTTTCAAGCGAATAATTTTTTTGGTTTGAGTTGTAGGGATTTGTAAACGATAAATTATGGTGCGATATATCTCGACACGAAATCTCTGAGGAAAATAGGATTTTTTTGTTGTTATTATTACTTACCGATATAAACGCGATGGAACATGAAATTGCACCGTTACATTTAATTGCAAAAATAACCTGAAAACATTCACATTAAAAATATGCAATGAAGTCATGAATTGTATCGTTTTTCAACATGTTTTGACATCACAAAAACCTCTTAATCTGTAATATGGAAATGAATGCTCGGAAACAAATTATCGTCAGTTCGAGATAGAGTCGAGTTCGTGAATGATTTGCTAATCTTTAATCATTAATGTTGAAGAAGAATATAAAACTTTTTTTTTCAAATATTTTCTCTTTCAGTTTTATTCAATTAATTTGATTCTCTTAAATACTAAACACTGATTTATAATTATTAGATAATATCTTAAACTTTTCTCAGCTAATTATGAAATATTTAAATGCTGCGCTCATCTTAGATAATATAAAAGCATTTTTAAGTTACATTAAGAAATTTCTGCAAGAATTCAGCTTCCAACAAATTCCAATTAACGCCAATCTTTCAAAATTCCACTTAATGAGATGAAATTCCACAATGTAAGCATTAAACTGAGAATTATTTTAACTATCTAAACCTATTTAAATCTACAAGTAGAAATATCATTAAGTCAACATAAAATGTAAATTAAAAATCGATGTGATTCCAACATATTATAACTAATTTTATTACAATTTACAAATCTCTCAGAATTGAATTTGTCGTTTCTTCTTTTAATAAAAACACTGCGAGACAACATTTCTCCTAACTATGTAAACTTATACTCAGTTTCTGCACATATTTATGCGATCTTATTCTGAAATTGCAAATAGATATTTAAGTGACTTTACTATGGAAATTGTCAACATGTACACACACACACACACACAATTATGTCCGTATTTAGATGGTAAAATGCACAATTAAATGTTCACGCTAAATTAACTGCTTTTTGCAGTTAAGTTATGATAGTCATACAAACATATTAAATATATAAATAAAGATAGTTATTTTATGTTGGCTGCGACTTTGATGGTTGCTGTTGTTGTTGTTGAGGCATCACGAATGGCGTCCATTTCAGACATGCGGGATCAATCTTCAACGAGTGCCGTTTCTTCATTCGATCTTCATATTCAGTCAACACATCCTGATTGAAAATAAAAGAAGATTATTAATTTTTCTCGTGCTTTAATTATTTACTTGAATATTTGTAATTTCATTTGAATTGCAGTAGAATATGATTTCTTGGAAAAAAAGCATAAGCAAGACTTGAGGACATTGTAGGAGGGAAAGATTAGTTCATTAAAAAGTAAAATATAAAAAGAATTCAAATCATAAATTGCCGATTGCCAATGTTATTCATCTTTGGTGGTTTCACAACATCGGTAAGAGGAAACGAAAGCAGAAGACGCAGACAATATTTATTCATGAATCATGACTACTGGGTGCATAAGGCTGAGAAACAATTTAAATGCTAATCGAGCCTAATGCGAAAAATTTATGTGCATCATAATCAGTGCGAACGCATTAACATTTTCTTGTAAACTGAATAAACCTACACACGGTAAGTTGGCGCATCTCAACAAAACATGCTATTTTCACATGAATCTCCATGCAGTCTGCGTTAACATGTCGGTGTGTGGCTGAACAATTCAATTGAAAAAATGATAATTTTTCATAAGTGAATCGATTACCGGCTGGCTACTTGACTACTGCTGAGATCTTTTCAAAGAAGACGATGAAAAGAATCGAAGTTGTTGAATGCAGCATAGTGGAAAATGTACACGTTTCTTTCTTCTATCTTTAAGCAAGATTTAATTGCTTTCGTTCCGTACATAAAGTCATGTTAATACTGTATGATGACTATATTTATTCTCCGCTTCTCGCAATATTCAAGTGAGAAAAGAATTTTCTTTTAGATGCTGTATGTAATACAACATAACTAAGTCCAAGGAAGTTAAACATTTTCTAGTTCAACAAGCTAGGTAGTTGTTAGCTTAAGGGATCGTTAACTTCGTGACTTGTAACTTGGGAATTTAGAAGATCAAATGGATGATCAGCATCTATAAAATCATGACAAACCATCTCGTTATTTTTGATTGAAATGTAGGTTGATGCTGCGTGGGTTGAACTGTTGAAAGGGAAACAGATCACTAGATTCGAAAACTTTAATTAGAAAGTCTTTTTTCGTGTTGTTATTCATCAGGAAATTATTTCAATTATTGGCAGGAAATTTTCTCATCAAATCATTAACCTTGGGCTGAATTTCTACTACCAACGGATTTTCTTACAAAAGAAATATTTGTTCTTCGAGTGCTTTCAATCATTATAAAAAGGTCATCAAAAAAACGCCTTCTTGCACTGAATATGTAATTAAAATTTAATGCCTTTAAGTAATACACATATATGTAGTCGTTATGTGCATGATGTTAAAGCATCCAAGTGAAAAACCTATTTAATGTACATGTACTCGATTTTCATCAAAGAATTAAAATTTAAACGGCTTTTAAAATTCATTTGCCGATGTAGTTATCAAGATGGAAGTAGATTACTAGAATGTATCATGTAGTTATTAAATAAAGTATGCATATCAAAACATAAATGGAAATTGAGAGTGATCTTGATTTATGAAAAATTAATCAGTAATTCGAAGTTAAAATAGGATAAAGAACACAATCTTCAGCTGTTAATGATCAGTCGGTGTAGCGTTTATTCATGACGCATTATTATCATGAAAACTCATCGCGAATCAGTAGAAGAAAAAGAAATGTAAATTTAATTAATGAACGGGTTCGGCACACGCGCTGCAGTTATGAAAGTTATAATTTATTTTGTTGGGAGTGAAATGATAAATCGGCTAAGGCTTTAATTAAGCTAGCACGAGACTAAAGTGGAAGTCTTAATCGAAAGAGTTAACTTGAATCGCCTGCAGAAGCAAAGTGCATAAGGATGACGAAATTAATAATTTATGAAGTGGATCGAAGATGGAAGCGATTGAAAGTTATCAAATTTCTCGCTTCGATCGTCCAACACTGCAATCTTCTTTTCATTACACTTTGAACCTTTTTAGCATCTGATCTCAAAAAATGTAATGAAGATGTTCTTCTTACGCAGCTCGACGTTTCACCCATAAATCATTCTCGCTTCGTTTTCCTTCCCTTTCTTCTGTTTAAATCGAGAATCATTTGGTAACGCCAATTTCTTGCAATATGTTTATTGAGAGCACCTTTACCCAAAACATAATGTCATAATTGTAAGATAATTAATTGAAAGATCATAAATAAAATGAAGTTCAAAGTTATCCTTTCATTCCTTTCAACTTTTGTTGCTTCTTTCTTTCTTTTTGTTTCTCCGAATTAATCTCATAAGTAGCATTAATAACAGTTTTATCTATGTAGATATAATACGTCGTAATTTTAGCGTTAAATGTTAAACTAAGAAGATCATAAATTTTTATGACTTTTTCATGCATAAAAATGTGCATTGCACATTCATATGCAAGAAAATTTCATTGTAACAACAATAACAAAGATCAGTAATAAAAATTAAGGACAATAACAATTAAAGCAATCAGCAAGCTCATTAAAATGAACAACCGACAAAAGAACCAAATTAAGTAAACATGAAAAACTTAAATTTATGTTTGTGTCATCGATGATTAAAACAAATAACATGAAATTACATCGAAAATGTACAATTAATCATAATCCCCAACTTGTGTGTGTCAACTCACCTGCTTTTTCAAGATGATGTGTTTTCCCTTCCAGTATTTCATCATGCCGAGAGCTTGCAGCGTGCTGACGATGTCATAAGAATTAATTGCCATTTCCTGTAAGTGAAGTGAACAAAAGAAATCATGAAAGCTACAATATATGACAATAAACTTCAAAGTTATTATAATTTTTTTAATTTGTAAAGGCATCAAAATTTATGTACAACAATTATTCCTTTTCCCATTAGCATTCGATGTACACTCATGAACGCTTGTCAATTGATCGATCATACTCTGACAGATATGCATGTTAGCACCGAAATTCCAATCTGACTCTTTTATTTTAGCAAACAAGATCAAGATCTTGGCATGGAATTGAGAGGCATCATCTAAATGCACAAGACGTTGCGCTTTGACCTTCAAATTGTCTTCAGCATTATTTTTTTGATCATCTAACGAAATAAAAATTCGTCAGTTAATCGTCTTAAAATGCAAATCTGCTTAACGAGCACATTCTTCATTGAAGAATTATTCTTTATAGGTAGTTTTGTTTTATTGGAAGCGATTTGAGAAAAGCTTTGCCTAGACTCCATTAACAACATTTCGTGACACATTCTTTAAACGATCATCGTAATTAAAAATTATCGATAATTTGCATAAAATTCGAATAGTCAGCAAATGTTCCCAACTCGTTTTGTCGATAAATCAATTTTAAATGGATGTGAATTGTTTGGCTTATAATGCATTATTCGATGATAAGCATGTCGAAAAAATTAAAGGAAACATCAGCAATTCAAAAACAGAACAAAATACATAACAACTTCACAAATAAACAAACAAAAACTTCCCGCACTCGACGGAAGTCGCTGACTCTCTTCAAGGGAAATTAAAAATTAATGACTAATGAAATGCTATAAATTATAATTAAAGGATAAAAAAATTAAGATTATGATAAAAACAAGGAAGAAGAAGATAAAGAAAACGAGTGAAGTAAGACGAAGAAGAGAAAAGCAGGAGAAGTCAAAATTCCCGCAAGTTCGATGATCTTTTAATCACGTTTCGGAGCAGTGAAAGAAACATAAAAAAATGCACAACATGTGCATAAACTGAAATTTAATTCTAAATGTGCTTTGGATCTCACTTTTTTCTCTTCTTCTTCTCAGCTGTGAATAAATTTTTTATCTTTCTCTTTCACTCTTTTTTTTCACTTTTATCAAGTCACTCATCTGGTGGCTTAAATCTTCATTCAATTCATTTGTAAGAAGTTTTATTTTATGACAACGAAACAGACATTAATTCATCATAAAAAAAAGTGAAAAAAAGATAATTTCATTTAAAAGTAATCAAAACAATTAACAAATTTCCTGAGATATGCTGAAGTCATTGAAGGGTCAGTTAAGTATGTTAATTCACTTAAAAACTGTTAACTCTTCAGTGAAGAGTAACTTTGATGATCCTCTAATGATTATATAATTAATGCTTCCATTAACAACATTGTAATGAAGAGGAAATTTAAAACGATGTGCAACGACACTTAAAGCCTGTCATTGTCCATTTGTTTGATTTTCTCTTCACCTCATTTCCTTTCATCTATCCTTTCAACAATTTGTCATTGTTTTATTTTAATTATTTTTGCTTTCAACTTGCCAGCCATGCATTCAATACTTAGTGATAGGATAAGCATCAAAATATGTAATTCAGAATGCATCTTCTAATGAATGTTCCGATGACTATCGTTGACCCTTCTTGCAACGAAATGCCGATCGCTAACATTTTCACCTGTTCTTGATGACCAATTGTTAATTATTCATATTAATTTACTCTGCATTTCAATTTCATCGAAGCAGATATCGATTCAAATTCTAAAAGTTAATTATTTATTGCACCGTGCATATCTTTCCATTACTACAGGAAACCAAGGCGAATACGATGATTGACAGTGGGAAAATAAAGAAGCACCTTAAATAAGTTTTCGTTTAAAAGTTCGACGAACGAACGCCTTAAGTGTTTTGTGCAGAGAAATTATTATAATTTCAAAGTGTCCATCTTTGAGTTCAGTTTTTGCCAAAAATTGTCTTTTTTTCCAAAGGAATGTTAAGTGAATTGTGATCGATTTTGGAAATAAAGATAATTGAAATTGTCAGTATTTGATACCATTTAGGTGACAGAGAAAAATAAAATTAATATTTTAATTAAAATGAATAAGAAACCAAATTAAATAAAGGTTTCTTTTGTATAAATTGTGCATTTTCTTTCAATCGAAAAGAATTCTCTGTTCAGTCGTCACATGTCAGCTTTCATCAGCAAATTGAATTCAAAATAAGAAAGAAATGATCGTAATTTGGCAAATCCGATTCAAAATGGAGATGAATTTTTCATGAGAATCAAATTAAGTCAATTTCCTTAACGAGCATAAACAATTCTCGCCTTAAAAAGAAACAAACTTTCAGTCTTACATTTTAATCTTTTTGCATATTGCGTCTTAAGGTTTTTCCATTGCTGTCAATCGTATATGGAATTGTTTGCGGATTCAATGCATTTTTTCTTCTATAAAAATTAACTGCGACGTTCAAAGCGCCGTAACTCGTATTACAATCAATTATTTCATTTGATGCAATTTGTCAATTTCAGTTAAGAGCAATGAACATTTAAACGCGTGTTTCAACTTAATTTCGCTTTTAATCAATAATTGTTTATGTTTGAACATGTGAACTAAACTACATTGTGCACTATCGTCGTTAATCACCATAAGTATCTGCTTTTCTTTCTCTCTCTCTCTCCTTCTCTGTCTTTAAACTTGTCCTCTTTTTATCAATGGAAAATGTTGATTACACAAAACCTCATAAAATTGAGTGCAAGTATGCAACGTTTTCTCTTTTTTTATACCGTTGCTCTTAATTTAAAATTCACGATTACGAGGCGCTGTTTTACGATGAAGACAAAAAGCAAACAAAAAATATATTAAAATGCATTAGAATCAGATGCAAGATACAAGCGAAATTGCATTTTCATTCAGCTGCCTTTGTAAGAAAATAAGAAGAACTAAGAACAAATAATAAAAAAAAACTCAAGCCATATGGTTGACATAAATTTCCATCGGCAGGGGGTTCATTCAACTTGCAATTGTTTTTATAATTCTTCACATTGTCATTGATCTTTTTCAGAAAATATCGCGTAAATTCAGAAAATGTATAAAAAAGTGTTGCATAAAACGGCATAAAACTCACGTTTTTATTGTTGAATGGAAATTTATGATTGAGGTGATGAATGATTTCAAAATGATGTCAAATAATCAAATCGGATCATAAAACATTTATTTCTTAAAATCATCAATTGAAAACTTTACATTATAAAAAAATATGATATGACAACGATTTGAAACTATTAACATAGATCGATTATATTTATGAAATGAATGAAATAAGATTAAATCCGTTACAAGTAGGAGAAACAGTAAAGCTGTCACATATTTGACTGATAGTTCTGAAGTGTTGTGAATCAAAGATTAAAGAATAATTAGCACTTGTATTAGAAATTCGATTTCAATCGTAGAAAGCTTTAGTGTTAGATATCATACAAGAAAAGTCATAAAATAATTAATATTGATTGATTGAAAATATCTTACAAGGAAACGAAACGATCATTTGATTGCTAGAAAGAGGGAAAGAGTAAGAAAAATTGCTCAACAAATCGCCGTTTATTTCTCAGTTAAGATTTAACATCATATAGACATGATTCAAAGTCTGTAAGTGAGATTTGTTCCCGAATTAGAACGATTATGCTAATTTTCTCTCTGTTAATTTTCTTTAACCGACCATATTTCACCAATTAGATATGACTTGGCTTTTAATGAACCAATTTTAGATGAATTTCTGCTCTCGTTACGATCGTGAAAACGCTTCATTGTTTTTAATTGAAAAATGTTTCTTGAGGAAAACGAAAACAAGAAGAGAGACTGAATATAAAATTCATAGCGGAATTTTAATTGAACTATCTTAAACACTCTAAGCGTCTTACCTACCACATGGAATCACAGCGTAATTCGCACTGTTAATAGTTAAATCATCAACGAATTTTTTTTCGCGCGTCGTTTAATGCCTCAAATAAAAGGTTCAGAAGAAGAAATCAAGTAATGAGTATAATTTACATGTTTTTCTTGATTCTTAAGACACTTGTCTTCTTTATTCACAACGAAAGACAATTTAATTTATTTTAAGTCTTCTGGCGACACAATTGAGTTGGTAGGACGATCATGCAGATGAAGAATGTTCAAAGAAATTTTATCAATTTTCTTATTTATTGTAATTTTGTTGTAATGAAGATGTTTAAGTAATAAATTCTTGAATCAGTACGAACAAATTAATTACCTGAGAAATGTCCTTAATACTAAGCGTTCTCCCCGACCGTGAGCATAAATAAGCAAGTAAAACGTCTTTCCAGTAGGATCGATAAGATATTAAACCTAAATCGGACAATGGCTTTTCCGGTGATCCAATTTTTCCCTCTACGCGTGTTAAAAGGTAACCTGTGAAAGTAAAAAGAAACAAAATTGAAACAGAAAATTCACAATCATTAAACACACAACAGCAAGAACAAAACAAATTCATTCTTTCATTCTTTTATTGAATCAAAACAGCATAGAAAGACGAGAAATAAAGAAGTCAAGCCGTGACTCGTAGACGAGAAGCGACTATAAATAAACAGCACGCCAGACATTCGACAACAATTTATGTGTTTGCAATCGAAAGTGAAAAGTCGCGAGTAAGCTCATTAAACTCTCGTGCTTGTTAATGAATTAATTAATTGGAATCGTAGGTTAAGTGATGATTAGATGAAGAAGGAATATCAAAGATCAGATGACTTCATCAACACTTTAAGTCTGAGGATTATTTTCTTGTGTCAGCTTGAGATTTAATTAACAGCATTCAAGCGTTGATTGTTTGCTTACTTCAAGATCATTTCTATTTTTCTTTGTTCTGACTTCAGATCTTCTTCTACTTTTCGATTACGTTCACTGACTGATTTAGAGGACCGTGAACATAGAATATAATTCCATAATTAATAAAAGAAAAACTTGACAGTTTCTTGAAAATAGAAGCAAAAGAAACTTAAAAATGTATGCGCTCTTTGAATGCTTGCTAGCATTTTTGTTCCTCTTAATTAAAAAAAACAAAACTTCATTTTCATCGCTTCAACGCTATAAGAAAATAAATTTTATATGCCTTCACTTTTTCTTTTATTTTTTATTTTGCAGTTTGCATCGACACGAAAATTCTTTATGAATGGCTTACGATAACAAATTAAAAGAAATCTAGCGAAGGAAATCGCCAAGGAAGTTATCACGCAGAACAGCCTTTGCACTTGCTTAAAGAAAGAGCGTGAAAAAGTTTATCGGCATGGCCAAGAAGTAAAATTAATTACAAATTCCCATTTTTTAACTTGATTTTCTTGATTTCTTCTTATTTTATTACAAATGTTTAAAAGAAGAATAAAAAAATGAAAAGAATGAACAGAGAAATGAGCATGCTCCAGAAATTAGACTTATTTTGTTGTCAATCAAATTCTTTGTTACTAACAAAACTTGTAAAGTGTTCCGTCTGAATTCCAGCTTGTTTTTAGCTCGAAGGAAAATGTGAAACGAGATTGCAAATTTTAGCAGACAAACAAGAAAGTTTTCATGTTGTTTCAGTCTGAAACTGATTTGCCGAAATTCTAAGCTATCGAGTAGAAGAAATATTTTCAAATGTCATATCAAGAGTTGTTAAACTCTTCATTTATCGATATTTCTGCAATTTTCATCCATATTTTCTCATATTTACTTGTCTGAACATTAATTAAGTAAAGAAAATTTATGCAACATTTCCGTATACGAAACGTATCGTGTCGATGTTCATCATGAGAATTTCCTTGTAGAGGAAAATGTCTTCCTGGAGGGCGCCGATATTGCGCATTGGTATAGGTTATGAACAACATTGAAAAGAAAATAATTTAAAATCCAGGGAGCAATGAACATTTTCACAAGGAAGGAAGAAGAAGACGAAGCGAGGCAGTGAAAATTTTCCATTTTAATTTGAATGCTTTGTGGTGTTCGAAAAAGCAGTCGCAAATAACACTCTGCATGCACAAGCGTGATGCTTAAGAAAGCAGAGAACAGAGAAAAGAAAAACTTTATCGTAAAATTAAAATTCTTTATATTATTGATATTTCGCATTTGCAATTTTAATGGGATGATAAAAGCTCCCTTCTTATAGCAAACACAATTACACAATTTCTTTTCGCTTCACATAAAAAAATTTTCCCTTCTTTCTCCTCACGTCGAAGTCGATGTCGAGTTCACTTCCCTCTTTTTCAAATCATGTCGCAAGCGAAACAGAAACAATATAAAGCTATCGAGAGCAAAACCCGACTCAATATAAAACTCTTTGTACCACGATCCATTATCCCAATGTCTACAACCTCACACATACATCTCAACATGGCATCCTTACTAACACAGTCACATTCAATGAAGGATGAAAAGTGAGCCCCGAAAAAAAGAAAAGAGAATTATGTGAATGAAACAAAAAATCTTTTCCAGACATTTCTATCCCGTTCTACTGCTAAAGTTCTTCAACCCCGAAATTTCGGTTTTGCTCTTCTTGTGCAAATACGCAATATTGAAAAAGCTACACTAACAAATATGCATGTGGAAATATTGCAACGAAAATTGAAGTTTAAAATTATTGTTGATGTTTGTCTCCCCTTCACGTAATTACAGAAGTGGCTTGAGAAGGGTAGTTAGGAAGATATTGAATGGGATGATGAGAAATTTTTAATTACAGACGAATGAATCATAAGATAAAAGGAGTTGAAGAGGTTGATGACACTCGTTTTTCACGAATATCAACATTTAGTTGAGTATCAATCAAATGATTTGCATTACGAAATACTGTGAAAAAAACTATTTGGGTAAGAGTTCACACACTTGAACTCAGACATCATTAAAACTGACTTGTTAGCATGAATTAAGAATCCATCAACAATAGAAACAAAGCATTAATCAATTAAAATCGCATAAAACCTTAAGTAATTATATTGAACATTATAAGGAAATCATTTGAAGACGTGCCATAAAAATGTTAGCTTCACCATTCATTGCTCTCATCATTAAGCTTTATGGATCGTTCATGGAATTAAGTAATTTGAAAAAGATCCAGAAATGTAAATGAATGCTTAATAAAAAACTTTAAATGGTTTTTAAAGTATTAAGAAGTAATGATCGAGCAGTAAATTAGTTAATTCTTAGACTTCTCGGGTAGGTGATACTCTTCAAAGTTTTAACAGACATCCAAACACTTTTCTTTCTCTAAAAGTTGAAATGTTTACAAAGCGGAAGTTGATACTATTTGTTAAATAATTAAATATCGTCAAAGGTAATTAAATAATGAAGTAGCTCGGTACTTGTTAACTAGAAGTGTGCTCTCCATCTAAGAGGGTAATTTTCCATCAAAAGAAAATTTCTTCCTGTGGAAATGCTGCGATAAAAGCAACATAATGCGCAATAAATTCCAAAAATATCTGATAAGTAGATTGTATGAAGATAATTTCATATTTGTAAAAACCATTCGTCTCGACATAGCATAGAAGATTGAATCAGCATTATGACAACAACGACGACATTAATGCCTGAAAAGTTTCTTTCAATGTTCATTTATGATTTCATGAAATTTTCGAGGATGAAGCATCGTTCCGTTCAGGGATTTCTTGATGAAATCGACGATAATATTTTATAGGATTTCTCTACACATCTTTTATATGTTTAATCCCTGATTCGACAAAAGAAGGAAAAAAAATTGAATTATTCACACAAAATAACATCGTAAAAGCGAAGAAATGTTTGCATTAAAAAAAACTTGTCTGTTTCACTCGAAAGACATTAAAAGGATGTGTAACTACATTAATTTCATTTTCATGAAGCACTCTATCTATGTCTGATGCTCGGGATATTAAATTCATTTAAAGGAACTTCTCATTCCCTTCTCCTTATCTTTTAGAGACAAGACAATTCTACATCAACGCGTCGTAAAATAAATATTTTGTAGTCGAGACAAAAGCGACTTTTATTTAGTGTACGCTTGAACTTTGAAGAAGATTTTATAGACCTTCCCACACCCTTAACAACATCAATGTGCTAAACAAAAAGTCAGCAATAATAACGAGTACAACTTACTACTCTTGTCTAGCCTATTTATGTACAAATTCAATTTAAGGAAGAAATAAACATGCTCGTAAATTTCATCAGACGAACTTCTAGTTAATTTCGTCTATATTGCAAATTACTTCTTCCATATCCGACTAAGGGTTGCTGATACATTCCCATTCGACAGTAAAAGAGAGAAAACGGAAACTTTTTTTTTGTATTTATCATAATACGAGGCCTGAGACTGTGAAGATTGTTGTTGGCTGTTGCCCGCTAATACATACGCAATGTTACATCGGGTGCGTGTCCTTGAGACATGGAAGGAAGTTCATTGACGTATTTGAGCAAATATGAAATTTTTCCGAGACAGAAGGCAAGAAGGGAGATTTTGAAGAAGCGATGACGATGACGATTATGATAATTGAATTAAGTGATGAAACTTTTGAGATTTGTTAAAACATTTAGCTATCAATTAACTGTTAGTCATTAATTGAGTTAAATGTTAGAAATTGCTTTCATGCTGCTATTTATCTTCATCTAACTTAATTTTCGTTCCAATTTATTGTGTAAAAGTTAACTTTTCAATCCTAACTTTTTTTCTTCTCTAAGCATGCAGTTTGTTACCAAATGCTTAAGTAAATACACATTTTTTGTTAATTAATTATACGACAAGCTTGTCTATTGAGCAATAAGAAAAAAATTAACAGCGTAAAGGTGAACAAATAGAGATTTCTGATAATTTGATGGATAAATGATTGAAAACAAATGACATAAGAAACTTTTTTCTTGTAATTTTTGACATGAAAGCCAAAAAAGCCGCAGAGAAAATATGAAAGTTGATAAACAAGAAAGCAAATATTTCTTTTTTTTTTTAAATTCTTTCAGTTTCCTTTAAACTTTCTTCCGATGAAATCTTTTTCTTAACTCACAAGTGGTAATTTGGATGAAGAATTATCTTCGATTAATATCATCTAATTATAGTTTGTACGACATCTATTTTCACGATTAACTTTTCATACAAACACATGCAAATAAAACGTCGAACTCCACCCACAACGATGAAAGCAAATAAACAAAAACACAATTTGAAAAGAAAGAGAATGAGAAAAACAAACAAATTGGCATTGGCGTTTCTTTGCCTAGTTCAACGACCTAAGAAATAACAGAAAGCTAGAAAACCATTTCTGGCGCTTTCCTTACGTCATTTTTATGTTAAATACAAAATCGATAGTCGGAAAGTTTTTGTATGCTCACGTTTCGAATTCATGTTGAGACTTGAAACTAAGTAAAATTCTTTTTCCCATTGCTTTATAATATTGCGTTGTTGGGCATCTAAAACCTTTCGAGCTACCGATGAAAGCAAACAAATCATTAAATTGAAATGATTTCGCACTGAGCAAAATAGTTTTGGGTAGAATTAAATTCTAGAAGGCGATTCAATATTATGTCATTAAGAAACTCATTTTTTGTATCTGTTACCAACAGCATGAATCTTATTTTAAGTCACGAGTGTTAAGAAAGGTTCAACGGCTTGCTCATTCTTATTCTCGATTATTAAAAAGTTCTTGATTCGCTATTCAGCATCAGTCTCAGGATTATTTACGAGAGAACGAGCAAACAATAAAATAATCATTTCGTTGCATCTCTTCCCCGACAACTTTTATTCTAAAAACGTACGCTTTTTGTGTTCCAGACGAGACGAAACTGCCGGGTTGCTATTCAACTCTGAGATATTTCATTGAATAAAACCTTCGACAACAACAAACATTAATTTCATATTAATCCCCCGAAAAAACATTAAACATGACACAAGTAAGTGTTCGTTGGCAAGTCTCATGTGTTTGTGTGAAGTCTACTGCCGTTAATACTCGAAAAAAAATCCCCAGAAATTTTTTTGTGCGATTCAAAATGTAAAAAATTTGCAAAATTTCCAACTGGATAACATTCAGATGTTGCAATGGTTTGAAAGGGGTGAACAGCAAAACAAAACAAACAGCGAATAATTTTTCGATGAAAATTTCATATTAAATTATTCGTGCATAATTTCAAACTATTTTCCTGAAAGATAATTTATGTAAAATAAACGTTGGAAGAATTTTTTTCAAGAGTAAGAGTTGAAGAGACGAGAAATTAGATTAAACGAAGGCTGATCGTTGGAGGTAAAACTGAACAAAAGTTTTTTAAGCTTCTATAATGATTCATGTAAATCTATCATATAATTAAATTAAGAGTTAGGAAAAGAGAAAAAAAAGTTTACGAATTCAATTTGATAATCAGGATGTCTGATTTCTTATATTTCATGTACGAACTTCAATGATGCGGCAAAAACCAATGTAATTTCAATTTTAATAACATCCTTTCGCTTCCGTTCGAATTCTTTACATTCTCATATCTAACAAGAAGGAGACGAAGACGACGAAAGGAATAAATAGCAGTACAACATCCTTAAATGACATTTTGATGCTTGAATAGAATTCTTATTCTCCATTGTAACTTCATTAACTGATGAAATCTTTTCTCATTCAATCAAGAAAACAGAATGAGAGAAAATCAGATTTGTTAATTAATTTTCTGGTTGACTTCGAATATTCCCATGAGTCAATCATTGATTTAGCTGATAAATACTTGAAACAATCAATGTTTAATTAAGAAAAAAAAGAGAAGTTAATTTAATTAAGAACCTTCTAAAGCGATTCATTAATCTAATTAAATGCAACATGCTCAAATTATAAACTCACGCTGTTGCTATATTTATTGTAATATTTATTAAACACATTGAATGATGAAAGTCAATTTTTAAATAATAAATTGCAATTCGTATTTGCTCAACCATTTCAATCAGCTTTGATACCTTCCTGAACGAACTTTCAACAAGAAAAAAAAAGGAAATTGCAAGCATTCAATTAACGCGAAATTGACCACAAGAACATTTTTTGTCTCAACGAGAAGTAAGTTTAAAAAATTAATAACAAAGCGATGAGATTAATGATGCAAACAAGCAAAAAAGAAACTTTCCACTGAGAACTTAATGTTTCTCATCATTCTTCTTCAAAAATTTATGAATAATTTGCAACTGGCATTATATGACGCCAAACATAATTGTATCAGTAAAACGAAATTTCCATTACGCAAGCAGACACCAAAAATTGAATCCAGTTAAATTTTCAGTTTTCTTCTTTCGTACTCAATTCTCAACAGACATTTCGTCTGAAATACGATCCATTAACAAAATAGGAAATTTAATTATCAGAACATGTAGATAGTTAGATATGCATGTGCGTGTGTATGTACTTATAAGCTAAAATGAAACCATTGAGGTTAATGACAATAAACAACAAGATGAAAGCATTTTGCGCGGCAAGTGAAGCAGTTGAAGTAAAGGAGAAAAGTTCACACGAGGTCATTTCTCCGAAAATACGACGACGAAAACGACACTGATGCTGATGATGATGGTGGTGGATCGATAAAACTGTCTCGTCGCTTGCAACGCCTAAAAAGCTTTTATTCAAATTTCATCTCATTTATAGTTGATTTGATTGAAACGTCCTTGTGAAGTTCTTTGTTTAAAATTGCACTTCCAATGTACAATAATCTCACAACCTTACGTTACGAGAATTAAGTGATGCAATCTAGGCCACGATAATAACGTAAGTTGGTAATGCTCAATGTCACATCTCATCATATTCGTATGTGTTTGTTTTGATGTTAATGAAAAGAATTTGTGTGTACATAATGAGCGCAGAAAACAATCTCATCCAACTTGATTTAAATTCTCTTCTTTTAAGTCGCTTGTTAAGATTTATTTCAAAGCAGAACTTGTTTCTGAAACGTTTTCGGTGTTTGTCTTTTAATGAAGTGGAACATTACAAGCGTCATTATAAAATTTTACGAGTTTTAATGATGTCAAGCTTTTTGCGAGCTTGGTGACCGGAGCATAAAGATCACATGCGCATCCCATGAAACCCTTGAGTGAAGAAAAAAATGTTCACATGAAAGATATTTCCAACAATTGTACAATTTTGCACTTTACTACATCACATAATGCACTTTCTATTCCATTCAATTTGTAGAAAAAGCTGAGAGCTTGTGAACATTAAGACGCATGTTACAATAAGAAGTCCATGGCGCGCAATTGTTTCTATCGTTCGAATCTTGAATAATTACAGTACATAATAAGCTTCAGGAATGCGCTTTCGCAAAGAGAATTTCAATAGGCTAATAAAGCATTTCATGGATAATCTTTAAACACTTATTGTCATTTACTTATATGAATTTTAGTTAGAACTCCCGTGTCTTCATACTTATCTACATTGTTACATAAATTCGCTTTTCTTATCATGCAAATGCATATTTCACTCCCATTCTAGGGGAAAATGAAAAGCACTACAATTGCACTATTTCTACGCAAACGTATGAAATTTTCATTTTGCAAGCACTTGCAGGTGAAGGGAAATCAATTTTTTAGAACTTTTGTTATAATCATTTCTCTTCTGCAACATAAGCTTCATGGCAATTCATGATTGTCTGATAATGGAAAGCTTCAAGTTTCTAGTTTGCTAAGAAATGAAAAGCGTTTCACATAAAATTGAAATGAGTTTGAAGCCAATTCAATGTAAAAGTTCATTCAACCTGCACTCAGCTCTAAAATGTTGATAATAAAACGAAGTCGTCGTCGTTATTAACCTGAAAAAGGAGCTTTTTCGAGAGTTCGATGAACCACTACGCCATACGAGCTTCCAATTTTCTGCTGCAGCCAGAATCTTATTTCGCTCTTTGTAGTGAAAACGATTGTGCTGAAAAAAAATTGGAATTTCTCTCTATCATGTTCTGTACATGTTTCTGTCTCGAGCAAAACTTTATTCGAATTGTTGAACATTATTTTATGGCAGATTGTAGACACTCGCAATATATTAAAATAAAAAAAACTTTTACAGTCACTATGCATAAAATGCTTACAATTAAAATTGCGTTACAGCAAAACCTTTAGATACTTTCGATTTGATAGTTTGCGGTATTTGAAATGAAGAAGCGACCGACGGCATATTTTCTTATTGCACAATTAAACATTTTTCATAATATATTGCATGAAAAAAAGATTAAAGCATTGTGAAGGCGCCAGAATGTTAGAAAACATTTGAAACACAATAGAAAAGTATAAAAGGAGGCAAACGTTTAAGTTTCTCATTTCCGAGATGTGAATATTTAAAGTGATAATGATTTATCTACCACCCAAGAAGAAACGTTGACTTCCTCAAGATAACAACATGTTGTTAAAATCAGTAGATAAAATAGACATTTTCAATCTAGAAACGTTTAACAAATCATTGAGCATTTCGCTAATCATTTTGTTCATAAATGAACGCAGGAAATATTTAAGAACCACAAAATCTTTTTGTGCTATAAATACTTTTTAAACAATGGTGAAATATTTACACTATAAACAAACATCGCAATGGACCAAAACATTCACTTGTACGAATAGATAAATTCAGCCTCGACATGCATTGACGTCATAAATGTTTGTGATTACAATACTTTGAGTTTTATTTTTAGGACAATTGTGTATATATACAACAGCAAAAAGAAATCACATGATGAGCGAATGGACACAAGATGATTTTTAGTCTCGAATATTTATATAAGTAAATATTTTTGTTTTCTTCTATTTTTATTTACCATAAAATTTTGATAAACTTTTTACGTAATCAAAAGTCGACGATGTTTAATATTAAAATGACGAATAAAATTTGCATTATTGAAATGGTGAAATTCTTTCAAACAAGAAAAAGAATCTTTATCGACGTAAACATTGAATATATGTATGAATGGCATGATATTGTAAACATATCTTGAGAAATTGGGCCATAAAACTGGCACCGAACATCTGATAGAAGACATAGATTCGCCCACACTACAAAGTATTGTTCAAATAACAATTTTCTATTTACTGCCTTGCGTTGGCGTAACCGGAAAAGCTTGGAATTACAATTACGTAAATTGCGTAACATTTTGCTTATGTCGTGTTATCGTCATTGATGTCATTTGAAACGACAACGTGACCTTTGTGAAGATACTTGAACCAACATTTTTTATGTCGAAATAGAATTTTTCAAATTACATTCATAACATTTATGCAACTTAATAAGTATCAACTCCTTAGAAATGTTACACATTGGCAGTCAAATGAAGTCTTGGAGATTCACTCTAAGGAAATTACGCAAAGTGCTTGCAACAAACTGTTCAATTTTTATTTTAAGAGACTTTTTGAGTGATAAAATAAAAGTTTTTATTTCGAACAATTGCAATTTTATCTACCAAGATGAAGAAAAACTCTTTCAATACTCAAACATATTACGGAGGCCCCACCCTAGGGTGACGGGCAACCGTATTGGATTTACGCAAAAATTTCAAAAAATTTTCTTTGTTTAGTTACACTTAAAATGGCTTGAAACGTCGAGAAAAGTGGAAAAAAACGAAAAAAAAATTTGTGTCCGCTTTCGGGTCTGTGGGGATGGATGGATGGATGGAGCTCTGTAAACACTGCCATTTCCACATTTCTTAACCGATTTAAAAAATTTCTTCACCAATGTGTTTTAAATACCAATAGAATTTTTCTATCAACTTATGGGGTTCGTACCTTCAGTATTTCGGGTACCTGCCATACAAAGCGGCTCTTTTTCTGAGCGAAAAAAAAAAAACATCGCTAGCGAAAAAAAAAAAACATTGCCAGCGAAAAAAAAAAAACATTGCTAGCGAAAAAAAAAAAAGTCTGTTACCGAAAGTCGGCCCCAACAATAAATATCGTGCAAAAGCCCGATATTTAAAACTCCGGCTATTATAGAATTTCTAGACGAACAGTATTAGTAAAAATCTAACTCCAATAAGGGGCCACTTTGTGTGAAAAGTATCTGGAATATTGAAGGTGGAAACAACATACCAAAAAGTGGCCCCTTATTGGAGTTAGATTTTTACTAATACTGTTCGTCTAGAAATTCTATAATAGCCGGAGTTTTAAATATCGGGCTTTTGCACGATATTTATTGTTGGGGCCGACTTTCGGTAATTTTTTGATTTTAAATCCTTGAAGATTTATTTGCTTGCTGAAGTTATTTTAAACGCTTGAAATTCTTTTATTTTATTATCCTTAGCTTTACGACGTTTTAAATTAGTTCTGTGACAATTAAAACTGCACTCGAGGGAGTGAGAGCTAAAAGTCATTTATCCGAAATAATGATTTAATGTGGGTCAATGTAGTTCTAAATCTGAAGCAGTTCATTCCAAAGGTCCAAACAGCTACTGATATGATTTCTATTTTCATAATTATGGCACGTGTCTTTCACTTACTTCGCAATTGAAGCTCACATTTCTCATCTACATGCATTCGCTTCTTCTGTTATTGGAGTCGAGCTGAAAACAAATTTATTTCCACGACGCATTTCTCAGAGCTTCGTCTGATTCAAGGACTTCATTTTCATGGAAAACTTATCTATCTTGAATATTGTTTTTCTTCTCTCGTGTGTAAATTACAAATAAAAAAAGTTATTTTAAATCGTTTCCGGTGAATTTCACAACAGTTTTCAATGCCGAAAGCTTTATGATTTATTTTTATCTCAAGCTATAGAAATGAGAACGCACAACGAAACTTGTTCACAGATTGTGCAATTTCTTTCTTTTCTTTTCCTCGAAACGTGTATACACTTTAGTATAATTGACTTCTTCAATGCCAGTTGAATATTTGTATGATTCGTTTGTTTTCAAGCATTGAATCTAGTAGCAGCAAAGTTTTAATAACTAAACAATAATTGTCAATTACAAGGCAAAAGCGCATAAAAGTCTCACAAAATGCTTTGAGAAAATCAACATTTTTCATGTATTTTACAACGACCTATCCCATTCTAAATCTTATTGTCGAATAAACGTCGTGTAAACCGCTTAATCTTTTATATTTTGACGATTTTTAATAGCGGTTAAATTTATTTATAATCAAAACATTGAAAATTTTATTATAAAATAGACGTGAAATTTGAACACTGCAGTGTTGGTCATCAAAAATTGATTTCTTCTTAAATTAATACTGCAACAAGTCATTTAAAAGTCTTTCTTTTGATGCATATAGGAAAGTCATCGTTAGAATATCCGAGACATTCGATATTTCTATCTAAACGGAAATATCTGCTAGGACTTATGATAAATTTATTTGCATACCCACCCACATTTTTAATAGTCGTTTTTCTATTCAAAACGTCGAGGCTGAGAATTTTCTTTTCTTTGTGAACAAAAGGAAAATGAAAATAAATAAAAAAAATGCAGACGACAGTTAAGTGAAAGAAAACGCGACGACAGAAATTAAAAGAAGCGAAAAAGTTATATTGACGTTGGAACTGTTCGTTTATATTCTTTCTTCTATTTCTGGTTATACATAAATAAGTATTTAGTAGAGTCATCCCATTCATCTTTCGATCAATTTAACATCCCGCCAACAAACAAAAACCAAACTGAAAGACTAAAGTCGATGAAATGGATTCAAACGTCTTGGAGCTTTACTCTTCGTTCTACTTTTCGCCCCCACTTTAAATACGAGATAAATAAATCATTTGAATGGGAAAATTTATAGCTTGATTTGTTTTTCTTTGACTCGAAACGTAGACGAAATGAAAAAGAAAAGGAGAGAAAGAAAAAGGAAAACTCTCGAGACTGGCAACGAGTTCGGTGACATTCTGTAGGGGTTCGGGGATTTTCTTTCTTTTTCATCTGAAATGTCTGTCGCGGAAAACTTTTATTTATTGCCACAGAATTCTTAGGAATTTTCATTTCGTCTAGCGCGAATCTATTTGAATTTTTTTTTTCGTAATATTAGTGAAAAAAAAAATATGCCAAAAATAAATTCTTCGCATCTTCGTTTAATGCAATTTTTTTTTCTTCAAACGGAAAGCAAAATCTTATTTTAGAAACCGAGCGATATACATATCTGCGATCTCTGCGCCTACGCTTGATGTATTTTTCATTGGTCTGTGACGCAATTCTAATGACGTTACTTAAGTAAAATATTGAAGAAACCATCTGGCTTTTATATACATAGACGACATGAAAATGCTTGAAGATTATCCAGAAGCACGATCCTTCATCATATAAATCGCCCTTTCTGATTAATAAATTGCGATATCATTTGTTATTGACCGAACATTATTTATCATTCTCTTACCTTGCTTCATTCATCTTACAATCACGATCAACCTCTGTCTTTACTTTTTTATGGTCATTTTTTATTCGCGATTTGCTAACAGTGATTATTGTTCGTTTGGGGACCACTACAATGCCAAATGTCGTATTCACTTGTATCAACTATTCAACAAGACCTTTCAATTTTGCATGCTCAACCTTGAGCTGATTTCTTTCAAATAAACGTGTTTCTCTTTTTTTTTATTTAATTAGATTTTTGCCTTTTTTATTAGACGATGTCGCTGAATTTTTTTGCATATTACATATGTAAGTACATGTAAATATTTAAATTTGACCGCTGTTGTTATTTATAACATTTTAACATTTGTTCAACTCTATTGGATACTTCGAGAAGGACAAATCGTGACTTATGTTGATGCTCATAAAGAAGCTGTAAGCGGAAGAATCTTTCAGCAACTTATTGAATGTTTTATCTTGATTTCAAAATGCACTCCGCCAAAGCTCTTCCAATGAATTTCACTTTCATGCTCATGATTTGATGGTCTTTTCGACCACCCAAACTACGAAGTTATATTCTTAAGATTATAATTACTGAATGTTAAGTTAAAGTTCAAGATCATCACCGTCATGAGCGCGATTGTTATAATTGGATAAGAAGCTTGATGATAAACGTAAGTAACAAAAAAGAAGGAAAAAAAAACGAATCATTAAGAGATTTATGAATGCGCAAAAGAAAAAATAAATATTTGCACACGCAGCGGCGTTTTTGCCTCAAGCGAAACATTCATGGCCTTGAGATGAGTTCAAAAATCGTATGCAGCAACAAACTTGTGCGATAAAACATCGCTTGGCATAATGCGCTTTTTAGACGCGACGCAACGCTCATAAATTTAGTGGCTTGATCATGGCGAGTGGGAACAAAGTCGTCTGGTCGAAGTTTATTCTTTCACCAGTCATTCCTTCCAAATTAGGTCAGATGACATGATCATCTTGTATGAGAAAACTAAATATTTGACTAATCGTCATTCTTATTATGCATTATTTAAATAGATGGTAAGAAATTCCAAGCAAAGTCGTAGAAAACAGGTTGGCATCTTTCTCTTTTCACTTGCTTTCTTCATCAACAGTGGTGTGGAATGTTGATCGTAATTAACCAATGAATGGAATGTCTGTTCTTGTCTTTTAGTTCATCTCTTCTTTCACTTATAAGACGAGGGCATTTGTGGTATTTGGGTCATTATTGGCAGTTAAGCTAACATGGCAAACGGTGAAATGATGGAAGAGAAGAAAAAACGCGAGTGAAAAGAAAAGAAAAGCTTTGGAATTTTATAAGCATAGCACATGATCCAAGTTGTTTCTACCGCTGCCATCAGCAATAAAGTACATTTTTCCATGAAAATTGTGAACCATCCGAAACGTAAATTGAGTCGAGGCTCGTTTTTTTTTTCAGCGAATTCCATTAACAACAAACAGTGCGGTTGTGTGCAGTTTCGTTCTTCATTGTCTACTTGAGTTTCAAATTTAATGTAAATAAATCGCTTGAAATCTGATTCCAAATCATTTTTTCGTGTGGATTTTTGTGATTATTGAAGCCCATGACCAATTATTTTTTTTTTCTTCTTAAACTTGATAAAATTGCTGTTCGACAATCGACAAAGGGAGCTGCGACTTTGACAACAACACTCACTGCACATCGTGATGATTAATGAATTACCATTAACATGATGAAATTGTATTTGTTTATCAATGAAATGTTAATAATTTCAACATTTCTTTCACTTAACATTCCAAACTTTTGTATTATGTTAAGGTGAAAGTGATGAAGTTGTTGAATTGTGAGAAAATCGACACCATTAATAAATTATCGAATGTATTAAGTTAAAGATAAGAAATAATAAATCAAAAAGATATTTTCATTTTATGTATATTGATTGATCCATAATCATCGTACGCCTTGACCTACGATCACATCATTGACTTCTTTTGTTGAATACCGCGAGAACAATGCAATGTTGAATACAATCAAGGAAGTTGAGGTTTCGCAACTTAGTTGTTTAAAAAACGCTATCGTACCACTTGGTTACTTAACTTATTCACCTTCACAGCCATTCATATGTACATACATTATTTAATCTCATTACAAAAGAAGTTTAATACTCACTGAAATCGATAAGCAAACGTCCGTAGCCTTTCCGTTGATAAGGTGGAAGCGTCAATATACATGACACATTATAATTAAGAAATGAATTCTTTTCCTGTTATATAAAAAGAAAAAAGAGAAGAAAATTAATTATAATTAAAATTATCACAGACATTCATCAATAAGTGAGAAAAACTTCAGTGGAAAAACATTATCCAAAGCAATAAAGTTAGATTTGTACCTAAGATCCAATTTAATAATATTAAATTGTCTCTCGTTATCGCTCATGCTGATTCAGCTCTCTTGAATGATAATTTATTTTAATTCTGATTTATCAATACGTATAAGTACTGTCTTGAGTTGGGTGGATTTATTGTGACGATTAAGAATATCGTAAAAGTCTGTTGTAACCAATCTCCTACTTCTTTCGTAGAGATTTACTTTAATAACAAGTTTTTTTCTGTATTTTTTATTTGTTACAGCTCACAAAAGTCGCCGGCATCATCTTCATTAATCATCATTTTAATGGTGATTTTATTAGTCTTCATGATTAAATTTTTGATGGAAAATTTAAATTGCGCTCTTAAAAGAGCTGTAAAACTTGTTCAACGTTACAGTTTTTCTAGATCGACTTCGATTATCGGTTGTAAACGTCAAGTAAAGAGTGAGTATTTTAAACTGTCTTTAGATGAGAAATTCAAGGAATTCCCAGACATTTCACTCATCTACAAAGTTTCATTTTAAATCTTTTCTACTTCAACATCAATAAAACTACAATTTTGTACAAGTTTAACTTAATAAGTAACAATAAAAATGAGTAAAGCATAAAATTTACTGTTTAATAAAATTAAAAAGAATTATTTCAAATCTCCTTTGTTTCCTTGAACACGAAAGTTCAGCAAAGGTTAAGAGAAGCATTTAAGTAAGATTCAAATTACAAGGCGACGAGAAGTGTGAAAATTTTTCGCTTCCTTGCAAATGGTCGTAGAAATCGATAAAGAGTAACAAATCATATTTTGTGGTTTTAAATATGGCAAGTGTTACAAATTGTACTCACAACATTTGCTACTCTGTTTCAGTGCTTAGTTTTTTAATGCTAAACCTTTCAGTTTGCTACTTTAATCTCTTTTTTTTATGAGAACCGCAATGCACCTCATTAGTTATAATCAGATTTCATTCTAATCCAATTAACTTAAAGTTTAACACCTTTAAAGATTTAAACGATATTTGAGAGTTGAAAAGCAATTTGAATTGAAATTTAACTGTTTCTAAAATATTTGCTTAAGCTTTAATTAAGAGTTATATCGCATAATTGATTAATATGTTTTTCCTAAACGTTGATGGGAATTGAAAGAAATTGAAACATGACTGATCAAGCAAGAGAAAATCCCATGAAATTGCCGTAAAGAACAACTTAATATTATTGAGCAGCGCGACTTGTAATTAGCTTTCTGTCTTTTAATCTTTTCTACTTTATTTTCTTTCTTTGTCGGAAGCTAAAACTGCGCTTAGTGTCTGTTTTAAGTATCGCAACTTCGAGGTAAACTAAGCGGTTTTAAACTTTACAGAACAGCATCATAATGATGCAAATATATTTAATAAAAAAATGAAAGAATTCTTCATCCAATTCAATCAATTTATTCCACAAACTCTTCACAATAACATTCGTTGTTCTTTTGTGTGGTGTAAATTGTATTCACATTTCAGATCAATTACGTTTTATTAGATTTTGTTTAACGAGATTAAGAGCTGCACCATCATTGAGGCTAGTAACTTTGTAGCCGTGCCGACGAAATAACTGCAATTTGTTTCTCTCGTAACATGAAACAAGTAGCAAGTAAAGCTGTAAACAATAAACAATTTTATTGAGTTGAATATCATAAAAAGTAAAAGAGAAAAGTTTGAAAAACGTTAGCTACGGGTTTTGTCAGTCAGCATCCATTTTGTATGAATTTTTTACACATTTTTTATTTCATCGGAACTTTGCAACATTGATAAGCTGTTTATGGTTTTCTTTTCATAGAATTCATATTTTTTGCGGCGATATAAAAGAAACATCATAAAAGCTACGCTACATTTGTGAATGTCATAAAGACATAGAAAGATTTCCACCCTCAAATCATTTATTCAATGAAAACGAATTTATATATTGGATCCTTTTTGGGGCTGTCTAATGCAGTCATAGAAGCGAAATTATCAGACGCTCATAAACTCGTAATGTTGATTTTATGGTGCGACGAAGTCCTGAGACGAAAGTTCAATAAACTCATTGTCATCTCACACCAAACAAAGAAAAAATTCAAAACTTTTCCCCATAAAATTGTCTCGTCGTTGAATTCGTCGTTACACTCGTTGTACGAGCCCAAAGGAGAAAAAGTTATTCTCAAAGATATTTTCCAATGTGACAACACCACCGAAAAAAGCATAAGAGAAAAAAAGACGTCTTGTAAATCCCTTGGAGAAAATGAGAAAAGTTATCCTACCCCAGCACAAGAAATAGAACGAAAGGAAATTTTCCGACTAGACAGGCAACAAACTCTGCCTTCCATTCAAAGGATAAGTTGTAAAAACAGCCTCTTAATTCTTCTTACTCCTCCTCAATATTTCTTACAAATGTCTGCATAAGTTCGTACCGACTCGTAAGGAAACAGAAGACGAAGAGTAAGAAACAGCGCGATAAATCGAGGAAAGTAACAAAAAAAGGAAAATTTTGTGCTTTTAGTGTTACTCGAGGTTGTGATTAGCGAAATACAAAAAGATAATTTATTTACTTGTCATCTTTACACAAGAAGATTAAAAATGATTAATTCAGAATAAGAAGTTAATATTTCTAGATCTTATTAAATTATTGCAATGAAAATCGATGATCAGAGGTAGAATGACAAGGAAAACAAGCACAAATTAGTAGCTTTATAAGCGTATATCAAGAAGCATAAATTTAAAAGCAAATATAATAAAATCTTGAGAATTAAAAATGCAAATTAACATTTTACAAAAACTGCAAGTCTTGTGTCGTTTACTGCCATTGATAAGCTTTCTTAAGCTTATTCACTTCCATTTTTATCCACAAATTCAAATTTAAATAACAATCCAAGTGATGCATTCACTGAAGTTTCGTTGAATATAAATTTTAATTTGATTAACTTGCTCTTTGAAGCATTCGACATTAATTCAAATCAATTATCTAAACTTTAAACAACAAGCGCAATTAAATTACGCATCGAGTAACAAAAGACTCAAATTAAAACGCTTGAGAGAGTACTTGGCAGCAGGCAGCGTTAATTAAAGCTCTTGACACATTCAAGCTTGAATAAGCTTCCCTCTTTACCTCATTTACACGCTTTGAACACGAGAAACTTTTTTTTCTCTCTTGTTTAACATAATTTTTTTATTTTCCTACCATCTAAGAATTATTTGATGTTGAGTGGAAATTTTTTAAATTGCTTATCCCTTTCTATCTGACTCATCTGCAGAATGATTTGTGGTGGTGGTTTTGTCCAATTAAAATTTTTATATTTCCCTATTGCTGCTCTTATGCTTAAAAAGAACTTCTCAATAGACATTTCTTCTCACACCCACAGATTTCATCATAAAGGAAAAGTTGTTAAAAGAGAAACAACAACAATCAGAACATTTTAAATTGAAATGGATTTGCAAAAAATAATGTTTTCAACAACTCTCGTCTGGCAGCCGCCTTTTAGTTTTATCCCCGGTACTTGTTTTATGTTTTTTTACAGTAGTGCAGACATTGCCGAATATATGTTTGAGAACCCCCTCAAAATAAGAAAGAGATTGAGAAGGAGAAAAGGGGAAAAGTTAGATTGAATCCAATTCGAATTAAATTTTTATGTCGTGGGTTTTGTTATCAAAAAGTTAAGAGAAAAACAACAGATTGAAAGATTACAGCAATTTATTGAACATGAACTTTATGCAAAAATATAAATATGAAGACATATAAAAGTTTTATTCTCCAGATTGTTTATCAGCATCCCAAATTCAATAAAATTTTCCAATAAAAATTAGAAATAATTTTCCGACTCTACAACAACCACCAGTCGCGCCCTGAAAGTTCAACGAACTTCTGAAATTGCAGACAATAATCACACACCAACAAATTGAGATCAAAATGAATCGTAATAAATTCAATAATAAACAATGAGTCATGAAGATTTGTGGAGCTCACAGGATTTGCAACTCCATTCAATTTCATCAACAGTTAACCATAAAATGAAAGTGAATGAATAAAGTTTTTGTTTGATTTATGGAGATTTGATCATTGGCAAGTAACGTTTCAATTTGGAATCTGTTGGTCTTATTCGATATTTTTGAACGTTTATTTACCTAGGGATCTGATAAAAACAAAACCGTATAAAATATTGGCAAGGGGATGACACGAAATATCCATTAATCTTAAATTACATTCTGATTTCAATTTGTAAACTTTAAAGTAGATATTTTTATTCAATACCCGAAAAGAAGTGTGGTAAGCAGAGAGTTGTCATCATGGGATTGGACAAGACGAATCATTATGAACTTGTAATCTGTAGATGATTCTAAAGCTACAAATGTAAACAAATTTAATGAAATATCATAAGAAAAATTGATGCAAAAACATAATTTGGCTTTGTTTAGTCTGCATTGTTGTATAGAAAAGTATCCAATTACCTATCGCACAACTTCAAATAAACATCAATTCTTGATTTCTTTTTCATTTCATAAGCAAATGGAATGACAAAAGTTCAAGGGAACCAAGTGTGAGAATATTTCTCGCAGAAATCATGTGTCACTGTGTAAATTTCATGATTGTTAGCTGGAAAAATAAGCGACACAGGATGTTTGACTAGTTATTCATTGAATCCCTAATAGATATGATTCAACGATACATTTTTTTTGTTATCGTAAAATAAAAAATTATTTTCGCACAGTCAACGTCACTTTAGTCAGTCGAATGCCAGCTAAGCCGATTAGCAACTTCAACGAAATTCCGATGAAAAAAAAAAACATCCATCATTTACGTTGATTTCATCGCTTATCAAACTCATAAAAATAACTTTTCTACTCATAATTTCCCAAGAGAGTTAAACGAAAACGAGTTCATTTATATCATTAGAACGGTTATTTATTAATAGTTTGCGGCACGCTCATCAGTCATGTACATTTTTAACAACTTAATCAAACAACAAATGAAAAACAAACAAATTTTTATGCATTTCTGATAGATAATCATGAAGCTAAATTTAACTCAAATGTTAGCTCAATCAATTTCATTATAGAAACAGTGAATATTTAAACTTAAATTATAGAATTTTGTTACGTGAAGGAAGAAAATTTATTTGACTATAAAATAAAGAAAATTTCTCTCCAAGAAACATTTTCCAAAAAACTTTCAACTCATGTTCTCCTAGTAAAAACTTATCGTCTCTATTTTTCTTCTTCAAGAATTGAATGTCTCCTTTAAAATGAACTCGAAGCGCTCTCAACTAACAAAGTATGGAGAACTAAACATATTTCAGTAAGTATGTTTGCGAAGAAATTCTTTTTACAAGAGGAAGTTCTTATGCTTCATTCATATTGAGAAAACTTGGAACTATCTTTATGCTTGCCCAGGAAAACTACACAACATCAAAGAAATTATTTTGTCTGTTTCACAAGATGGTGATTTAATGAAGAAACCCATGGCAATTGAATTCATTCCATATAAAAGAAAGAGATGAAGGAATGAGAACTTTATCGTTACTTTCCAAGCACGGGGAACCGCAAATTTTTAGTTGAGCATAATCCTCTGGAAACTATAGCATGAGAAGTGCGGTTTTATCAGGTGAAAGCAGAAACAGAGGATTGCAAGCATTCTCAAACTTGAAATGACTTGAAAAAAGAAGAAAATTTCCATCTGCAAAAAAAACCCGAAGCAGAATGAAGTGAAAAACTTTATCATTTCGCAAGCGAGAAGAGATCACAAATTGAGAATGCAATTTTAGTGAGGGGTTTCATTTTTTTCTATCAGTAGATGGTTTGAGGGAAAAACCATCAAAAGTTCAATATAACTTGCCAAAGAGAGATGTAACCACAAGAAGAAATATAAAAGTTCAATGGAGTCATGATTGTTATTACAATTCTTTCATTTATCAAATGAAACGTAAAATCATTTATTTCCTTTACGAAGATACTTCATTGAATATCCTTAAAATAATAAAATTTTATCTTCTATTGAAGAGGAGGAAGTTTTAATTGTAGGATAAAATAAATATTGAAATTAAGTCAACACAATTTGTGACATTCGAAAGGTAAGTTTGATAGGAAGAAATTACTTATTGTGTTTGCTTTATGCAATAACATTTCAACATCCTAATGTTTGTTTATTAACTTGAAACGAAACGGACGTAGACAGTCAATACACCTTCTTTTTCAACCCAACAAATTCCGCCCTAAAACTGTCGAGGTTTTCATTTTTCTATATTGGCATCAAGGTCATTGTCCGCTGGAAAATATCTGAAAATGACCATTGAATTTTATATTTTTTTGCACAGCGGCAAGCGTCATTTACTGTGGATGGTCAATAGCAACAAAAACGCAGCCGCGGGCGAGAAAGATATAATGGAAAATCAAAAAAACAAAAACGTTTTGCCAAAAAAGAAATAAAGCAGCTTTTAGTTCATCAAACTTCACATTCGTATCCAACTCTTATGTCTGCACCCCGACCCAGATTCGTAAATTTCGCTGAAAACTCGAAATTTGTTCTTTTCAGACATTTTGCAATATTTAGTAGATAATCGAAAGGAGTGGACATTGATTGGGAAGTTTTGTTCATTGATTTCGACAATAATTTTACGCTGCGCTGCTGAAATTTTTTATCAATAGTTTGATCAATGATTTTCTAAAGGAATCTTCAAATGATTGTTCCAAAAACATATTCTAAATTATGCATTATAAAATGTTTTGTCATGTTACATGATTTGAAATTTGCATATAAACACGGAAGCATCCTTCTCATGTACAACCAATAATGTAGTCAAAAGAGTTAAACTACAAGAGAAAATATCGAGTAATGGCAACATTTTCGGCATATACAAGAATCGCTTCAATCGAAACCGACATCGAATAAAGAGAAAGGATTTCGATATCATATGAAGTAAAAAATCCTGTGCCAGACACTTTTGAGAGTGAGAAGCTGATGCTGGTTGCTGTCGAGTTCAACAACCTTTCATTTTCAAACAGCATTGCGCTATTCAGCAGGAGCACAGACAAAACATTTTTCTCACACTACACAAGTCTGAATTTTCATCATCTCATTTCTTGTTCGGTGGGGTTTATGTTGTACATGAGAGACGTACACAATTTATGTTGAGTTGGGGTTGGATACAACGTCCATTTACTCGATTTTTGCACTGTTCGCGTATCTTTGATCGAGAATCAAGCAGCAAGACGAGAAAAACTTTTTTATATGCTTTCATAAACGAATCTCCGTAAATGATTGGCATGAAAAGAATGAAAAGCCATGAAAAACAATTCGCGATTTACGTACAAATTTTTTACAACCTTCGAAGTAATATAAAGCTGAAGTTGTTAAAGGCGCACGCCAGACATAAAAGGATGAGTGAAAAATTTTTCCCCCCCAATATTCGGGTTTATTGTTCGCTAAAAGAAAGTTCATTGACCTCCGATTAGGCGAACAGAAAGCAGCATCCCAAAACTTTTTTCTCTCGAACTATATTCGGAGCATCATCGTGTCTGGTCCCCAACTCGTTTTCACGTAATTTTCCTTTCCACATACTAGAAAAAGCAAACAATATGCAACAAAATCAACAACAAATGAAGGTGGATAAATGTGTGGGAGTGAGAGGGAAAGAAGATAAGAGAAGGTAGAAGGAAAATCAGCGTGGCGGGGAGCATACATCAAGTAACATCTCTGCGGCTGTGACCATCTCATTGTGAACTGCGCGAAGTTCAACAGACGACAAAATCTAAGGGTGAATTTTGTTTTATTCTTCTCCTTCCGTCTGGCTTCGTTTAAACAATGGCAAACACCTTTATATGCTTCATTAATACACCAGCCGCAAAGGATCGTAAAGAGACGAAATGAGATGAGACCAAAAAGAAAAAAAGAACATTTGTCGATTGTTCACTTTACAGTTTTGTGAACGTGACGTGATGTTCTTTCTGGTTGTTAAGCGATGTATCATGCAAAATTCAGAAATCTTTTATGATGTTTTCATAACGACAACATTTTCTTTTTCTCCCTTTTTTTGGTTAACAAGTAGATAAACAGGCTTTTTGTAAATCACAAAGCATGCATGGTTCTCGTTCTTGTCACAAAGAACGAAATAAAAATAAATATCAAGGAGAGAAAAGAAAAGAAATTTTATCTTTGATCTTTTTAAAGTGAGCCTTTAAACTTCCACTTAAGAGCTTTATAAATGGTTCCGTTTTATTATACTTTGAAAATACTCTTATGAATAGTTTTTTTAACCTTCTTTTCAGTGGTTATATTTATATGTTTTCCCATGCTTTTCATGGTTTTTATTTCTCCTCGAATGACTTTCTTTGTCAGAATCTCAACTTTCGTAAGTAAATAAAATGAAAGCGATTAACTCACCTTACTGAAGTATCCAACGATGTGACAACCATCAGAATCAGCAATTGTCATGATGTAGAATAAGAAAGGATCGACATCAAAGTAAAGAGTTTTGTGGTCAAGAAAGAATTTTGCGAGAAGGCAAAGAAATTGACAATAATTTTTGTATCGTTTACCATCAACTTGCCATACACAAAGCTTTCCTTTTCTGTAAATTTCATCGCCTGGTGGATGACGCCACACACATTTCGCTGCATGTCGTTTCATTCCAACTTCGGATTTTTGATATCGTAGGCAGAATTCACAAAGGTAAAGTTTTGGGAGTCTTTGAACATCTTCAGGGTACACGCTTTGATACCAAACTTCCATGTTGTTCTTCCCCATGACAACCCATTTTGTTCCACTCCCACGACAAGGAAGCTTTGTCAGTTCGTTTTCAATATTTTCACTGGCAATTGCTTGAGCATCACGGAAAAGTTGAAGATCGTAATCTGAAACGGCGCCAGCAAGATTCGGCTCACGATCATCGAGCCTTGAATCATCGTGTAACTTTAAAGTTGGTTTAGATTTTGCTCTGATATCGCGGATTTTTTGAAGATAAGCTTTATGTTCATTTGTTGGAGGTTTTTTCGGTTCTAATTCTTTCAAACTCTTCGCACGTTCTTCAACACGTTTCCTTCTTTCAATGAGATTCTGTTTTGTTTCAGCAATTGTGAGATTATGGTACATTGGACAAGCTTCAATTGTGAAATGACTTTCGCTTTTCCCACTTAAATGTCCCATGGAATTACAACCTTCGAAGGGACATCCTTTCTCTTCAGGTTGTGAATCTTTTGATAAATCGAGATTATGTTTTTGCTCAATCTTTTTTTGTTTCGATTTACCTTTTGTGGGGATTAATGAAGGATTTTTCTTCACAGGACTTTTGGTATTTGAACGTCTTACTGATGTGCTGTCATCAGTTTCACTTTCAGATTTGATTGAAGTGTTTCCAAGATGTTTGGACTTTCTTGTGCTATTCATTCGAGCAGATTTACGACTTGGTTTTGTATCATTAGCACATTCAGAATCTGAATCGGAATTTGATGAAGCTGCTGATGATGAATCGGTTGTGGTTGAAGATGCTGAAGAAATTTCTTTCTTCACTTCGGGTTTCGGTTTCTCAGGTATCACTTTTGGGGCTGGTTTGGGAGGGGCACCAGGTAGGGGATATTTCCTAGGTCTTCCTCGACCTCTTGGACCTGTTGAAGCTGAGCCTGAACCCGATTGCCTTCGATCATTCTTTACTGGTGACACAGATGGTTTCTCATCTTCAGATTCAGATGAATTAGAGAAAATACTTTTGTCTTTCTTTGCTTTCAGCAGTGATGATTGAGACGGTTTCTTAGGTGGAGAAATATTTTTCGATGTTCCAGCTTTAACAGTTGCAGTTTGAAGTTTAGATTGTGATTTACTTTGTTGTTGCATTGCTTGATGTTGTTTAATTACTGATGGTGGAACTTTTCCACCCGTTGGAATGAGTGGTGGTACAATAGCTTTTTGTTGGTGGGCTTTTGAAGGTGATGATGTTGCTGTTGTTTTCTTCTTATCAACTTGAAGAGAATTTTTCTTCAGTGGACTTTTAGGGCGATCGTCGTCTGTACTTGATAAACTACTTTTTGTCACTTTTAGCTCGGTGTTTTTCGTAGACGTTGCTTTTGTTGGAATCGTTTTGTCTTGACTTTTTCTTGCCGATCCCTTTTCGGCTGATTCTAAAAATAAATGAATGAAAAAGATGAAAATGCAATTCAGTAAGGTTTGTGAGTTCAATATTGAATTACTGTTTTGAGCTGTTGTTTTTTGTGGTGACTTTTCATCAGAACTTGAGCTTGATCCTGATGAACTATTACTGGAGTCAGAAGAATTGCTATTGCTAGAGCTGCTTGAGTTTTCTGAACTCGAATCTAAAATGAAAACAAAATAATATAACAATTTTTTTGATCTCTTTAAAATTTACCTGAGTCCGTGCTTGTGCCTGTAGCAGATGATGATGCACTGCTGGCAGACTATTCCATGTGAAATACATTTCAATTAGCAAAGAATTTCTTTCAAATGTTTATTAAATTCTTATGTTTTACCTTTCTGGGACTCATTCTCATGATTTATTTCAAAAATGTTAATTTTTAAAAACGCGACATATACGAACAATAAATATACGATTGACACAACTCATAAAACGAGTCAAAATTTATTAATTTTTAGAATTTCTTCTAAAAATGTTGGAAAATAAAAATTTATTTTAGCTTTTGTTTACATTTGGTGAAATCTATTTTTGTTCTACTTTGTATCTACTGATGATCTACAAAATATTTGAAAATTTGTCCGTTATTTTTATGACAGATTTTAATTTCAAAAAGTTCTGAATTGGATGCAAACGAATTGATTCTTGACGTTTTTAGTACAAGGAGAAATGTTTCTTATACAATTTTAAAATAGAGGTGATATATTTTTGTCAAGAAACGAAATCTTATTTAGGCTAATTCTCTTGGATTTGGACAGGTTTGAAGTCGATTAAGTCAGTCCCCTTCACTCCATCACAGTGTTCTTCCACTTCACAACTATTCGATGAACTGCACCAAGCACATCCATATTTTACAGGTAGAACAAGACACATTCTTAAACTTTCCGCCATGTCACGCCATCTATAAATGACGACATGAATGTTATGAGGATTGTCGAGAGGTTTTACATCATCCCAAACGACAGCAAAAGTTGCAGTTATTTGTGGAAGTTTCGAAGTGTACATAAATTCTATCGAGTCGCAATAAATTATGTCACCAAGAAGTTGTGCATCTACACTCGACACTCGTCCTTCGATGGTAAACTGACAAACGAATCTGGTTTGAACAATCGAATGGCCAAAATTGTGAACTCTCACTTTCACCGAGCCCTTCACACCAGCAGGAACAAGAATTTCAGTATCTGAATCAGTTCCATTGATTGCGGGACAGAATGCCGTTCCTGATCTATAAGAGGACCTCATACGGTTCACACCATTTACCATTATATCGTTTCGACAATTCTCAGCAGTGTCATGTGTACAATGATGAGTTTCAATACACCAATCACATGGGAAGAGAGACGATACGCAACGTGTGCAAGATAAATGAGTTGAGCAGTCGAAGAAAGTGGAATTTGTGAATGCAAGATCGGAACCACTTGCTGTCCGAACACTTAAGCGAGCTGTGAAATGATCTGAAAAAACAAAAAAATAAATTTGAGATGGGGAAGCTCCACATGGGGAGCTTCAAATTATGCTAACGCATAATTTTAAGTTACTCCGGCCGGTGTGGAGTTTCCGACTGTCCATGGACCTTCCGACTGTCCATGGACCTTCCGACTGTCCATGGACCTTCCGACTGTCCTTGGTCTTCCACTCACTCTCCCACACGCGCACCGATCGTCCTATTCAAAAGAATTCTCGGAAATACTCTAGAAAGAATTCTCAGAAAAATTCCTGATAAGAATTCTCAGAAAAATTCCTGATAAGAATTCTCAGAAAAGTTAACAAAAAAAAAGTTACAGGCAGACATAACATGAGCAGTCGAAGAAAGTGGAATTTGTGAATGCAAGATCGGAACCACTTGCTGTCCGAACACTTAAGCGAGCTGTGAAATGATCTGAAAAAACAAAAAAATAAAAAAATATAAAATGACATAAAATCGTAAGAATTTCTTACGTCTTCCTTGCTCAATTTGTGGCAATAAATCAGTTCTAGGTGTTGCACAATAAACGATATTGTCATTTCGTGTTGCATTTGTTACGATGACATTCTCTTTTATTGTGAAAGCACACACCAGATGCTCCTTCACGTTTGGTAAATGATCAATGACAAGTTCAAGAATTCGAGATGTTGTCCGTTGTAATTGATGTGGAGTTACTGATGTTATTTCGACTACGAGATTATTTCCTTCACTATTGTTTTTACTGTCAGCAATGGTTAAGATGACAGCAATTAGAACAAATTTTAATATTGAGTGAAGCTTCAGTTTTTGCATTCGCTTCGCTTTTCTTGGTAGGAAATGGAAGAATTTTTTTCTCAGGTGGAAAATCTTGAATCCGATGGAAAATTTTCCTCTTTTCGTGTTAGTGAAATGTGTAGCGTGATTTGATATTTAATTATACAACTGAACAGTAACAGATTCAGACGATTTTGCACGATCAATTTGAGTTACTTTTTCTTTTATGTTCTTTTTATTATTTTCTTCTATATCGAAAAGATCACTTTCAATGTCGTATCCAAATTGATCATTGATAACAAGTGCATAAATCACTTAATATCATGGGATTAAATCTCATTTCTTAAGCAATTTTTTCTAATTAATGTTTATCTTTTAATTACTTTCATGTTAACTTTCTTAGTGTTTTTACAAAACAAAACAAAATTTTATCGTTTTTATTTTTAAATTTCTCATAACATAAACTGACAGCATAAACTGACAGCATTTAAATTACAATTCCGAAAGTTTTTATTTTCTGTTAACGTTATTGTTCTTAATAAATGTTTAATCGTATTTAGCAACCACTGTGATGGAACATTTATTCCTCTATTTAATATTTGTCGTTGCTTTTCTGGCTGTTCAAAGTGCTGAAGATTCTTTTAAAGATGTTATCCAAAAACGAGTACGTATCACTATTTGTTTATCTTATCGCTGCTTTTATGAGCCAACTTGTTTAATAATTTAAATGGTTATAGAAAAATCATCAGCTTATGGATGTGTCACAGAGTAAGCTCTCGTATTTAGCTGAAATGGGAGATTTATATCATTTTAACGAGGTTCTTGAAAAGATTCTCATTCCCCGAGTTGTTGGAACTGAAACACATGAAGAAGTCAAAGATTATATTATTGCGAAACTCCGAGAACTTAACTGGAGTGTTGAAACTGATGAATTTTATGATGACACACCGATATTCAAAGACCTAAAGTTTACAAACATTGTTGGAAAACTTAATCCAAAAGCCGAAAGATTTCTTATGTTAGCTTGTCATTACGACAGCAAATACTTCAAGAATGAAAAATTCCTTGGAGCCACCGATAGTGCCGTACCTTGTGCAATGTTGATTAATATAGCTAAGGTGATGTCTGATTATTTTACAAAAATGAAATCTAAAGAAGATGTCAGCATTATGCTGGTTTTCTTTGATGGTGAAGAAGCTTTCAATCAATGGACAGCCACTGATTCAATTTATGGTTCGAGACATCTAGCAGAAAAGTGGGAGGATGAAAAGTTCCTTCATAGGATCGATTTGATGGTTCTCCTAGATTTACTGGGGTCACCAGATCCAACTTTTTACAGTTTCTTTAAAGAAACTGAGAATTGGTATGCGAGAATGGCTTCAACAGAAGAGAAGCTCGATAATCAAAATTTATTAGAACGTTATCAATCAAGTGGAACAACAATACGACAACCAACGAGATATTTTCAATCAAATTCTTTACGCACTGTAATCGAAGACGATCATATTCCCTTTTTAAACCGAGGTGTGCCAATTCTTCATTTAATTCCTGTTCCATTCCCTGAAGTTTGGCATAAAATGAACGACAACATTGATGCGATTGATGTCACAACAGTTGAAAACATTAACAAAATTCTACGAATTTTCATTGCTGAATATTTACACATCGACGTTTCCCAACCTTTTCATGATGAGTGACGAACATGCACAAAAAAACTTAATTGAATGAAGCACGGTTTAACTTAATTCTTTAAAAAAAAAACAACTGAAAGTACTATTAAATTTAATCTTTTTGTTTTGTTAATAATTTTAATAAAATTACATTCCATGATTGTGTTTCATGTGTTGTCTTAAATGCCCTAGCCTTATAAATGATTTCCCACACACATCACATTTGTTCTTCTCCATTTGAGTGTCACGAAAATCTTTGTCGTGTTGAAATTTTTTGTGACGTTGATAAAGAGTTCTGTTGGCGAGTTTTTGTCCGCAAACTTCACAAGTAACTCCTTCAAGTGTGTGACCTTCCATGTGAGTGCTACGAGCAGCTGGCGTTTTAAAAGTTTTCGGGCAAATTGAGCATTCGTAAGGTCTCGCTGATGAGTGAACATTCTGATGGATTTTCAAATCACTCAACGATATGCATCGCTTGCCACAAATCTCACAACTGAAGCCTGTCAGTCCTTGTTCATATAGGATATGAGCTTGCAGTTGATGTTTCACTAGAAATCGTTTGCCACAATTATCGCATTGAAATTTCTTACTTGGACAAATCTTCTGATGAGCGAGTTTCTCATAAATCGATGAAAATTCTTCATGACAATTTCCACATGGATATGTGAGATCTGGAAAGAGTTCAAAATGTTTGTTTTTCATATGTTGCATGAATTTGCTTAGACCGGTTGCTCCTTTAAATTCACGATTATCAATGAAACAATGAATCGATGGCGTATGTAAAAGCATAACATGTGAAACGCAATCATTTTCATTGAAATATCTGACATTGCAATGTCCACATTTCCATGATAATTCATCGACACTGTCATCAGCATCTCCACTCGGATCTTTATAGAAAGTTGCACCATATTGAACTAAGCAATTTTCGCCACGAATTGGTTGAATGTCATCAAGATTGTCATGAATTTGAAAGTGCTCATACAAAGTCTCTCCGGAATTAAATATCATTAAGCAAGATTCACATTTACTTCGTGGAAGATTTGGTGATAAAATCTTGAACATTTCATGACATTCATTGTGAAGTTTTGGCTTCATTTGTTGCTTTGATGGAGCAAACTTCAATCCACATTCATCACAATTATTTGACAATTTTGTTTGATTTTCTTTGAAACTTTCAGCAAATTGAATTGTTGAATGGGTTGACGATGAAACTTTCTTTTGCTCATCATTTTGTCTGATGGCTTCAATTTCATCCATGTTTGGATGTTCAATTTTAATGTGATGTCGTAAAGTGTCGCGATGTTTAAATATTCTCTGACATTCCGGACATTTCCAAGCATTTTTCTTCATTCCATTCTCTTCAATTGACACTTTACATGATGCAATGAAAGCTGTGTCTAACTTAGTTGCTCGGAGATGCGTCATCCTTAAGTGAAGTTTGAAAGCTTGCAGAGATCGATAAATTCGGTCGCTTGCACATCGTTGACATTTCCAAACGAATTCATTTCCAGTTGAAGTTTCGATTTCAATTTTGCTATTATTCGCTTCTTCTTTGACAATTTCCTTCTCATTGTTCTTACCTTTAAGAACATGAACATCACGAATATGTCGCGTAAGACTGGAATGAGTTGACAAGACAACGTTACATAACGCACATTTGTAAATTCTTTTGCTTCCATGTTTAATTTCACTTTGTTGAGCTTGTTTTCGTACCCAAGAAATTTGTTCTTCCGAGAGATCATCAAAAGTGTTGAGTTTACGTTTTCTGACATTGGACGAATCAGACAAACTCATAAGTGTTGAATCTGTGAAGTTCTCACCAATCTCGTTAGTGATTTCAGTTGCAACAGTTGAATCTTCATCATTAAACGCTTGTAAGTCATTCATGTCAGTCGACAACGTTTCATTAGAAATATTGTGATTTGTTTGATAATGTGAAGCATTTGATTCATCAGAAATTGCTTCAACACAATACTCAATGAACTCAACAACGTCATCTTCATGCTCCTTCAAATTGCCTTCTGATTTATCGACTTCACTTCCCAATGAAATGCTGAATTTCATCTCATCTTGAATAGTATGCACTTCATCTAAATTTTCAATTTCATTTAAGAAACTTTCAGCTTTTGACAAGATTTCAAGTTTCGCGATATGTTCTCGAAAGTTGGAATATTTCTTTGCTTCTCTCTTGAAGAAATGAAATGATAGCAAATTTGAATTGCATTCATTGCAGATATAGTTTACTACTGAAGAATCAATCTAAAATGTAATCAATACAATACTTTTATATTCAATAAATGCTATTCATCGTACAAACCTTTATGAAACAAGTGTCAAAAATTAAATCCTCAAATACAATGTCTTCATCATTGACAGATACAATATTTCCATTGATTTCAAGAAGTTGTAGCTTGTTGAAATTTTTCCCACAGAAATAACATTTTTTGAAAGCCAATCCTAAGCGTGATTCCATTTCTTAAAAGTTGTTTTTATTTTGCAATTTATGCAATGTTTACGTTTGTAAGAAATAGAACCAGATGGCGCTGTAGAACACAAGTAGATAATATTTGATCTACCACGTGAATTCTCATAAAAGTTTTATTTTTTACTCGTAAATTTTGTTCCATCCCTTTATAAAGCTTCAAAATTAATTTAGTTAGTAAATTACTATATTCTAAACATGGGCTCACAAGATAAAAAACATAAACGATCTTGTCAACGTTTGGAAAGGAAGAAAAATAAATTAGCAGCTCTTGCTAACATAATGGAAGTAAATGAAAGGGATAGAGAGATAAAAAAGGCACACAAGAGGAAATATAGGCCAGAAAACGAAGAAACGCTGTCCATTCCAAGCACGGTACGTTAAATTATTTATGATATGCTTCAAATAATTAAAAAAATCTCTTACAGTCTACTGAGAGCAATTTAATAAGTTACAATGAAATGGATACAGAAATTCTCAATACAAATCAAACTCAGAAGGCATTAAAGAAATTTTTTAATTCTGAAAATGAAGGAACAAAAGTAACTACAGATATGGTGAGTCAATGAATTAATTCATAATTTTACTTATTTATCTATTCAATTTTCTTTTATCATCAGCCGGATACAAAGAAAGTCAAAATTGGACTGAATGACGATTACAATTCTTTAAAGAAAAAAGTTGATGCAATGACAAAGCAGTCGAAGAGTGTCCCTAAATTTCGTCTAAAGTTTTTCGGTGACAAAGCATCATTGCTGACAAAAGAGGAAAATCGACAACCGTTAATGTTCGATGACATTCAATACTTGCTCATGACTGCACTTCTTGGATCAAGTTCACCTTATAAGCCAACTCGTTGGTGTGTTTTAGAGAAAGCTAACAAAATCGTGCACACAGTTGTTCTTGTCATTGAAGGAATTACATCATACAACTTCAGTAGCCACGAAAGTCTTTTTGTAAATACGAAAAGGATTTTCAATCACCAATTGGAAGTTGTTGTGCCAAGATACATGAAAAACAGCATCATTGAAGAATTATCTTTCGTTCCATTGACTCAATCACATAAAGAAAAACTTGTTCGTGATTATGGATCCCTGGAAGCTGCAATAAATCTCAATAAAGATCATCATTTAATTTATCGAAGTGTTTTCCCTATCGACGGTGACATCACAAGTAACATCCTCGAGATGCCGGAAGGTGAAACGTTTCCACGAACAAGACTTTTGCTTTCGCCTCTTCAAATGATGGTTGAAGGATATCCAATGCCTTTAAAAGGTGAGTTTCTTGAACGATACAGAGACTACCGGAAGACCAAAGAATCTTATAAGCCAGTGACAAGTCAAAGTGCAATGTTTGGTTTGGATTGCGAAATGTGTCGTACAGATAGAGGACAAAATGAGCTCACACGTGTATCAATAGTAAATGAGAACTATAAAAGTATTTATGAAACGCTCGTTCGTCCTGAAAATAAAATTGTTGACTATCTGACACAATGGTCTGGAATTACGAAGGAAATGATGAAAGCTGCAACCAAAACGCTTTCCGAAGTTCAAGAAGAAGTTTGTGATTTACTTCCACCAGATGCGATTCTTGTTGGACAATCATTAAACTGTGATCTTAATGCAATGAGACTGATGCATCCTTATGTTATTGACACAAGTGTCATTTTCAACGTAACAGGCGATCGAAATCGTAAAACAAAACTTAAGGAATTGGCGAAATGTTTTCTTGGTGAAAAAATTCAGACTGGCTTTGAAGGTCACGATTCAATAGAAGACTCAAAGACTAGCTTAAGGCTCACAAAATTAAAGCTTTCCAAAGACATTTATTTTGGTGATGTTGCTTTAATATCATCCAAGAGTTTTCCAAAAGATGATGGGAAAATCATATCAACAGGCATTGTGAATGAAACAAACGTAAATACACCGCAAGTTGCAACAAACATGATAAGTCAGGCAATGAGAAGACGAAAAAAATCTGCCATCATTACTACGTATAAGAGTGATTTGAATTTGGAGAAATTTTATAGCAAAAATCAATTTGATGTTTTACAAAATGAAACTGATGGTCAAGATTTCCATGGAATCAATCACATCAAAGAAACTTCAGCAAAAAAGGTAGTTCGACGAACTCAAGAGTTGTTAATGGATTATGACTTTAGTTTGAGTCATTTCAATGTTGATGATTTTCACACGGATTTATCCAGTGACGGATCAGACAGCATGGAAAAATTAATTCCACAAATTGACACGATGATTGAAAATCTCTGGAATAATGTTTCCTGCAATGGATTGATGGTGGTCATATTGGGAGGACATGAGAAGAATCCAAATGGAGTAACTATGGTTCGCGTAAAACCCTAAAAAAAAATATTTTCTATTATTTGATGTAAATAAAAATTGTCAAAAATGTATTTCTTGTTAGTTTTTTTAACGGTTATGAGATTTTTAAAAATTTCAGTAGATCTAAGAATTGTAGTAGAACTGCTCGATTTAAGAAGACTCTGAAGTCAATTTATGCAGCGGAAAGAAAAATCTTTGCGGTTGCAAAAGAAAACAATAAAAATTTATTATTAATAAAAGGTGTGTTATTAAAGGGCTCGTTTAAAATGTAAGTTGATGTTTATAACCGCTAATAAGTTTAAAAATTGAAAAGAAAACAAAGAGTTAAGGTGTTAAACAATGAAAAGCTTGTGTCAAACACGTTGAAAATATCCAGAGCTCAAATCATTCCAACAACACAAAGATTTATTGATTTAGTGTTGACAAGAGTGTTTCATCATCAATTTTTATCTATAAATAATTTGGAAAACATCATTTGATCAATTTTCCTTTTTAATCACGTTTATTACTATGCAAATTTTTCTTTTCTTATCGGTGACTTCATAAATCAATGTTTTTGTTTTTGGCCTATTGCCATCAAAAAAGAAAGGAATAATTTAACCTGACGTCAGAATATGAGTTTTCTTTTCAAGAAATTCCAGTTAGCAAGATGTAGCATCAAATTAGATTTATTAATTTTCAGAAATATCAGGAAAATGGAATCGTCAATTGATAATACTGGAAAATATTACCGAACACCCGAAAAACGGTGAGTAAAGAAAAAAGTTTTGTGCAACTTGACATTTTTATATGTGGTACCCTTGAGATTTGTCCAATCAGCTGTTTATATTATGTTTTCATTTCTAATTGCTTTCTGCTGAAGTTGGCGTGTTTAAATACGTCATACTACGAGTTGTAAAGTGTTTGTGTAGTTACAAATCACTCATACGATATGTCATTATCAATCGCGCTCTAAAATCAGTATAAGCAGAGTCTTGGACAAAATAAATATTGTTGATTTAGTTGTTGGCCTACACACACTTTCATGAACAGTTGAGAAAATCAACAACACGGCTTAAATTTATACTCAAAAAAGAAAAGAAAGAAAAAAAACTTGAGACGAGCGAGAAGGGGAGAAAATGAAATGAAAAAAATAAAATATTTGAATGCAATTTAAACTTGTTTCTCAGTGTAATACCAGTTGTCGAACATTTAAGAGATCGCTGAGTGGATTGAGAAAGAAAAAAGAAATAAATAAATATTTTTCGTATCTTCTGATTATTTATTTAAATTTGAACAGTGAACAAATAAAAGTAATCTGTTAAAACTATGCCAGAGGCAGCAAAAATCGAAGTTCATATTGATAAAAGTTCTGAAATCCAAGACATGCAATCCCATCAAGAAGATGATGATATTGCAAAAACTTCGTCTGAACTCGACCGTATTCTGAGTAACGGGCGCGATTTTTCGCCAATTTCCTACGAGGAAAATAATTTTGAATGTCACGAAAGTTTTTTTGAGAATTTTCATGCTGGGTATAAGCGTGAATCCGATCATAGGTGAGAAGTGAAGTTCAATTCCACGATCAATCGACATTTATGATTGATTGCAAACAAATCTAGCTCAATAAAACAACATTGAATTCTTATCAAGTGATAATAGCTTAGAAAATTATTTATGTAAATGATCTGAGTAATAATTCGCAATCGAAACGAAATATTTTAATCACTTTTCTTCACAACAAGCCTTTAATCGCCTAACAAAAGCGCTGACATTTTTTTCTTTTCTTTTTATTTAATCTAACACGTCATTTCTTCTCTATTTAATTCAGTTCATTCACATACAAAGTGCTTAATACGTGACGACACAAAAGACCAAATTGTTATGTTGATCAAAATATAAAGAAAAACGTGTCGCTAAACTGTAAAAATATTTTTGAATGCCGACGAAAATGAAAGTTAATTTAACTCTTTTTCTCGTCATATTGAAGAAAGTTTATGATTTTTCTTTAATTATTAATATTTATGAATATGATAAAGAAAAAGATCAAAAACCTGCTGTGAAAAATCCTGACCATGGTCAATGTCGAATTGTAAAAATTCATTTGCTGATTATTTTTTATTGGCCACAAATTAGCAACGACTAAGATAACAACAACTCAATTCATTCTTTCCTTCTCTTCAGAATATTCGTCAATCGTTCCCTTCATCTCGAAAATATTAAATTCTATGGCTTCGATATGGATTATACTCTAGCGGAATATAATTCCCCACAGTATGAGCAATTAGTAAGTCACAAATAGAAATAATTCATTTTTTCGGCATAAACATTTTTTTTTATTTACAATTTTCATCGTTCAGGGATTCGATTTAATGAAGAAACGGCTCGTGGATTTGGGGTATCCAGAAGGTAATTAATAATTCAAAATAAGACGCTTTAAACGACGAGAAGAAAATATGAAGTGGGATGAGAAAAAATTTATTGGCAAACATTTTTCCATGCTAAATTTTTTAATTTCGAGAAAATCTCGAAGGTGGAAATAAATTTCATTTTACTGGAAGATAATTTTATAGCTTAAAATATTTTTAAAGCGCAATAAACAGATCGCACGATCAACTTTTATTTTTCATTGCCACTTCATCATGTCTTCACGATTTCTGGACACAAATCAACAAAGATGTTCCATTAATTGATATTTTTCTCTCACTTCTACAGAAATTATGCTTTTCGAATATGATCCAGCATTTCCCATTCGTGGACTTTGGTTTGATTCGCATTTTGGAAATTTATTAAAAGTTGATGCTTATGGAAATATTCTCGTTTGTGTGCATGGATTTGAGTTTTTGAAACAGTAAGTGGTTTGATGGAAAGTTTTCATCATAATTGGAATTCTTACAATGTTTAAATTAAACTTCATAGTTCCAAAATTTACGAGCTTTATCCAAACAAGTTCCTCCAGTTGGACGAGTCACGCGTTTATGTTCTCAACACGTTGTTCAATCTCCCCGAGACTTACATGTATGCATGTCTTGTTGATTTCTTCACCAATTCTCCAAGGTATCAGCGTGATAAGACGGGAGTTAAATGTGGCGAACTTTTCATGTCATTCAAGTCAATCTATCAAGATGTGCGTAATGCTGTCGATTGGGTTCATATTCACGGTGAATTGAAATCAAAAACCGTGGAAAATCTCGAGTTTTATGTGAAGAAAGATCCACGATTACTGTTGGTTCTCGATAGAATTCGTCAGTCTGGCGCCAAAGTTTTTCTGCTTACAAATAGCGATTATAAGTTCACTAATAAAATTATGACGTATTTGTTTGATTATCCGCATGGTCCGCGGGCAGAAGATGCGCATAGAGATTGGAAAAGTTATTTCAACATTATCGTGGTGGATGCTAAGAAGCCGCTTTTCTTCGGTGAAGGAACAATTCTACGACAAGTCGACACAGCGACTGGCGCTCTCAAGGTCGGCACATATCTTGGTTCACTTCAAGAAGGTCAAGTTTACTCAGGCGGATCTTGCGATGTCTTCACAGCGCTTATCGGCGCGAAAGGCAAAGATGTTCTTTATGTTGGTGATCACATCTTTGGTGATATTTTAAAAAGTAAGAAAATTCGTGGCTGGCGAACGTTTTTGATTATTCCAGAGTTGGGACAAGAACTTCATGTGTGGACTGACGAATATAAATTGTTCCACGAACTTCAACAACTTGACATTAAACTTGGTGAACTCTACAAGTAAGTTTAAATGGTTAAATGAATTTTTAATTTTTATTTTATATTTCTTTCTTCAACAGAAATTTAGATTCAAGCGCTAAAGAAAAACCTGACATTAGCAACGTTCGAACGAACATCCAAAAGGTTACGCACACAATGGATCTTTCCTATGGCATGTTGGGTTCACTTTTCCGCTCAGGTTCACGTCAAACTTTCTTCTCTAGTCAAGTGGTTCGATATGCGGATCTTTATGCAGCGACTTTCTTGAATCTTGAATATTATCCATTCAGTTATATGTTCAGAGCTCCAGCGATGCTGTTACCACATGAGTCGACTGTCGCACACGCACACGAGCAACGACTCACAGATCAACAGGAACCGAAATTCTCACGAATGCGATCAATTGTCACAACGAAAAATGAACATTTTGAGCACAGCGAGAGTCTCGTTCACACACGTCCAACGACTCCAACAACAATTACACATTGTCACGATGAAGACATGGCTGAAGACGAAGATTCTGATAAGAAGTCGGAACGATCTGATGAAACTAACTAAAAAAAATTCATTTCGTACTTTTCTCTCGAATTGGTACAAAATCTTATTAAGTCATTCAGATTTATTTTTTATTTTTGTTACATAAATTAATCTATCGATTGCGTATTGTATTGTCAGACATAGAAGAACACACACACAAAAGAAAATTAATTTTTATGATGGAAAACTTCCTGAAAATGAAGAAGAATTTCCCAAAATGTGAAACTGTTGGTGGTCTTTTAAATAAAATTTTGGGATGAACTCTTCACCCATTCATTCGTTCGTAACTCTTCTCAAATTATATACCCTACTTTCGAATGATCCCTAAAGGAAATCATTATAAAAATTCCAGCTCAACCAAATAAAAATGAATATAAATCGAATTTTAAAAAGTTGTTCATGTCAGCAGTTTTTACAGATTCGATAATGCTCTGCAGACTATTAGTTGACATGACAAGCACACAAGAAAGAAGAAGAAGTAGTTGTTTAAAAAAAATATACAAAAGCAATTAGTTAATTAAGGTATACTTATTGAGTGAATTTCATAGAATGTAAAATAAAGAAAAGAAATAAAATTTGAATTTTTTAAAAGGATTTCTGAGTTTGGAATTTAATTAAAACTGAGGAAACTTTTACGCATTGATATGAGTTTGATTTGTTGATTGACTTGACATCATGATAACCTTTATGACAAGCTTTTCCAGGTTTTCTTGTTTCATTGAACTTAATTGCGATTTTTTTCTTTTACATAATTTCACTCACTTGATTTATGTGTCGCGATGATGTAAATTACCTTTAGGGTTGAGGGAAGCTATAATTAACTTAAATAAGACAGAATTCGCTTTTGCATTTTTCATAATTAAATTTTACATTTATTTTCTTTTTGTCACCGCTACTTTTAACAAGTATTAACTCTGTTAATGTTAAGAACTTCATTTCTTTTATAAATCAATGATATCAATCAATGAAAGTTAATTTTTTTTCATAATGTTTAGCCATAAAAACTACCAGCTATCATAAAAAGGTTTTTTTCTTTCCTTTCTTATTCATTTATCAGTTATTTGATTAAATGTTACTCAGTAAATCGTAGTAAATATTTTCTCCAAAGAAATAAAAAACAAAAACATGATACAAGGTTCATCATCATCTACAAACTACCTTCATTTTCTAAAAAGTGATACTATTTATTTATATTATTTATATCGGTTAAGATAATTAATTATTTTCCTTATGCATGATGAGAAGGAGACAAGATTTTCATTCTCATAATCAACGTCCCCATTATTTATCAACTACAACTGCATCATTTTAAAGCAACACTTGCTTTCGTCAGAATATAAATCAATGATTTTTCAAGTTCTTAAAAACGCTTACAGTTTAGGGGCTTCTGCTTAAGTGTTACTTTAGATTTGTTTTTAATTTTACTCTTCAACTATTTATTTATGTATGCATCATCAAATTACATGCAATTATTAAATTTAATTAATATTTTTTCTTTATCTTGTAAAGGTAGATTTTTTGCTTTCTTTCAGTGTTTTTTTTTTCTTTAATATTTTAATTATTTAGTCAGGGATAAATACTTTGTTAAAAAAAAACAACAAACAAGACATTCGTTCTAATCATCTTTCTTTTTTGATCTTAAACACAAATCAACAGTCAATTAAGCCTAAAAAGAATTTTTCCCAAAACTTGAATAGATAAATGATAAAAAAAATTAGAAAGTTTTATAATTAACTCCAGCCGGTGGTTGTTGATTCTTTTAAAGGGCTTTTCCACAAGATGGTTAAGTTGTTGCAACAAACTCCCACGAACTTTAAACATGACTTCACTATCAGATGTGACAACACTTCAACGAATGCTTTTTGAAGAAGAAAAATAAAACTTTCTCCTCTCGCTGATTCCATTATAAAAATTACATTTAGAATTAAAAAGTCGTTTTCATCATTTTTCATTAAATTTAAAATTTGTTTCTTTCCTTCCTCGCTCATACAAAAAGTGACTTCTTAAGACAAACACAAAACTTAATCGAAGAAAACAGTTTGAGTCGATAATCGATTATTTTCAATAAGGCAAAAGAGAATTTATCATCCTTACATCATTTCACTTTGAAAGAATGGGTTTTGATAAGAGTTTTTCATTCTTAAATTAGCTATTTTTCTTTTGTATCATGCTTACAAATTTGTATGACAATCATATAGTAGCTTTTACCTATATTGTTTTATCTTGGGACTATTTATGATCTAAAGATACTTTTTGTCTTCTCTTAATTATTGTTTCGTTTCTTTAATGTATTGACTTGGCTTCTCCTAACATCTGTTTATTATTCCTTTATAAATTTTAATTTAAACTAAAGCATTTCTTATCATGTTAAATCGTTTTACTTTCTTATTTTTTCCTTCATTTTTTTTAATAAAAACAGGAGACTTACAATTCTTAAACTTGATTTTTTTTTCATTAATCTTGCTGCTATATTTAATTTTCATTTAGATATTTAAATTAAAAAAGAGTTTAACAGTCTTTTGAATTTGCTTTTATTTTTATTTTTTTAATTTAATTCATTTTCTTCCTTTTCTTCTTCCTCTTTATGATTTACGCTTAGTAACAATTCAATTTTATTTTCTTATATTTTTCTCATTTAAGTAAGCTGACTTGTATCATAAATATTCGTGAAATCTTAAAATGAAAACCCGATAATGAAACATGCAATTGTCCCATGATAGTAAGTGTCCCTAACATTGAAGCTGTTATCATTGTTGCAATGCAATACCCGTGGTTGACCTTAAGTAAATTTTTTTAGATATAAATATTCGCTGACGCGAGATTTGAAGGGAGAAGAATTTAATTAATTTTATCTTAAATTTCGTGTACAAGAAAAAGAAAATTCTTTTCTATATAAAAATAGATAACAAAGTTTTACCCTGGCAACAAGTCCCACTTTAAGAAGCTTTGTTGTGGAGTTAAAAGTTCTTTCTTTACAACTAGTTAGTGAATGTTCAGCTCTTAGATCAGACAATGAAGAGACGAGACACAAAATCATTGCATTTCATAAAACTTTCTTGTCTGAGGTTTTAAAAATTAAGGATCAAGTGATTTCTAAAATCAGTTCCATGCATTCTTAATCAATCCTCTTAATATACTCTGCTTAGTTTGATTCTAAAATTAAACGTATAAATTCAGTTGGTTTTTTTCTTGACTCTCTAGAAAAGCTTCTTTTTCTAATTGAAATTTTTCTGTTTTTATACGTAAGTAAGTTTCTCTCTATTCACATTATTCTAATTCAGAAAGAAGAAAATTGAAACATAAAAAAAGAGATGAGAAGACATTTTAAAAAATTGCAACAATTGATTCTATTTTCTAAGGTCTATTAAAATCAACAATCACATGACTAATCATAACTCTGATTTCATAAAATTTCTTATCGATTATTCTCTTCTTCAGTGAAATGAAGTTTCCTTTTATTTTATTTGTTTCTTTAAATTTAATTTGATGAAATGTTGGAGGAAAAATAATTACTTGCCTTGAAGTTCTTACACCCGATTGACATAAATAAAAAAGAGCAAAGGTAAGTATTAAGTATTATATAATTTTATGTTTCTAACTTCTAAAGCAAGACAAGCAAGTTTGTTTTATTTATATCAAAGACAACTGCTTCTTTACAAATTCGCATTAAAATGTTTCTTTAATATTAGGAAGAAGGTAAAAAACAATATCATTAATTAATCAGGTCATGAGCGTGTTGTATAGGAGAATTTTTCTAAAAATGGGAAAATGCATTTTCATTTTATTTTTAATTTTATCAAAGACTTTTCTTCACACACTTTGTTTAACTAATTATTGTGTTTTCTTTCTTAATTGGATGTTACTGTAAAAATTGCAGATAATTTAAGTTTAATAATTTTCTTTTTGAGGAAAATGATTATATTACACAATTAATTTACGGTGATCGAAATGGAAAAGCATTTTTTTTTGTTAGCTCAGTCAATCCTTAAATGTTGTAAAAGATCATCACCATCATTTCTGTCGTCTCATGATAGTTTCGTCATCGTATCATCATCCAGGGAGTTTGTTGAACGTGTTTTTCAATAAGCTTAACTGTTAATTGATGTACAAGATTTTTTTTCTTCTATATTTAATTAAATAGCATGATTTTTCTTTGTTACATAATTATGTTTCTCCTTAAAGTTTCATAAAATATAAATTTGTTTAGATTTTTCTTCTTCTTTTTTTTAACAAGATATTTTTTATCATATGCGGAGATTTTCATATATTATTCATTTCAACAACAATTCTACCTTCAAGTGTGATTAAAATTCAATCCTTAATGATCTTATCTTTGCTTTGACACTTATTAATTAATTAATTAATTAAAAATTACACGCCCTAAACTTCCTTGTCGATTTCTTAAACGTTGATGAATGAATACAAAAAGGAAGTTGAACATTTTGATTTGTTTTTTGGGTTGAAACTGATAACTTTGAAAAGATGTTCTAATTCATCTTAAAAAGTTGTCTGATTAATAAGTAAAGTCGTTGCATATCATTTTATTTTCATTTCTTTTCCCGATCCCATTAACAAGCAATGCTGGAAAACAACAAACTTTTATGACGCATTCACTTAAAGAAAGAGAAAGTTTACTGAGCTCAGAAACAAGTATAATTATGTGGTTGCTCTTATCCCGAAGTTACAAAATATTTATGAAGTATGAGGAAAGGTTAAAATCAGTCAAATTCAAGCTCGAATGACTAACTTGCAACGATCCTAGAATTGATTTTTATTATCCTTTATGTATCTGGTCTCAACTTTTAATGTTAAAATTGTTATTATTTAAAGCAAAATAAAATATAAGATGAAGTATAAAAAAAACACACACACACAAAATAAAAAATTACAAAGAAAAACTTTGAGTTTGTTTGTTATTTTGTGAAAAAAAAACTATCGTTTAGTCAGTCATTGTGAAAAGTTTTTTTTTTTCATATTACGCTATTTCTTATCCATTCTTTGTAGGTGTTTCATTTATTGTTATTTTCTAATTAGGATTAAAGTTTTGCAAATCTAATAACGTCTTCTTCTTCTAGTTTTTATAACATCTTAATATCAAAAAGGACACTTAAGGAAAACATATGATTCATTATGATGAAGAAAGACTAACATAAATTATTCTTTTCCTACGTGTGTTGAATTTCGATATTAATGGAGAAGTTTGTTGATACCGAAAGTAACATTGACTGCTTTCCTGGATTAAATAAAAGCATTTGAATGTCTTATGAATGACAATAAGAATTTCTTTTACAACGAAAGACAAAAATAAAAAGTTTTGTGTCAAAAAGACTTTTATCGTCACCTCCTAGGTAGGTAGGTCGACACTTAAGGGATTTCAAGAAACTTCCCCGTAATATCACAACGATATAAGTATCTATGGGGTGTCATTGCTAATAAAACAGAAGGAAAGAATCTCTCCGGCTGCATTTTTATTTTTGTTTTCTTATCTTAATCAGAAGCTTTTCTTCTTTTTTTCATTTTCTTTCGCCAAATATTCTTTTTGCGTCTTATATGTAATATCGAAAGAAGAAGATATTAAAGAATTATGGAAGTTAAAGCGAGGGTATTTAATAAAAGAAAAATGAAATCCTAAATAAAAGCAACAAAAAAAAAGTAATCTGTAATAACTTATTAAAGAAAAATTCTTCAACATCACATTTGGTAAGCGCAGCCATATAAGTATAAAAAATTAAATTTAAATTTCATCTTAATTATGTAGGTAAGAGTTTGGATTATTAAAGCGGGGGAGTAGAACAAGGATATTATGAAATCAGGAAAAAAATAGAAATAAAATGAGGAAGAATTAAATAATTTCAAAAACATTCTTTCATAATTCTTACTTTGTCTTCCTAACACAATTATACAATTTCTTAAACATTTCTCATCTCCTTTGATCATGCCAGTGAGTGTTTCAAAATATTTATAATAATAATAATAATAATTTATAAAACAAAACAAATTTAAGTTTATAAGAAAAAAATAAAATCGTCATGAATGACATTTCGCACATTCTCGCTCTGCTTTCGATCATAAAAAAAATTCAACTCAATACGCGTAGAAAAATATTTTTTCGAGATATTTTCGACCGAAAATTAATTTTCTTCTAAAACACGTGGAAGTAATAACGAAAAGCGAAAAATTCTATTTCCGCGAACATTTCATTTGATCCCCGAGAAAGCGAGTAAAAAAAACTAAATTAATGGTCAAATATCGGAATTCAATGTTAACTATTTATCAACATTGCATACATGTGTGGGTGGATGTGTTCATTACTCAATTTGTTTTTCTTTTTAAAAATATTATTGGATTAAAAGTAGGTTTGTCAATGTTTTGACAATGTTTTTAATGATGCGATTAAAATGATTTAACGCGATATGTTATCAGTTGTTACACTGATTCAATAAATGTCAAGAAACCCATAATGAACAAAAACTTTTCTTACTTAAATCAGAGTTAAAAATAAAGAAAGAGTTAGATTAAAATGAATTTTTAATTACAGAACTACGAGCGATGTTTGTCATGACGATTTTATCTTCTGTTTAATTGTCTTGATATTTGAAATACAATTTTAGCTAAATGAACATGAAGAAAAAGATTAATATGAATTTTTTTTCCTTTTATCTTAAACAATAATCTAATCAACTTGTTGTGTTATTTCCTCAACACAAAATTACAAAATTTCTAAAGATATATAGTCATAAAAAAAGAAAACAAATTTTGGATAATTTTGTTATTATTTGTTTGTCTTGCTAACATTTCGATCTAATCTTGTTGCCTTAATAGCCTATTAAACTTATTTCAAATGTTTCATCGTGGATATTCTTTTCAATTAATTAATTAATTACTATTCTCATCAATTTGCATTATCATCTTGCGTTTTAGAGTTGCCGCCCCCACCCCAACCCTCCCTCTCTTCATCCTTTCCCCAAAACTTTTCAACTTTTTTTTTTCAATTTTGAGGATTTACTTTTTTTGTCTGAAAGTTTTTCTTTGTTTGCTTCATTAACAATTTGTTTCTTAATCGCTTATCTCACAATCGCCGGACATGTTTAATGGTTTGGTTAGTATTTTAAGAAATCATCTGTGAAAAATGGGAGAAAGTTTGTCAGAATTTTTGCTTAACTTTTTTTTTGCATTTTTCGACAAAAAAAAATATTTTTTTCATTTTTTATGTTTACTTAAACAAAACTCATTTGACTTAAATAATTTGCTTAATGTTTTGATTAAGATAACGTTTGTATTCATCACCTGACGCTTGTGGTGGATATTGCTGAGTCAAGTCGTTGGCCATGTTGCCATAGGATCGCGGCCCAAATGATTGCTGATCGTTTGTGTAATTTCCTAAATGTTTGAAATTGAAATTGAGTATTTTTCTATATCTTGAGTTTAATAAAGTTCTTGAAAAATAAGTTTTGATTTTAATCGAATATACAAGAAGGCTTTGCTTCATTTGAATTCACCCAAATATTGACAATGTCTGGATGGTGAACAATTTGAGCTGAGCAAGATGTTTTTAGAAATTTTCTTGTGTTCTCTTAATGACAATTAACAAATTAAAAAGAAAATTTACTAACCGTATCCGCCATAAGATGGATAATCAGATGGTGGTTTTGAATTGCCAGTGTTTGGTCCAGTTGGTGGTTGCATAGCTCCTGGGGGACCCGATGCTGACCCTGGACCTGATTGACGATTGTACATGTCATCTGGAGAACGAAATTTAAATTATTCATGAACAATTTTCAACCTTCAACAACTCACTTGATCCAGCAGATCCCGAATTTGTAAGTCCCCATGAATTCCAATTGGCACCACCACCGGAGCCTGCCGTCGGTCCACCAGTTGACGAATTGTACATGTCTAAAAAGAGAACATTTTGAATTTCATCGCAGCCAAATGAAAGTTTTAAATGTTTCTCACTCTCACCATAGGATCCGTATTGCTGTGTTTGTTGGGTTGGCGTGTTGTAATTGCCCCATTGATGTGGCGGTGGACCTTGTGGTTGTGGAGGTTGATGGCCCCATCCTTGATTATATCCTGGATTTGGATTGCCATATCCGTAATTCTGTTGTTGAGCGGCTGATGCTCCCCAACCTTGGTAACCTCCCATCATATTGGGCGCCATTGATCCCATCATGTTCATCGGAGGTGCATTCATTTGACCATTTGGACCTTGCATCATTCCAACTGGCCCTGGTGGACCCCAATGAGAACCAGCGGATTGATTCATTTCCTGATTCATCTTATGATTAGACGATCCATCTCGTGGTTCCGCTTTCTTGATCTCAACTTGCTTTCCATTAAGTGTGATGTAATGTTCAGTTGTAACTCGATCAACTGAAGCTTCATCTTCGAATGAAAGGAAACCAAAGCCTCTTGATTTCTTCTTTTCCTGATCATACATGATGACAACTTCCATCACTTTACCGTAACGTCCGAAGAACATTCTTAAGTCAGTTTCGGTGATGTTTGATGGAAGTCCACCTAAAAACCCCTTTGGAAAGGACCCACCACGAGTTTTTGGCTTTTGGAGAGTCCTTGGATTGCATTGCTTCGGATCGATAGTTCTGTTGAATGAAAGAAAAAGATGGAAAGAAAAAAACTTTATTATTGTTTGTTTAATTGAAGCATGACGTCACTCCATATGTTGTCAATTACATTAAGGTGAGGAAAAATGTAGGCGATTGGGAAATGATAAAAAATTTATGTACCTTCCATCCAAATTATGTGGACCTGATTGTAGCACGATCTGAACATTGTTGGTATCGGCAAATGTTCTGTGGGATAAAAATAATAAAGTTGTTAATAGAATTAGGAAGTTGATGAAATCATCAACAAAACAACATACATGAACCCAAATCCTCGAGACCGGCCCGTTTCGTTATTTTTCATAACAACGCAATCGATGACTTCACCATATCGGCTGAAGTACCGCTGCAAGCTGTCTTGGGTCGTTTCCCAACTCAGGCCACCGACGAAAAGCTTCCTGAAAACACCCACGACAAACGCATTAATTGCGAGCTCAAAATTATTTTTTTTTATCGCAATCAAAAGAAGAAAAAAATTGTCACATCATCAAAAAAAAATTGAATGGGATTCCATTTTTGAAAAATAAAAGTAAATTTTTTTCCGTCTTCTTTTCGTAGTCAAGGTTTTCACTTTCGAACAGCGAAAAAGCACATTTTTCGCTCAATTTAGCGCACCAGATTGCGACAGACTCACCCCTTTTCATCATCCTCCACATCAACGCCTGGGTTCATACGCATTTTTCCTCTGTGTGACTGAATTTTTGATGATTTTCTTGAACAGAACTTGAAGCGAAAAAAATGTGTTCCACGGAACCTTTTCTCACTTTTCTTTCACACTAATTTTTTTTTTGTCTTATTTACAAATTTTTCGTTTCTTGTAAGATTTTAATTTACACTTAAGCTTATCCTTAACGTCGAATAAAAGCTAGAATATTTTTTTGTTGTTTTGGGTGTTTTTTGTGTTGAATTAAATTATTGTAATGATCTAAAATTAAAAATAAAAAATTTTCTTAACTCTAGAAGAAATTTTTAACTCTGTATGACTTTTCAGGGCGGGTTTGTAGCTCATGTCACAATGAATAACATTTTTGACAATTTATTAAAAATCTCTTTTCAAATTTCTTTTTTTTCTTTAAAACTATTTAACCATTTAATTAAACTTTGATTTCTTAGAAAAGAAAGCATTGATTACACATATATTTAATAGATTTAAGATTATTACATTATTTTTTATAATCCCTCACAGATGTGAAGGGATTTCGATTTCGCCAGACTGTAAAGCGGGAAATTTAAAATCAGAAATGCTTAAAATTTAATAAATTGACTGCTGGAGTGTTAATTTATTTAAAGATTCAATATTAAACACACCTAGATTTGGCTATTCTTGAAACACTACTGACCTGTCAATTAACTAACTCATAGACTAACTCGATTTCAAATGGCTAACTTTTAAGAAAATTACTGGATAGCAAAGTCTGCTGAAATTTCATAAAATCAAAAGAAAACGAAGATCTACTGGAATGTTCATAAGATCTACTAAGATCTACTGTTTGTTTACAAAGTTTCGAAGTAACATTTGCAAAAATTAAAAACATTTATTGAGGATTTAAAACCGAAAGAAACAATTTAATCAGTTTATATTTTAAAATATTGATCTCTTCTGTAAGTAAAATATAAAATTGATAGTAAAAATTAATTTTTAAGGGATAATTTTAATATCTTCATAAACGTTTTGAATATTTTTTCAGGAAAAGCTGATATGGGAGGAGATTCCAAGAAAAGACGTTCCAGATCACGAGAACGTAATGATGGAAAGAACCGAGACAGAAGTGAAAGAGAAAAACGACGTGATAAGAGAAGATCAAGATCGAGAGACCGGCGTTCAAGATCAACTGAAAGAAATGAACGAGATAGACGAGATAATGATGACAAAAAACAACACTTAAATGATGAAAAATTGAAAGCAGAACTTAAGGAAGAAGAGGAGATTGTTGACGTTAAGAAAAAAGTTGAACCATTGTCTCTAGAAGAATTGTTAGCTAAGAAAAAGGCTGAAGAAATGGCTCGAAGCAAACCTGTGTTCATAACAAAAGAACAACGAGCTCAAGAAGCTTTGAAACGTCGACAAGAGCAAGTAGCAGCTATGCGTGCAAACATTCCAGCAGTTCCCAAGTTTGGAGATGTTCCAGTAACCGAAATACTCCGCAAGGAGAAGGATAAAGAGCAGTCAATGAGATCTTATGACAGAAGGGATCGTTTTGATGATCGAAGAGAAAGAGGCAGCGACAGATCAGCTCCAAATAGAGATCGAGAACGTGAAACTGAAAAGTATGTTGACGAAACCAACGTAAAGGATAAAGAAAAAGAAGTTGAAGCAATTCGTGAAAGATATTTAGGAATAATCAAGAAGAAGCGTCGTGTTCGTCGTTTAAATGACAGGAAATTCGTGTTCGATTGGGACACTAATGAAGACACTTCAAATGATTACAATTTACTTTACAAAGATCGTCATTATGTTCAGTTTTACGGTCGTGGTAACATCGCTGGCATCGACATTAAGGAACAGAAACGTAAACAAAGTAAATTTTACGGTGACCTTCTTGAAAAGCGTCGAACTGAAGCTGAGAAAGAACAGGAGAAAGTCCGCTTGAAGAAAGTTAAGAAAAAAGAAGACAAACAAAAATGGGATGATCGTCATTGGACTGAAAAAGACATCGACGAGATGACTGAACGAGATTGGCGAATCTTTCGTGAAGATTACAACATCACAATCAAAGGTGGAAAGATTCCAAATCCATTTAGAAATTGGGTGGAATCAGGTTTCCCGAAAGAGATTCTCGACATCATTGATAAAGTCGGCTACAAAGATCCGACACCAATTCAGCGTCAAGCAATTCCTATTGGATTGCAGAATCGCGACATTATTGGTGTTGCTGAAACGGGATCTGGAAAGACGCTTGCTTTCCTTATTCCTCTATTACCCTGGATTCAAACCCTGCCGAAACAAGAACGACAGGAGAACATTGATCAAGGACCGTATGCCATCATTCTTGCACCCACTCGTGAGTTAGCACAACAAATTGAAGAAGAAACGAAGAAGTTTGGAACTCCGCTTGGAATAAGAACTGTCGTAGTTGTTGGTGGTTTATCTCGTGAAGAACAAGGTTTCCAACTTCGTCTTGGTTGTGAAATTGTTATAGCAACTCCAGGTCGTTTAATTGATGTACTTGAGAATCGTTACTTAGTGTTGAATCAGTGCACCTACATTGTGATGGATGAAGCTGACAGGATGATTGACATGGGCTTCGAACCTGATGTTCAGAAGATTCTCGAATTTATGCCGGTGACAAATCTCAAACCAGACACTGATGAAGCTGAAGACGCAACAAAGTTGATGGAAAATTTCAACACTCGAAAGAAGTATCGACAAACTGTCATGTTCACAGCTACAATGCCGCCAGCTGTTGAAAGATTGGCTCGAACTTATCTTCGACGACCAGCAACTGTTTACATTGGTTCCATTGGTAAGCCAACAGAGAGAACAGAACAAATTGTTATGATGATGACAGAGAATGACAAACGAAAGAAATTGATGGAATTATTGCAACGTGGCTTGGAACCGCCAGTTATCATCTTCGTCAATCAAAAGAAGGGCGCGGATGTGTTGGCAAAAGGCTTGGAGAAATTCGGCTTCAATGCTTGTACATTGCATGGTGGTAAAGGACAAGAACAGAGAGAATATGCTTTGGCTTCACTTAAAAATGGATCGAAAGATATTTTGGTCGCTACTGATGTTGCCGGTCGGGGTATTGACATTAAAGATGTGTCAATGGTCATCAATTATGATATGGCGAAAACAATTGAAGATTACACACATAGAATTGGTCGAACTGGTCGTGCTGGAAAGAATGGAGTTGCAATTTCATTCTGTACAAAAGACGACAGCGGTTTGTTCTACGATCTTAAGCAATTAATTCTTTCGAGTCCAATTTCTAATTGTCCACCGGAATTGATGAATCATCCCGATGCACAACATAAACCAGGAACTGTTGTCACTAAGAAACGTCGTGAAGAGAAAATTTTTGCGTGAGTAGTAAAGTATTAAATTAATATAATTAACCACAAGAGTTAGATTAAACATTAAATTAAATTTAATCTTATTTTTAAATCGGATTAAATTTTAATCGTGATTAACTTTTTAAGTCTTTTTGTGAAAAAAAAAACTGCGATTGAGCACTCACATCAATCGGAAGCTTTAAAAACATTTCACTTAGAAAATACCAAAGATTCATAAATCACTCTCCAATTAGAAGATCGGACCGAAAATTACTTTGATTATAGCTTGGCGATTTATAGAAAATTATTTCAGGCCTTGCGGGCGAGTTTCAAATCTGATAATTTCTTTGGCGCTCAATAATTTCTTGATTTTGATTAAACTCGAGAAAAATATTTATAAGAAGCTAGAGATTATTATCTTTTCTTGTAAAGATTGCTTGTTACGATATTTTCATGTGGGTTTTCTTAATAATTTCTTTTTTTCTACATTTTTGCCAACAGGGACTAAAAAAGTGATTGGAAATTTACTCAACAACAATTTACTTCGCTGACCATTATCTGGGAGTCGGAAGTCAACAAAGTGTTAAAATATTTAAGCTGTCTCTTTGAAGAAAATTTATATAAAAATAAATAAATCTAAAAGAATCAAAAAAATGTTTGCAGTTGATGTTTTAAGAAATCGAATTTATGGGCGGAGCTTATTTGAATGTTTCATTGAAGATGTTTTGGTTTCTTAACAAAACATTCACCCATGCATAACTCTCTCTGCGGAGTTCTGATCACAATATTTCTTACAAAGTTATTATCCACGTGTTTAACACAGCAGCTCTTTAAACTTCCAAGCAGATGATGCTTTAAATTATATATCTCGGTGCTTCCATCCTGTGATATCGTGATATGCAAAGATCTCTTAAAATTGTGATGTAAATGATAGTACTAAGTAAATATATGTGCGGTTTTGTTTTGTTTAGCTAAATCGCCAGAAAAACTTGCAACAATAGAGGATTTCGGATACATGAAAGTGTTTTTCTGACAATCAGACAAATGGTAAATTTGACGTTTCATCATTAGATGCGTGTTTTCTTTTATGAAAGGAAACAATTTATTTATTTATTGTCTTGTCCGATCATTAGCATTACATTTTGTTTTTTGCATAATAAAAATTGCTTTTGGTGTTGGCAGATGTAGAGCATCCTTTTTACAAGAAGAACCTTTGTTCTTCTTTGCATCCAACACCACGAATGTTACTTGAGTTAACAATCACCAAATGTGGTTCGACATCAATCTTCAGTTTATGCTTTTCAAGCCAAATGACGATATCGGCAAGGGTTGTGCAATAAAATTCGTTGTCGCTTAGTTGAACATGTTTCAAAGATTTCAATGGATCTAAAATGCCATCAGGAAAGATATGTTGACGAAATCGATAAATACGATTACCATTTAAGATCAAATGTTTCAAATTTTGTAACGATATTATCGACTTCAATGTAAAGTTTTCAAGTTTGTTGTAAGACAAATCAAGAGTCACTAATGATTCCGGAAACATTCCATATCGAACATTTAATGAATTATTTCCCAAGATTAAAGTCTTCAACCCTTTCAATTGTCCTAAAGCTTTATGTGGAATCACACTTAACAAGTTATTAGATAAATCAAGTTCTTCTAAATCATTTAAGTTATCAAATGCATCCATGTCGATCTCTTCAAGGTCGTTATGGTGAAGTACAAGTTTTCTTAAATATCTGCATGGAGAGAAGATTCTCGCTTCTAACGTTCTCAGTTTATTATCACTGAGATTGATGTCTAATGCATTTGAAGCATTCTGGAAAGTGTTTGGTGGAAGTTTAAGAAGGCCAATGTTGCTTGCATAAAGACTGTTGATGGCTTGATATTTGTTAAATAAATTACTTGGAAGTTCACTGATTGTTGTATTCACAAATCCTACGCAATCAAGGCCATAGTTTGTTTCATCAAAATTTAAAATCAAATTTGTGTTCTCATCAACATGAATATGCTCAAAAAAGCAAGAGAGTCCATTTATGCAACGATATGGCAAATTAACGATTCTCGAAATGTCGTAGTTTGGATTACACTTCAACTCAATCACTCTCGACTGCGCAAATACCACAAGACAAACGGAACTGAAACTGATGATTTCGTTTTAATTTTGCATAATTTACGGATATAATTTAATTGCAATTACCAAAGAAAGAAAAGTTTCATTTCTAATTAAAAATATGTTTGATGCTTTTGCTTCAAAATAAGGCCAACGACTAACTGACCGACTTTAATTTCCATCCAAAAAAACATTCAAAATTCTCGCATTCTTTCAACTGATAAGGTCAAGAAGAATTTCAGTTTTTGTTGACGCGGGAAATAATCTAGCGCCGAAAACTTTGTTATTTCGAAATCAGAAACTTGAAAGCTGTGATGAAATTAAAGTTTACATTCTTGTCAAATGTTTATCAGAATTGAAGCTTTTTGGATAAATTTTAAAAACAAAATTGTTAATCAATCCAATGACAGAACTTTTCTTCGTTCACATCAAGTGTTTCTTATTAATTTGTTTATTATTTATTTATGAATGAGTGAATGAAGGAAAGCAAACGGAATAAATCAAGTTAAGAAAAGAAATCCACAAACGAAGAAATTGTTTTTATGATATTCAATTTCCACAATTCATTAATGAAGAATAAAATAAAAGTAGCCGTAAAATTATTACAAATTACATCCGAAAATAAAGAGAGAGAGAGAATCGTTAGATGAATACGCGCTGCGATGTGCTATGCTGTTGGTTGGTGCCCTCCGGTGTTACTTTGGTGCTTTATTGGATAATTTTTGCTCATTACCAGGCGCCCAATTAAGGAACGAGATGATGAAACTCTTTTATTGATGGGAAACAAAAATATTTTGACGGACAAGAAGCAAGAAGCGGGAAGTTCTCGTTTACATAAATTTGAATGTAAATCTGTGAAATGTGCTAACGAAATTAAAATTCAATTTGAGAGTCTCATTTAATTCAATTGATTTCAAAACACTTTTGACTGTTAATTTTACTTATTATAATACAGTGCAAGCGCGATTAGCGAAATCTCCTTTAGCGTAAAAATTTAAAAAAGCTCGTTAAATTTCGACATCACACTCACATTTTCGAACAATTTTCGTTCGTTTAGAGAAAAAGTTTGTTGACTCCCTTCAGCTTTCGCTAATCGCGCTTGCACTGTAATTTCATAATTATTTTTGGCTATTATAGCCAATTATTTAAATCATATTGAACAATAAATTAAAATATTAAAACAGTTGAAATTTAATTCACTTTGGTTGAGTACCTGAAATGAATTTAATATTATTGATTGCTTATTACATGTTCATGATGCTGACTCATGTCATCAACGAGAATCACTTTTGAAACGGAAGGACAAGGAACATATAAGAGATCATTAATTCATTTAATTTAATGATCTTTCATGTATTCGTGAGAAAAGTTCGATCTTCAAATATATTTAGACATGCTTATGTAGATGTTGAACATTCTGTTGTTGGTGTTATTTAAGCAGCTTGATTTTCAGTATTTCTTTTTATTCTTGTAACCGATTCACAAGAAGTAAGGAAGGGTCAGCACTGAAGCATAAAAGGATGATTTCATTTATGAAAGACTCGTGCCTTTGCCACTCGACCAAATATATTTTTTTAAAACTAAAACTTTTACATTTACGGAGGCCCACCTTTGGTGAGGTCACCGTATTGTATTCGACATTTTTTTTTGGAAATTTTTTTTTGCTTAAATATGCTTAAAATAGCATGAAACGTCGAGAAAAGTGGAAAAAATGGACTTCCATTTTTCCGTCGCCTTTCAACCCTGTCTGTATGTATGTATGTCTGTAACTTTTTTTTTGTTAACTTTTCTGAGAATTCTTATCAGGAATTTTTCTGAGAATTCTTATCAGGAATTTTTCTGAGAATTCTTTCTAGAGTATTTCCGAGAATTCTTTTGAATAGGACGATCGGTGCGCGTGTGGGAGAGTGAGTGGAAGACCAAGGACAGTCGGAAGGTCCATGGACAGTCGGAAGGTCCATGGACAGTCGGAAGGTCCATGGACAGTCGGAAACTCCACACCGGCCGGAGTAACTTAAAATTATGCATGCATAATTTGAAGCTCCCCATGTGGAGCTTCCCCATCTCCAATTTTATTTGGTTATTAAATAAGACGTACNTTCCATTAATTATTTGATCGATATGTTGTTACAAATAATAAAAAATCGAGCAATGTCTGCTTCAAGTGTTCGTCAAAAGCCATCCGATGACGCTTTTTACGAGAATTTGACTTTGGGATTAATTAAAGTATTAAGCAACATACCACGAATAACGAACATTAATTACGATAAAAGAAATCCCGCTGAAAGAAATAGTGTGAATGCTTGGGAGTCGCGACACAACGTCATACTTCCACCTGATATGAAAGCATTTTATCTTTGTACCGACGGATTTTGTTTATTCTGGTCTTACGAGTATTCAGCGAATGATGTTAAGCGTGTTGGTAAAATTCATATTCCTCATTTGATTCAAATTACGTTAGTACGCGAGAATCTTGAAACGATTATGGCATCACCAGGAAATCAAAACTCACCGAAACCAACGATTTCAATCGCGAACGATGCAATTCCACCGTTAAATCTGACAACGAAAAGTAAAATCTTCGAATTGAGCAACATTTTAGAAATGGCAAAAGTTGTGATGCTTTATGAAACACCTGAAGCATCTCCAAGGATTTATTTACTTGAGATTGACACTTTGAAACTTCAATTTCTTGCTGACACATTCTCGGAATATCTACGAATGGCGATCGCTCATCTTGGCCTCCCTTACTGGGAACTCTGCTTCTCAACAGCGTGTTCATTACCAACATGGACGCAGGTAAAATTTTTACAAATGAAATAAACTCAACGAACACCTAACGGATTGAAATATTTTTTCATTTTCATTTCTTAGCAATTATTTTTACTGTTGGCTCCACATTTACTCGAGAATAATGAACCAAGACGAAATACAAGAAGCTTTCATAATGGAACTGATGAAACTCCACCGTTTAATACTTTAGATCCATCAGTTTTCAGAAACAAACCGAAATCATCGAAGACACCTAAAAATCGTTGAAAATTATTTCGACACGTGTAAGATTGCAAAAAGAACGAAAGATCTATCAAATGCAATCTTTTCCATCTTTCATTTTGATTTATTTCCTACTCGGATTTAATTATGTGGTCAACAACAAATGAATCGACTGTCAATACCTAGTTAGGCACAAAATATGATTGATATCAGATTGTGTTCGGACAGTTCCTTGAAAAAAGTTTTCGGAAACTCATAAATAAAACATTTATCTAATAAAGCGATATTTCATGATTTTCACATAATGTTTTATGTGGGGATGAATTTAACATTGTTATGAGACCGCAACAAATTCTTCTCAAAGACCATCAAAGTCATGAAAGCGTTTAAAATGGGACGAACCTAAACTATTAACTAAACAGATCCAAACTCTATAATCACAACATTTTAGCGCCATGCACATTGCGAAAAAAACATAAAATTTCTCATGCTTCATTTAATATCAGCATTTGTAAAGAAAATAAAGAAAAAGGTTCATTCAGGTCAGAAAAAGTATCGAGAAATTCTTTAGACTGTTCGTCTTTAACAAAAAGTTTTTTTAGAAATTTCAGCAGTGATAAAAATTGAAATTTTTCAATTGAAGTTTAATTTGTGACATTTTAAATCCCAATTAAATTGGTAGCTATTGTCAATGATCCAATGACAGAATTTCTCGTCTTCGTTCACATCAAGTGTTTCTTATTAATTTGTTTATTATTTATTTATGAATGAGTGAATGAAGGAAAGCAAACGGAATAAATCAAGTTAAGAAAAGAAATCCACAAACGAAGAAATTGTTTTTATGATATTCAATTTCCACAATTCATTAATGAAGAATAAAATAAAAGTAGCCGTAAAATTATTACAAATTACATCCGAAAATAAAGAGAGAGAGAGAATCGTTAGATGAATACGCGCTGCGATGTGCTATGCTGTTGGTTGGTGCCCTCCGGTGTTACTTTGGTGCTTTATTGGATAATTTTTGCTCATTACCAGGCGCCCAATTAAGGAACGAGATGATGAAACTCTTTTATTGATGGGAAACAAAAATATTTTGACGGACAAGAAGCAAGAAGCGGGAAGTTCTCGTTTACATAAATTTGAATGTAAATCTGTGAAATGTGCTAACGAAATTAAAATTCAATTTGAGAGTCTCATTTAATTCAATTGATTTCAAAACATTTTTGACTGCACTTTAATTTAGTTGTGAATATTAGATCTGGCGTAAGGCGAGGAATTATTAATCTTTTTATTAGGAACAATGTTCATTGAAATGTAAAATCGAAGACATTCAAAGCTTGTCAGCTTAAAGCTTATTATTGATTTAGTTTGTTGTTACTTAATAATTTCAGATTTTACAAACTTTAAAATTAAACAAAATATTCCAAGAAAACTTCAAATTCAGAAGAAAGTGACAAACATTCATGAGTGTTCAAGATGTCAAGGTATGTGACATTTATACTCTCATGAATTCATAAAAACAACTGATAACATAAATTTCTTATAAAATTAAAAATATTATGATTTTCTCTCCAGTTGAATCTGAAAGTGTCACGAGAGAAGTCGGAAAATAAAATTTCTTGTTCGTCATGAGAATAAAATTTGTTGCTTTATTTTTTGCAATCTTTTCATTATTTCAAGGTTTAATTGCGTAAGACGAAATAAATTAATGATTTTGATTGTACAACTAAATAAAATGTACTCGAATTTCGAAATTCAAATTTTATTTTCAGAGACACTACTAAAAGTCCTGAAATTAATGATGGTCGAGAAGATGGTAAAGTTAAAATAGATTCGACAATTGAAAGTTTCTTTATAAACTTTAATCATTTTTTAGAATCCATTTGCACGCCATACGACAAAGCACCAGCTGCAAGTACATTGCAATGTTTGCCACGAAATTGCACAGCAATCTGTGCATCAAAATATAAATTTCCCAAAGGTGAAACCAAATTAACAATTAATTGCATCGACAATAAATGGGTGATGGATAATCCGAAGTACAAAACTTACAAAGAAATTCCAGGATGTGAACGTAATCCAAATTTATCTGCTTAAGTTCTTAATAACTAAATGATTTCTATCAGCAATTTGCAGCCCTGCGTGTGCAAACAAAGGAAAATGTGTCGCTCCTAACCGTTGTCAATGCACCAGAGATTGGCAGGGAAAGCATTGCCGGGAAAGAGCATGTCGTCAATTTCCTCCTATGACTCGAAATGCTAAACGTTCATGTAGACCTTCGTGAGTTTTAAAAGCTTTCTGAAATTATTTTTGTCGTCATCAACTAACAATTACAGACAATGCACCATCAATTGTATGCCAGGAGGTTTCAAGTTCAAAACATTAGCAACAAGGATGAATATTCAATGTAAAAATGGAAAATGGGTGTCAACAACGAAAAACTTGGCATTAAATTCTCATTGTGAACGTAAGACTTATTTTTGAAGAGCGTTAAGGCAACCAAAACAATTCCATGAAGCTAATAACTGAATATCGTACAAAATCTAAGCAATGTAAAGAATCAAAAATTCACATTTTAATTCAGTTATGGCCGCATGGAAAAGTTTTGTGGAAATCACGTCTTGAATAGAACTAAATAAATAATTAAATTTTTTTTTTTTCACAGCTTATTGTGCAAAAAAATGTCAAAATGGGGGAAAGTGTGTGGCATATAATAAATGTGCATGTCCCGATGATTTCAGAGGTGATCAATGTCAACATGAAACTGAAAACTGTTCACCAAAGAAGAGCAATTTTAATGGAAGTTTCAATTGTTCTGGTTCAGAGACAGTAATGAGTTGTTCGTTGTCATGTCCGGAAGGCGTTGACTTTGATTTTCCGCCAAGTTCGGTTTATAAATGTAAATTTGCTGAAGGAAATTTTACTCCATCACCGCTTCCCAAATGCATGTATGGAGAAGGTGTAGAAGTTGTCGAGACAAGAATTTCACCGGAAGAAACAAAACCTGAGAAGTTGACGCATATTCAACCTTCTTCAAGTTCAAGTTTATGCAGTGAACAATGTCAAAATGGTGGAACTTGCATTCATCGTAACTTATGTCAATGTACTCAAGAATTTGCTGGTCCCCAATGTCAATATCCAGTCTCACGATGTGCTCCAACAAATATCGGATTTAATGGTGCATATAGATGTGCAGGAACTTCTGATGACATGACATGCACATTGAGTTGTCCTGAAGGAATTCAATTTGAATCTCCACCAGCTGCTGCATACAAATGTGAATTCGCCACGGGAGTGTTTACACCATCAAAAGCTCCGAAATGTGTTTACGGTTTGATTGCAACATTTGTTTACAGTCTGAATATTTATTTTATTTTCTCTTCTCAAAGGTGAAGGAGTTCAAGTTATTCAAAGAAGTAATTTCCATGATGATAATGTCGAAGGTAAGATTTCAATGCAAACTTTGTTCTTCTGATGATAATTAAGTATTAAATTGGTTCTGAAGAAGTGACATGCAATCCACCATGTGAAAACGGAGGCTCGTGCGTATTTCATAACATGTGTCAATGTCCGAAGAACTTCCGAGGTCCACATTGTCAATATTCAGTTGATAGATGTTCAATCAAAAGCGCTGGTTTCAATGGAGGTTTCAGATGTTCTGGATCTTCAACTGAAATGAGTTGTACTTTGAGCTGTCCAGAAGGTGTTGATTATGAATTTCCACCAGCACCGAGTTATAAATGCAAATATGAAACGGGAAAATTTACACCATCGCCGATTCCAAATTGTGTTTATGGTGAGTTGATCAAAAAAGTTTTTCATTTGAAGATTAAGAAATAAAATATTCTAATTAACAAAAATTAGGTGACGACGTTGAAATCATAAGAGTCAAACATTAAACATGTTCGAGTGTCCGAGCAAACTTAGAGAATATTTTTGTGAAATTAAAATGTTGAAATTTAATAAAACTTTTTTTGGGTAATTTAAGAATAAAATTGTGACGCGAAAATTTTATTTTATTTCATTCATGATGAACGTTTCAGCTGCCACGCGCTCAATATTCACCCTTACATGAAACTCATCCCAGTTAATTTAAATTCCAAAAAAAAACAAAAACTGTTGCGATCGTTATGGTTCAAGAAATATGATCACAAGAATGAAATGTTTAATTTTATGAAATTCATATGGATAGAACGTGAAAGCGTCAGTTGGCGAGTGTTGCAACAAGAGAAAAAGAATCATTAAGTTGATGAAGCAGTGAATGGAAATTAATTCTTGTATCTTTGTTTATTGAATTCCTTCACTCATTTTTATTTATCGCCATCGATTAAGGACAAGAAGTTATTGCAGATTGATGAATCAGAGCATGAAATAAGATAAGATCAATTGAACAACAACCAGAAACATAACAGACCTTAATGATCATCGAAGGCCTTTCATATTTATTTACATTCCTAGATCATCGGTAACAACTTTGATAAAATATTACCAATTTAGCCTTTTTTCCCTTTTTCAAAATATCATTTCTTGACTTCAATAGGATACGAAGCTTCTGTTTTGTTAAATTTAAAAGTAAACAAAGTAAAAGATGACTCGGTAAAATTTTCAGGAAACGTCCCGTGCTGTCGCTTGAACTTTGTATCCCTTCATTATCCTTTCTTTTTGATTAAGATGTGAGATTACATCCGATCGTGATTTTCAATTTTTGAAAGAAATCGAGCAGACGATGCGATGTTGCATGATTGAGACACACTGAAAAGGGAAAAATGAATGAATTATTTACTAAAACTAAAAGCATTTTAAAAACAATACACGCAACGTAAATAAATCATAAATTCGACTTGTTTTAAAGCATGTCGTGCGTACTTAAACTTACTGCTACAACAAGCTTCTAGTTAAATGCGGATTAGAAAATTGAGCTCAATTTTACACTTCCATCGGCCGAAAATCTTTTCTTCCTCAAAATCGAGACGAATCGTCATTAAATCTTCAAATTGTTGTATTTCCAAATCTTTTTTTTACCTTACAAGCAATTGTTGACGTCTCAAAAGTAGCGAACACGATCGTATTAAAACGTGAAACATTAATGATCTTTAAACTTCACATTCTAAAAGAACGCAATTTGTACTTAACAAGACGTGATTTGAGTTTGTTAGAAGAGAGTTCGAGATGATTGGCTTAGACTTGGAATGAAAAAATTATCTACAAAGTTTATCTGATATTTGAAGTGAAGGCTGAACAGCTTCAAAGTAATTAAACCGAAAATCGATCCAAATGTCGATGAGTCGACATAAACAATTTTAATTATTTGAATTAAATGAATTGAAGTTTCATTATCCCGATTATGGAATTTGTGAATTATGAATTTCAAAGATTTACGGAACGTGCTGTGATTAACGAATATTTTCATTATTTTATACAAATCGAAGATTCATAACTGAAGAAGAATTCTCAAATTTTTATTTTATTTCGCTAAAAGTTCTTACAAAAGGATCAAGATCAATCAATAACTTCCGAAGTTTGTAAAGATTTGAAGGATCCTCCCTCAACATTAAATATCTGTTGCACAATAGAAATTGTTTATCTTAAGTGTTTTCATAATTTCTAGTGATTTTCCAAACAACAAAACCACATTTGAGATTCGTGCAGTTTCTGTCTTAAGGGCCAATTGAAGCAATAATAAAAGAAGCCGCAACACTATTAAACTTTTTGTTATCATTTCTATTCTTCTTCTTCCGTTTCTCTTTAAGAATCTTCGGCCTCGAATCTCGCTTTTCGCTTCTCACTTCTCACTTCTCGCCTGAAACCAGTAAATGCACCTGAACATGAACATTTTCCACCACAAAACTTTTCTAAATTGCATTCAATTTCAGTTTTTTGTGGTGTTTGATCGTGTGAACTTCCAGCTAATGATTGTCGGATCGAATCTAATCGCTTTTTTTCTGATGTTTTGTTTGTTAAATAAACATTTCAGGTGGTTGTGGATGTAGATTCATCATTGCCACTTAAACTGCAGCGGAGGAATGTTTTTCTCATTGTTGTTTGATTTAAATCAGGTGAGTAGTGAAGAGAAGAAAACTAAATCGGATCTTGTGGCTAATGCGGAGAACTTCTGCAATATTTATTGTGATGGGTCAACAATTGTGTCAGAATCATTTAGAGATCTGATGAAGATTTTCATTCTTTTCTATTCACAATCCTCCGTTCGATGAAACACTCAAATGGGATTGAAGAATCAGCATAAAAAGTCATTAAAGAAAGATGAGATATTCCCATAAGTCGCTTTAAAGTCTTTCAATTCAATCGCCGTTCGATAACAAAGAAAGAATTTTTGGGTATCTTCTTGACTGACAATTGACTTGCCACTTACAAGCGATCCGATCTTAATCACTCTNCGGAGTAACTTAAAATTATGCGTTAGCATAATTTGAAGCTCCCCATGTGGAGCTTCCCCATCTCCAATTTCATATTGAATTTTTAGTGACAGCGAAAAAAAAATTTCTTAGTTATTAAAAGTTTTAAAAATTCAACTTTCAGGATAAGACAAATTCATGTTTAAAGAAATGTTTTCAGAGCAAAATTTTTCTTTAACTTGTACAATACCGTCACGTATCTTAATGAAGACATCAACAATAATTCCTTTTAGGGATGCATGCACTCTGAATTTTAAATGAACTCGAAAACATACAAAAAAATGTCAACTTCTTCTCCTTTCCTTTATCAAAATGTTTCAATCAAAATTTGGTAACTTACTGCTGTGCCGGAATGTTGTTTGGGCTTTATAATAGTTCTGATGATGTCTGGACATCTTTGCAGTTATTCATTTGATTTATTGCCTTTTTTTCTTTTGTTTCAAATTTGAAGAAACGAACAAAAATATAATAAATTCCAACAAAGCAATCGTAAAACATTATTGAAGCATAAAAGTTGTTAAAATCAAATTGAGAAGTGAGATTGATTCTCACATGAATAATTTATGATTCAATTAAGGTATGAACTGAAACAATTAAGGAATTCTTTGATAAAAAATTTGAGACTGAAAGGAAGTCCAAACTGTTAAAATTTACAACTTCAAGGAAAATAAATTGACAAAATCTTTTGATCGACAATCTATTTCTCCCAGGTCATTCCTGATAAATAATGTTGAAAACACGAAGATGAGTTTGATGAAAAGGAAAAGAAGAAAGTCGTAAAACTTCACTAATGACTTTTGCACAATTCTTCGATAAGTAAGAAATGGGATTAAATGAATAAAAAAGAAATCAATAAACATTCTTTCTCTTTTCTAATAACAGCAATTAGATATCTTAGATGAAAGTTATTGAGAATGAAATAGTTCGATAACATCAAAATAAATAAATTGTTGAAAGCTTCTGGGATCCAATTTTGTGTCATAAATTTCTTTAATTACAAACCTTTATATTTGAGGCTCAAACCTTGTCATAAATTTTAACTGCCGAGAAACCGAAAATTGTCGACACGTTTCTTCTGTTGTTGCTGTTGCTCGAAAGTGATCATTAACGATCACGATAAGAAACTTTCTGTCCTTTCTGTTTTGTTTTGATCCTTAATTTACATTCATTCTGAAGATCAAATTTATTAACAGAGGCAAAGTTTCACAAGGACATGATTTTCCAACAATCATCGCGTGCTGTTGAATATTTCTTGAAAATTTTAAGCAACTCAGAGAGTGAAATTACAAACGAGAAATTTGAAAGATAAAAAGGATAAACTTTGTGAGAAAATTGAATTGAAAAACTCTGTTTAAAGATGTTTGATGATCTTGGACAAACTAAAAGGTTCGCATAAATATTTATGCATGAAAAATATGCTGAATTACGAAATTGGATTTTAAACATCTTTTAACAAACCAAATGTAAGTTAACTGTCTTCATTATGAGTTTTTATTTTCTTTTTGCTTTCACACAACTAATGGAATAAATTTAAATTTCATGATTTCAACGCTATTTTGAGAAAACTAGATTTGGAAAATTAAATGAAATTGAAACAAAGAAAGAGATGAAAATTAGTTTTTCGATAATCGTTTCGTAATCTCACATGCGTAGTTATTTATGCCGAAAACGAAACAATTGTATGATTCTGCAATAAAGAGCCTGAAACTTCATTGAGAACAATGATGAAAATAATTTGAATTCCCTTCGTCATTCTCAGTTCAAGGTTCACATATATGAATAACTTTGATGATTCTATAAGAACCATGCTGATTATAATCGAAGGGAAATCTTAGCAGGATATTTAACAGCTTCAAAGTACAAAGTGCCGAATATTAAGAATTCAAAAGATCACCCGGCAATTGATCCGAGTGGCGTTAATCTTCAATGAAAACTTCCAACACTTCTGAGTTCGTATGACGATACAAATCGAATATCATCCAAACTAAACATCCACAAAATTAGTTTATCCGGCAATTAATTTTTTCATTGTTGTTCTCTTTTATTCAAAAATAAGATTATTCAATAACTTCCGAAGTTGCTTAGGGTAGGTGAAGCATAAAGAATTTAGATTTTGAGATAAGAAAGATGAGATGTCGATATTCATATCATGTTGAAGTTTTCTGAAGACTCACAACAAATTGCTGCTTCACTGTTCATTTTCTCTCCTTCATATAACAAGCTCAAGTAATAAGCCTTGATAGCTCAAAACCACAATCGAAATTCGTGCAATTTTGGTCTCGTTTAAGAGTCAATGCGATTAATATTTTCACAGAATTCGTATCTACAGCATATAATAAAACTTTTTGTTATCATTTCTATTCTTCTTCTTCCGTTTCTCTTTAAGAATCTTCGGCCTCGAATCTCGCTTTTCGCTTCTCACTTCTCACTTCTCGCCTGAAACCAGTAAATGCACCTGAACATGAACATTTTCCACCACAAAACTTTTCTAAATTGCATTCAATTTCAGTTTTTTGTGGTGTTTGATCGTGTGAACTTCCAGCTAATGATTGTCGGATCGAATCTAATCGCTTTTTTTCTGATGTTTTGTTTGTTAAATAAACATTTCAGGTGGTTGTGGATGTAGATTCATCATTGCCACTTAAACTGCAGCGGAGGAATGTTTTCTCTCATTGTTGTTTGATTTAAATCAGGTGAGTAGTGAAGAGAAGAAAACTAAATCGGATCTTGTGGCTAATGCGGAGAACTTCTGCAATATTTATTGTGATGGGTCAACAATTGTGTCAGAATCATTTAAAGATCTGATGAAGATTTTCATTCTTTTCTATTCACAATCCTCCGTTCGATGAAACACTCAAATGGGATTGAAGAATCAGCATAAAAAGTCATTAAAGAAAGATGAGATATTCCCATAAGTCGCTTTAAAGTCTTTCAATTCAATCGCCGTTCGATAACAAAGAAAGAGTTTTTGGGTATCTTCTTGACTGACAATTGACTTGCCACTTACAAGCGATCCGATCTTAATCACTCTTTCTATTCCCGCATCTTCACTGAGATTCCGCTCAGCAGTTTTGAACTTTTCTTTTGATTGATGACACACCAACAATGAAACATCAACAATCGAAATTAGCTTCTCTCCCGACCGACTCCCTCCCATGACTATTTATGAGTGTCCATCTCACACCGTTTAACTTAATTATATCACAATTAATCGACGGGCACTCACACTCGAGATCAAAGTATCATCATTTCTGAATTAAACTCTGTTTAAAGTTTAAACAACAATCACAATTATTTCTTCTTCTCCTTGCTTTTGATGCCGAAACGCGCCAAACCGCTTCACTTCATTTCAACTTTCTTTAAGATGTCTTAGAATATCGGAAGAAAGGAAAACAGTTTTGATTGTTGCATTCCGAATATTTGTTGCTGAACTTTATTGGATTCCATTTAGAGACTCTCATAACGAGCTCTGTTTCAAAGTAAGTAGCCGGAAGCGTTGATCGCAGACACTTTTTTGCTTCCAATTTGTCTGAGTGTCGATCAATCAACGATTCTGATGTTTCTTTCTTTGATATCATCAAACAGTTTCATCACGCAAGATGTCAAAATAAATTTATTTATGCAGAATGTGTGCATGGAAGCACGTGCGAATGTTGCAAACTTCTTAGAATTAATCGTTTGATTATGCAAATATCTGAAATTTCTACAAATCTCTTCGAATGTTCTGAACTTCAAAATGATGATGGACAGAACGGATTCGATTTGATTCCACCATAAAATGCTTTCATTCTCACTGAGAATTCCTTCCATCATAATTTCATTGATGGATAATTGATTGTAATGGAAAAATTGTAACAATTTCATTAAACTGCGCGTGAACTGTTGAAAGTTGAGTCTGAGTCGTATTGGCGGTGTGGTGTTGAAGGCAAAGCAGCAGATATTGACGATACATTCAACAAATCAAAGGAAAGCGACAAATTTGCCATTTGATGGACATGATTGAATGTTGTTCATGTCATTACACTATTTTTACAACAAGACGCCGACGATCCATTTAATCAATTCTGTAATTCTGATTCCGCTCTTCAACACATCCGAGAAACAATTTCATTAATTAATTTAATCGATTCGATTACGACATTCATTGTTGAAGTTTTCTCTTTGAAGTGATAACTCATCGATTGCATTTATTTATCGATCGATTGACGATCAATTTTAAGCAATTTTCTGCTATTCTTGATTAATTTAATGTTTGGCACGTCAAATTCCAAAAATATTTCTGACTTTTTTATTTTGTCAATAACTGTTGAAACTTTTTGCAAAAATAATTCCTAGGCTTGACTCTTAATTAGCACTGATACAAGTTAACTTTATTATAATTTCTATAATTTCATGAATCGATGTTGTGTCAATAAACGCATAATTGGAATACTTCAACATTGACATCATTCGTTTAATTAATTTCCTCCGCTCAATTGTTTCACGATCAAAGTGCCGGTGAATAAAAAGAATTCCTTTGATGATAATCGACATTCGGGTTTTGCTGTTCCGTCTCACTTACCTATGTACATTGCTACTCATGTAAGTATTCCTGCAAATTCAAAGTTCAAAGTTGGGATTGTTTCTACATTTTCCTATTTATTTATTGTATCAAAAATTGCACAATATCATTGTTAATGCTTTAAAATATTTATGGCTTCTTAAACATCTAAGAAACTTAAAACTATTTCTTTTATTCTTATTATCGATGATAATTCAACTCAGTCTAATAAACCTTTGAAGTTTCCTATTAATCTTTAACAATACTTGAGTTACTTATTTACATTTTACTCATTAATCATGATTTCTTACAGATAAACTTCCAAACTTCAGCTTCTGTTTGACTTCATTCTCAATCTTTAGAAGATCATAAAAATCTCATTCATAATTCGCTTTCGTTTGTCTTGTTTCGAAATTGTGAAGACTGAATGAAATGGTTTGTAAGACAATTAAATGAAACTGAAGCAATTGTTCATTTTGACATTAATTGCTTCATTTAATTATGTGATCAACAAATTTATCACCTTCTTCAAACTTAAGCTGAATAATTGACAAGTCCGAACGATCTTTGTTAATGTCTGTAATGCCTCAAGGTTTCCGTGATTAGTGGCAAATTCTCACAAGAACTGATTATTTAGACACTTTACATAAATGAGTTTGGCAATTCTAACAACTCTTTAACTCGTTTATTCTCTCGTCAGTAATTCGTTTAAAGCAGATATGTAAGTTTGTGCCATTTGAAGTGTTTCAAATTTCGATAATTTTCTGTCATTACCCAAGTTTGGTACAACGTCTCGCAATCTGTTAATCATGTTGAAAGAAATAAAGAATTTGAAAGATTTTTAAGTAATCTGATTGCTTACCTATCGAAAGCAAAGTTTAAATTATTCATTCGTCGCCTTTCTCGGGCATTTGCAGCCACACGTCGCTTCTTTAGAATTTCCGGTGGTGGTGGTGGAGTTGATAAATTTGCCACCTGATTATCTTTCTCTTCAATAAACTTCTTACTGAGAGTTTCATGTTGCTGATTAAATTGCTGTACAAATCGATTAATTTTGAGAAGCTTCTGTGGCGCCGATGGTTTGCAAATATTCGTTGATTCTGTCGTCTTGATGAATGGCTTAATTTGAACGTTTAATTTGTATGAGTTTTGTGAGCAATCAACTTGATTTGGCATGTTTTTAAATGAACACGAAGATGCCGAGAAATTAGAAGTCATTTGTTGGTAATAAGAGCAGTCATTTTGATAATTGAAGCTCTTTTTGGACGAGTAGGATGGTGCGTATTCAAAACTTTCCGGCTGATAACTGTAATACCCTGAATTAGGCGATGCCACCGGCGATATTGAACTTTGATATCCGTCAGAAAATTCTCCTGACGACGAAGATTCGTTGAAGTAATTTATTCCATATGTTGACATTGTCGTCGCGGACGTCGACATGCTGTGCATGCTTTGTTGTATTGTCATAAAAGTTGAAGTCATTTTTCTTAATTGTTTATTTAAACTTTTCACTTTTCAATTTATTAAAACTTTCTTACACTTTCAATTTTATTTTATTTTTATTAAATTTTCGAAATTTTCTTTTTCAAACTTTTTTATTTGATTTAATTCTCAAATCAATCCCACGTCTTTCTTATTCAAGGCTCTTTTTGAAACTGATCGTTTCTGACGATTCTCCGCATATAATAAACAATGAACAACACCGATTTATCTCTACCTGCGAGCGATGTTTCAATATCAAAAATTTCACATCAAAACACGGTAGTTGCTTAATGATAGCCTCTTTTGCTCGATGTTTCTTGAAATATGAGAGAGAATCGATGATAAAAAGGAATCGACGATCAAAAGAAAACAAGCCGGAGAACAACACGAACAGCTTCTTTTGCCAACACTTGACTGCTGCTTCTTGAAGTTTCACCAACACAATTCAACAATGTGAAGATGGATTGAAAGGAAATGAAATGAAGCTTAATTTTGACCAATCTAAACATTGGATTAACAATTCACTGTCTTAATCCCACCTCTCGTGAATTTTTCTTTTTAAGATTAAACATTGTCAAGCATCAGCGAACATTTTATCATAAAACTGATAACTGAGTAACAAATTCAACTAACAGAATGTCTAAGAAAACTTCAACGACCCTAGTCAATTCTGACAACAAGAGTTTAATGAACCATGAAGAATTTTATATTTTTTCGCAATGTTTCTGGCGCTTCTTACTATTAATTGTACATTTTTTGATTTATTTGACAGTTTATAAACGAACCATTAATTTTTAACACATTTTGATATTTTTTCGTGCGATCTTTGATAGAATTTATGGCGATGTTGAAACGCCTTCTATTCACGCCAGAACTTTTATCCATTGCTTGAAGATCGTAGATAATCGCACAATTGCTTTATTTTCATAACCTGTGACCAGTTTATGTATCTATAAGCACAAGAGATGGTGAAATAAATGTTGCAAACTGAGAAATATCTTTAACAGTCACAAAATATTTCATAAAACGAGATGAGAGTTCAGAAATGAAATGAATTCTCCGTTCCAATACAATTCCATCACAATTTTATTCCTTTTGTGGCAACCCGCGTGCCATTAAACAGCAATTTTCTGGATGAAAGAGCTTGATTGCCGAAAAAGGATAAAGAAGGGAAATGAATCATTTTTATGACCACTTGGAGTTACAAAAGGACAATGCCATGCCATTTCATTCAATCGCTACGGGATAATATCACGTTTCTTTCATAGCTTCAAGAATTAATTGTGCAACTTGAATCGTGTGTGGGAATCTTTCATTTCACGACAATGAAGCATATAATTTTCTCTTAATTGATTTAAATGAGTTTTTTAAAAGAAAGAAGATTTGTGTTACTTTTTATTCTGTTAAATGAATTAAATTCACACTAAATTATTCCATATTCAAAAATAAATTAAGTTTTAAAATACCGTTTTGAGCTTACTTAACTTGAATTACTCGATCGAGTATGAAGAAATTTTCATTTAAGACAAATTGAACGAGAACAATTTCAATTAGAAAACTTACCTGCCTGTGATCACTTCAGAGAAATTCTTAAAAATTCTTTCATCATCATCATTAAACTCAAATTATAGAAGAAACTTTAATTCTCCTGATTTTGATTGTGCGGCTTTTCTCTCTAACAAGATAAAATGGAAAATCGAATGTTTGTTAAAGTTTTTAAAGTTTCAAATTAAAATTGTTGAATCTCCTTCGAACCATACAAAAATTAATCAAGAATAGCAGAAAATTGCTTAAAATTGATCGTCAATCGATCGATAAATAAATGCAATCGATGAGTTATCACTTCAAAGAGAAAACTTCAACAATGAATGTCGTAATCGAATCGATTAAATTAATTAATGAAATTGTTTCTCGGATGTGTTGAAGAGCGGAATCAGAATTACAGAATTGATTAAATGGATCGTCGGCGTCTTGTTGTAAAAATAGTGTAATGACATGAACAACATTCAATCATGTCCATCAAATGGCAAATTTGTCGCTTTCCTTTGATTTGTTGAATGTATCGTCAATATCTGCTGCTTTGCCTTCAACACCACACCGCCA